TCTAAGTGGAAATTCAGGTCACCCGTTATAATAATCTCTTGTGAATGTGCCTAATTCCATTAGTGTCAAACCAATAACATAGTGTACTTATTGGATGCCCTTTGCAATCAGCATATAAAAAAACTCCATTAATTTCAAAAATCACATTAAGGGGTTATACGCATATGATCAATGTATACCTCTTGATTTATGTATACTATAAACGTACACTTAAATAAGCCTATCGGAAAACTATGAACATTTACTGCGTATATATATCATACAATCGTTTCTAAAATAGGGGTTTAAACGGCCCCAGGAGCAAATAATATTAACAACAGTAATATAACGATGCGTTAAATGCTGAATAGGCCTAACTAATATTCACCACATTTGCATTTCTGACTCGTGATCTGAATACGTTGAATACATGTTTTGTTTGTGAACATTTTAAATGTACGTTCAATGAGGTAACCTAGCTGATCCGAACTACTCCAACCCTTTAAAGCCCCCTGTTACTTGAGATGCAATCGTCAGCATTTCTTCACAAAGCTCTTTGTGTAAAAACCTTTTGCAGGTGATATACACTCTTTGCATGTTTTGGTTACCAGGCTAATTTAGATAATTAAGAGGTGCGCTCATCGGCCTTTTGTTACTTGGCTACAATGTATACAATTTTTTCTGGTACATGTAGGTGACATACATATTTGAATGTAGGGCTGTCAATCACTCAAATAACAAGTTAAACCATATTCAATTGGTAATACCTAAGGGAATTTGTGCGATTGTAGATGAAAATGACCTATGTGTACATGCATTGTTTCTTTTATATTGTAAAGAAATATTGCATCATGTTTAATAATTCATATATATAATGATAATAATAATAATAATAATTCGAGTTTCTTAGGTCCTCTCAAACCGGTTCTCAAATTATTATCCTTGGTTAAAGATCCTTTGCAACCAGGCAATACCTTTCTCAACTTACTGAGAAGCATACAGCTGGTGTTGCCATTTCGGCGCTCATAGCTAGCATTCAACAATTCCAGCACTGCCCAACCACGTACTCATTTACAGCTGCGTAGACTGTAACAAGCGGAGTAAAGTTTCTTGCTCAAAGATACAACACAGTGCCGTGCCGTGACTCGAAGCCGCAACCATTCGGTCACGAGCCCGTCGTCCTACCACTAGACTACCGTGCCTCTATATCTTAAATCTTAAATATTATTAATATAAAAGAATGTTTCTTTATGTCTACCTTGTGTATTTGATAAGAATACATTTGAAATTCTTTTCAAGTCCAGATCACGTTTGCTTATATAACGTTTTGATACCTCGGCCTAACTGAACATATGACTGTCGGAGCTACCTCCCCTGTGGCTGCTAGGTGTTTTGATTAATTTTAGTTGGCGAAATGTCTGCCTCCGACAAATCTCATTATTTAACATCACATTTCGGTTAGTTAGTGAGGTTAAATAAAATGTAACTAAAATGAGTTTGGGTTAATTATGAAATACTTGCATTGACTTATAGTTATTGAAGTTTTTTTTTAACATTGGTCATACAATAAATTGACCTTTGGATGACACATTTACCGAATACCGATTTGTTTTCGAAATTTCTGCTATCGTCAGTCAACAAAATGTGTCAAATAGGATCCAATGTCTGTTGTAGTACAAAAACCGAAAATGTGTCTATCACTTCCGTAAAGATGCGACAACTAAAAATGTACACAACATAATAAAATTGTATGTGTGTGAGACTGCATAACCTTTTTATTTTTTCTATCTTTATAGTTGACCTCATCATGAGCACCTGACTTTAATGACGACAACTTTATTAAATGATTAAACATGACTATATGCCAAAAGGTTATTGGATTTTATTTGGAAATAGACATTGCTATAATTTGTCATTTATATGGCAAAACCGGTTCTCAAATTTTCTGATATTTTTTACCATCGTCCCTCAACATAATGCAACAACTAATATTAAAAGATTTCTGGTGTACAAGTCCCGGAAATTGGTGTGTCCCTTCCGTAAAAATTGACAAAGCAAAAAAAAGAGTATGAAAATACCAACATTTAAGAGTTTAAGATTGCAGAACTGTTTTATCATGCAACGTTTTGTTAAATGTTTGAGTTCATAATTTGCAGCAGATCCTACTTTAAACAATATAATATTATTTGATAGCGTAAAACATTGTTTTGATAGTTATTTGGACAAAAGAGTGAACCCTGTCGTACACCTTTGGAGGGCGGCACTAAAAAGGCCATAGCACAAGCCCCGGGGACCTATATCATGGGTCGTGTCTTAGGGATCTTATTTCGAAATTACGACTTTCATCTCATCAGTTATATGTAGAAGAAGGTCGGTATCGTAATATTCGGAGGGCGAATAGGTTATGCCGTTATTGTAATCAAAACTAGGTAGAGGACGAGTTCCATTTTGTTCTGATTTGTCCACTCTATGTTGATATTCGTAAAAAGTTCATTAAAAAGTATTACTGGAGCCGCCCATCTTCATATAAACTTGTCCAACTGCTGGCTGTACATAACAAAAAAGAGCTGTGTAATTTAGGAAAATATTTGCAATCAAGTTAGTTAGAACGGTCTAGATTCCAACCTTAGGTTATTGTGTTTTTTATCACACTAACATTTGAGTACTTGTTTATTTCCAGGTAAACACATATTGTTTTGTCCATCCCCTGATCACTACATCACTGTATACAAATTGTATGCCTTTTTGTTTTGTTTTTATAATTAACATACTCTTTGTTGAGCCCCGTTATTAAGAAAATGTTGTCACCTCATCTGTTTTCCGATAGCCACAGTACACTTAGGTGAGGTAATTTTATAAGAGCTGTCCATCTTCCGAAAATTTATTTATCTTGTACTTTATAATAATTTAAAGAATTATACTGTCCATTTAAACATGCGATGTACAAGATTATGATTCATTCATGATGTTATAATTATTTGGTATTTCATATCACTGATGTATCAATTATACGTTGCTATATATGCTTATGAGCCGTAAGGCTTCAAGTTGAATAAACAATACAATACAAATATAATCAAGTTATGGTTAAATTGCTTTGTGGGCATAATTCTATTGTTCCTGTATTAGGTCATTCTTTTGTTACTTATGTCATATAACGTATGCTTTATCAAAACATTAAATAGGGGAAGACACCAGACAATTTCAAAGTTACAAAAGTTACCGTTTATGCAATAGAACTTTGTATAAAGCGGTGAATTCTAGCATCTATGTGGCGAACAATTCAATTGTAGGGTTGTACAAAAACCAATTGCTACGCGACCTTTGATTTGCATTCCTTTCAGTGGAGAACAAAAAAAAACAAAAAAAAAACAGTGATATGCAATATGTTGGTTGCCGCTTGGTTGGTTTTGGATTTGACGTCACTCGTGCTAGGGCCACATGAAGACGACGTCTGCATTATTTCTAGCATTTGTTTAATCCTAATATATATATATAAATAAACCACGACAACGACATTTTTGAAGTTCATATAATGTGATCACTGGATACAAATCTGTTCTTTCTAAAGGAATATTCAATATTTAGTGTTCTTTATGAAGCGACTAGTGAGAGTTCATTATGAGAAAAATGTTTTTAAGATGGTTGTATTCTTAATTAAAAACAAACAACTAAAAGCTTCAGTGAGCAGATTCTCGTTCGAAAATAAAATACGTAGCTTATATTTTCGATCGTATTTAATTTTCATTTGAATATCCAGTTTAATATTTAATCCATTAATTAGAGCAACACTAAACTGACATGGTTTATGTTTCGATCGTGAGTAAACTAAATGAAATACGTCACAATACCATAATGCAACAGCGACGTTACATATATATTAATGTAACGCCAGTGACATTATGAATAGTTCATGCAATACAACCAAAACGCTTTTATGTGTGACGTTTCGATGACTAGTGCGTTATATACTCTGTACACTATTATAAATGTATGTATCCCTCTCCCTCTATATCCGATTGCTTCTTTTGCACATACTTATCTTCCCATTGTCTTGCTATATCTCCGTCCGATTATTTATCGTTTTTTTCCGTATGGATGATTTTTTTCTTTTTCCATTTTTTAATTGAAAAGAACCTACATATGTTCAATCTGCTAACTAGCCAAATAATTGTATACCGTTAAAATTTCCTTTCAGTAAAACTATTACATTCGCCTGTAAGATCTATATTCCCCCAATATTAATTTCGCCGACACATTTGATCATTATGTTCATCGTGCCATATATTATTATTCATTGTAGTGATAAAATTGCCCTCATTTCGGAGGGCAAAAAGGCAAAAGCAAAATTGCAGCGAAATATCTCGGTATAAAACGTTTAAGAATAATGGAGTTCCTGTCTCTCTATTACTATCACTAGATAGTAATATCTAGTGATGTGTACACTTGTGAAGAAACTGTCATTTTGCAATATGATAACACATTTGACAATGCGGTATATACACTTGCATTCACGCGACACATTTGTAAGATTGGAAACACAGTAATATACATTGCATGTAGCTTTTGAAAACCGTGAAATATCGATAATATGAAGTTGCTTGTTTTCATTTTAACCAAAACATCAGAGGCTTATATCCAAAGGCGGACTAATGATATTAATGGCCATTTTCATAAGAACTATAAATTTCCTTAAAACCGTTTTCTAGCTGAATATTTCACATGGTGAAGATAAGATTTAAATTGAAAACGAATTATGATAAATATCACGAGGAAAGTCTATATTTTCTCTGGCGTGATGATCATTTGATAAGGAAATACATTGTATGTGATATATATTGGGGTCAAAAGAGGGACTGTGTTACTACGAGGAGTCGAATCATATTTTCAAGGCATGCCTTGTTCAAAACTATACTTTCCATCACGTGTTATCCTGGGTTGAGCTGCTAAAGTATTTATAGACACACAGATGTTTCAGTAAAATAACATTTAATGAAGAAATGTGAAAATAAGTTATTTGGGGCAAAATAAAAAAACGAGTTTCTACACAAAATCCAAATATTATTTTCAAGGCTAACTATTTCAAAGCAACATTTTCGATCACGTGATGATCATATAATGAGCTGGTAAATTATTTATGAACACATGTAAATGTCCTAAAATCATTTTGATTATAATATCTTGAAATATGATAACAAATTGTCAAATATGTTCATAAGCGGGAATGCCGCTTTTTTTTAATGGAATGTAAGGCTTATTTTCAACGCCTGTCTTTTATCATATTTACTATCGATGTTATATGATATGTTTTTAAACATTTTAAAAGCATGGTCCGTAGATCGAGAAACAATTATAGACTTTAGGCGTTTGCTTTGACGTCACGTTTTCATTACGTTATTTATAACTGATAAAGTCAAAACTTTAGACAAGTTTAGACATAAGACCGATTCATGACCTCGGAGCCTGAGGTAGCATATGAACAAATAGATGATATAACTGGCTTAATGCTTAATATCATTTGAATAAGTCAAATACAAATAGATGCCATGGAACCCTACCAAGAATATCGGAAGTGATCCTCTTGTCGTTCTAGGGTTTTGGGTTGATAAAAAAAATAATACCATATTTATACACCTAAGCCTGAGTAGTGGCATATTCCAGAGAGCAAATCAAAGCAGATAACAACTTGCTAAAGAATACAGTGGTGTACTTTGAAGGTAGAGCATTTACATTTTGTTTCATAGAATATGTTGTCGAAATAGGCAACAAGCTTAAGCTCGTCAAATATCATTCAAAGTTTCGATTTCCTGAATAGCCAGTATAACAACACGACACGACATGCTTCCATTTTATCAGATAAAATATATATTATCTAATTATTGCTCAGAAAGTAGCCATTCACAAATATAGTAACCGTCATTGATATGTTTGCCAGCAAAAAGAACCAGAAGCAGAAGAAATCAATTGCTGACGTCACATCAGGCCAAGTGAACTCTTCACTCGATTCTGGTTCTTCGAATGCTTTAACGACAGTCGGCTCCTCTACCGACTTGGCGTTTTCTGGGGTTTTCTTGTCTTTTGAAACGCGTTCCTCGAATTGGCTTACATCCTGTACTTTCTGAGTAGACTTGAGGCAGCGGAACGTTTTGCTGAAACGAATCATGCATCTAGCAAACTTGGGAATGGCACGAGAACTGTCTCGGTAGTGGATTCGGAGTTCCAGTGTCGTAATCATGACAATTGCTGTTCCCATACACAGAAGTAATATCAGGTACAAACTCAGTAACGACATGGAGGCGCTAGATGGAAGTGACGCACTTACAATTGTTAGAAAAACTGCAAATGCCAGATACACTGTCATGATGTAGCCCATCTTCTCTCCACTGTCAACGGGTAGAGCAAATACAAAGATAGAAAGCAATGACAACATGACAATGGGAAGCACAACGTTGTATGAAATGTACTGAGGTTTCCTCTTTACCGTGATAGAGAACGTGACAACAGCTCCATCCAGATTTGATTGCGTTGCGTTTGAAGATGTTTTGATAATATCCCATTCACCGTTCGGCTGATATTCATCTAGTAATATTCCTTTACTGCCTAGCTCAACGTCAACGTCACTCAGTGGGGTCATCCAAACTCCAAATTTGATGTCGCATGTTTGTTTGTCAAAAGGGAAATACTCTATGCTAATAGAACATTTCGTCTCGAACACCTCGAAAGGACGCCATTCGATGTGACCGTCGTTCGATATTCTAGTCAGTAAAAAGTCATCCCCAAGCTCCTTAAGTTTTGTAAAACCATTTTTCAAAGCAATGTCTGGTTTCCATATAGCACTCTGTTGAACGTATATGATGTTAGTGTTATTATAGTTGGATGGGTCCCATTGCATATATTCGTCTATCCAGAAAATATCCAAGAATGCCGTGGAAGACATTTTTTCTTGAACCTCGTCGATGTCGGTTATTCCAATAAGATTCAAATTCAAGTACAATATAATAAGGTGTGACTGGTCTGCAGCAGGACGAACCATCTTGTTGTAAGAGTTGGTTGTAAAGATGTTTGTGAGTAGGGCCTTTACATTATCATGTGTGTTTGATATGACAAGGCACGGTAATATGAACACCACACCAAGTAGTATAACCGGTAATTTACTTCCCATGGTTATCGCTGAATATGTCGTTCACTTGAATCAAATTTGCAGAAAAAAAACTGCTGAAAGAATAACTTCACTTTTCAGGCATGTTCTACTTCCATATGGAATATGGTCTGAATATTCATAAAAGTTTCAAAGCAGCATTGTGTGGTCTTGCAAAATGATTAATAGAAATGGTTTCCAAAATCTGGGTGGCAATCGTTCACCCAAGTCCACAGTAAATGCCTCAAATATGTAACAAGTACGTAGTTGTTATCTTACCAGTTCACGAGAGTGTGAGGGCACCTTTATAGTTACCCACGGTTAATAGTGCAGATAATTCGTCACGAAATTTTAGGACTATCTACTGGCCCTTCCTTTGGTTACCTATAAATAATATATATATATTTAAATTCATCTCTTTTCACAACACCCTTTTGAGGAGGCATGCGCTTATACAAATATTATTGACCGAAGACAAATGAAAGACAAGCTTAGCGATGTACAGTGTGACGATTGGAATAACTTTCCCGGCGTTAGTTTCTATCCGATTAAATATGACGAAACCCTTTCTAAACATTTGATCTCCCTAGCCTAATCATTAGTATGTTATAAAAACAGGGTATAAACTATCCAATAAATGTTTACCCAAGAACTATTTCCACAGAGTAGATGTATCAACTTGCAGACAATAGAATTGTTCTGTGTTAACGGGACCTCTTCATCAAAAGCCGTACACACTTCAAACCATATTGCCCGATCTTATCACATTTTAACGGTTCTTGTTTGTTTGTTTGTACGTTTGTTTTTTGTAAGATTTCTGACATATTATGCAATCAGCCATAAATCAGTATACATTTTTTAACGATGCTGGCTAGTATCAAAGTGTAGTATCTCATGATTTTTTCTCTACTTAAGACTGGCATTTTTCTATACACAGATTTTGATACGAGTCTCCCTTCTTCCACACTTTATTATTGATGGAAAATATTTTGAACGTATCCTTTCTTATGCTATTTTAGAATGTTAACATTTCCCTAGATAATGTATCTTCATTTTCGCTTTCATATGGTTTGTATGGTTTTAGTATTTCGTTTTCGTTTTGTTTTTTGTTTTTGTTTTTGTTTTGTTCTGAAAATTGCCAGATGCATCCGGGAAAAATAAGATCTAACGACCAACAAAAAACTAAATAGTATCTATATGCTCTATACTTATGTTTCTTAGTTGGTCGTGAGATCTTATTTTTTCTATACTTACATACTTCACATCGACAATTAATCTTTTTTGTTAAATAAATATATATACAATGTAAATGGGTGAGTTGGTCACTCCTCCATATCACTTCGTCCGCTATTTAACTGCCAATGGCCATTTTTGGATTATATTTACTGTTTGTTTTTGTCACATCACAACAAGTATTGCATTACAATTCAGATGACCGTTACGGTCCACGAACCTCTTGTTTAAATAGATAGAAGCACAAGACATTATTGAACACGATTCTCCCTTCTGATACACACTACAGAATTAAGGGAGAATATTGTGGACGCATTATCTCCTTTTTATATATTACAACTGTAACACTACTCCAGAAACTCAAGAGAATATATTCATTTACGCATATTTTGTTGAAACTTCGATTGTCTCATTTATTTTAATATTCACATTGTTTATAAAATTGACTCGTTAAACTTAGTATGCAAGTATGATCCGTTCTACTTGGCTGCACCTTAAAGCGTAGCACCTTACTAAAATATTTTCAAAGATAATCTCTATTACTTGGAGGTATATAACCCTTTTGTATAACCTGAATTTGGCAGTTTGATGAGCGTAATTAAAACACGTTTTTCAGGGTCAGTTTAAAAGCTGTTTGCATGTAGCCTAGTACCTTTGTAAACAATTAACATATGTAGAGAGATAACATCAGAATGTTTAATATCTCGTTCAACATAAATTGAGAAAGTGAAAAAAAGGAATATTAACCAATAGTGATGAATATAACGACTTTAATCAACTCAAGCAAAAGACTTAATGATAAGAAACGTATATATTAACACTTTTCGGGTTCACAACGCTGAGAACAATAAACACGATAGAATCAGTTCAATTCACCTCAAAATATTTTATAGATGATACATTAGAACTACAATAAGACAGATGAGCAACTTATATGAAATATAAAACAATACATGAATTATCAAAAGGATGATATAGTAGAGAACATTACCTGTGTATTACATAATCATGAGGTACATTAAATATAAAGTGCATTTATTAAAAACAAAAAATTAAAAACAAAATATCAGTCAAACATCTCAACATATTTCCATATAAATTACACAATTTAAGTTGTATGAGGTATGAGTAGAAACAAAACCAATCGATTACAAGATATTCAATCATCATGCTGTTGCATATTGCAGAGTTATCTTCTCTTAGGAGCAGGTATTGATTGTTACGTCACTTGTTTGTGAGAATAACGTCATCAGTTTTTGAGAAAACGACGTAATTTTCTCACACAAACCAATGACGTAACAATCAATACCTGCTCCCAAGAGAAGATAACTCTGCAATACGCAAAGACGGAATAAGTTATAGTTAGCTAAGTGTAAATGTACATTATGTTTATATACAATGTTATCAGTTATTGGTACGTAACCTAATGTAGGAAAGTAATAGTATATCAATGAGGTACGTGATTTTGTATAAACATCTACGCTACTGTAGTTTGCAAACGTTCATTGTTAAACATGAATATACTCCAACAATCCATCCGGGCCTTTCATTTCATTCTCACCGGAATATACATATAATAAAATGCTGTCTCCTTGTATAATTTAGATAAGCAATATGTAGGTGTATGCAATTGAGTTATATGACATTCCTTAATATACCGCCACCATTGGGCTATCGCAGTGAACATATCATTGTGACAATCGGGAACCGACGGCACTTTCCGTAAATGTTTTCCTCGTTTACGGAAAGTCCCGACGGTTCCCAATTGATCGTTGTGAATGAATTAATGTGTATTACATATGCGCTGACAAGTAGAAGATACCACTGTCTTATTATGACCCTGGCGTTAAATTCTAAATAAACCAATTAACTGTAAATATGCGTTATTACAAAATAATAAAAATCATCAGTACTGCTTTAGTTTATATCAAACCATATTTTATTCATGTTAATTAACATATACAATTATAAAGACATTTCAAATACTGCTGTGCACTCACTGACACCGTTAAAGGTCAATTGATCTATCACTTAAAAGTTCGGAAAGTGACAAAGGGAGGCAACGGCGTCAACAGTAAGTGTGGTACATGTAGGAGCTATATATGCTTTGTTTCGTTATTATCCCATAACGATGTAACGGTGTTCATGTCTTGTTATTGCCCTTCGCTAGGTGACGCAGACGCTGTTACATGTAGCTAGGGCTGTTATCAAAGCAAAGCAAATTTTGGATTTAAATGTTTCAATCAAATATACTTACTTATTCAAAAACCAAGTACACAATGACGTTGGATACATCTGTCTTTTTACACAAAACATATGGAGAAATGACGGTCACTTTGCTAATTTGCACAATCCGCCATCTTGGATAAAATGGCGGCCATTTGGCCCATTCCGGATATTATTTGCCGGGATGTCAAATTTCCCTACACACCGTCTAAGTATGGGTTACAAGTTAATTAGTGCGATCCATTAAAAACTCGAGGTTCCTGGAGTAGATGAACTTTTGAAGCGAGGGCGCCTATATGTTCTATGCAATCGAATACTGGAAAACGACCAAATAGCCATTTTCTGCACTTTCGATCGAATTTTTCGATGCTATCTCCGTGATCTAGATAAGTTGCCGAGATTCGCTCGGTAACTTCCGGTTTAGAAAAACACAGTTTATGAGGTGTTTTAAGAATATTTGCAATATCCGAGGTTCCTGAAGCATTTGAAAAGTGGATTTTCTTCAATTTGACATAAAATCAAAGGGGCACCATAGGGGATTATGTAAAAACATCGTATTCTTCTGAAAGTGAAAGGAGTCTCCATGTTTTTGTGACACTCTATCGACTTGAAAGAGGTACGAAAAGGATTCATATAAAATATTTACTTATTCAATCCTTTCAGATAAACTGAATTTGATATATATTACTGTGGGTAGAAGTACAAGAATGCTATTGTACACGAATGGCCACATGATTTGAAAAAATAGCTTACATTAACAACTTCTCACTGATCTTACATGTTATTTGTAAATTATTTAATATTTCTTTTTAGTTATTTTTTCCAGAACATGCCGTGACATAAAGTTTGTCCCTGTTTCAGACAACGTTGTTAAATAAATGTGTAGACAATCTTTTATTCTAAGTTGGTATCACATATGAACGTACATGCTCGATCACCTCATAATTTGTATACGTCAAAATAGGAGCAAAAACGGATTTTCAGGACGAAAAATTAAAGCATAATGATACATGTACTTGAAGCTAATCCATGTTGTTATATTTTTTAATTTATAAGTCAATCCGTCTGCCTTATTGTTGAATGAGATATGTTAGTTTATCAGTCGTTCCAACTAACTTTATTTAAATTCAACATTTGAAAAAGAGCTGGTATTCCAGCCTAGCCTCCGAAATGATCATCTGAGACATATAAATGTAATCCTTCTCTCCGGGGCAGTCTTGTCCTCGTATTGCACCTTTCATCTGTTACATATAAATAAACATTGTCCTCAGTATATTAAGAAACATCCGTCAGCCCGTGATTATTCTGTCCTGATTGTTTTAGAATCTCTGTATCACCACGGACTTAGATTATCTAATTCCGTGGTGTCACGTATACTAACTGTACTACTGCAATATATATGAGATTGCAATAGTCATATTTGGTATTGTTTTNATTTTGTAGGTTAATGTTTCAAAACTAATATCTTAAATGTTTTCTTACATATAAATAAAATACGATTTGTATATAGTGTAGACGTAACAAGTACAAAATGCTCATTGTTTATGCTCCTTCATCGGAAGTATAGAATGTGCGAGAATGACAGCTGTCTGGCTATATATTCCATATTTTCCCTTATATTTAAGAAGTTATGTAACTCCCGTTCCTGTTATTTTTGATAAATCTTGTTCAATGTGACCAGTTGGTTAATTTTATTCTACAGATTTGTCTTAAAATACGCCGAAATCGTAACTAAAATGAGCCTGGGAACAAAAAAAAAATATGTTGGTTGCCATGGTGGCGCGGAAAAACTCTGATGATCACGTGATCAAACATGCTCCGCCCCTCATTAATATTCATGAGCAAAAGTGGCCCTCATTTCTCCATATGCTAAATACATGAAATAGAATCTAAAAGAAGAGTTGATTCTCTCTTCTGTCTAGCTTATGTGCCGAAGGAAATTAAACATGAACATTTATTTCCACATTGGATAAAATAAACACGATTGAAGGATCGATTAAATAGTTGGGTTTTTTTTCTTCAAATTCGGCATGGTTGCTAGGCGTGACTTTCCTGATATCCTGTCAAAAATAACACTAATGTCCCTAACATAACTGTTGTGAGAAAAATCCAGAAACAGTAAAAGTCAATAGCGGCAGAAACAGACATCCACGATATTGTAACAATGTCCTCGTCTTTGTCATCGACGGTGGACGTTTTCGTGACTGTATCTGTCGCCTGATCGACAACCTTTCGTCGGCGTCTTCGGCATTGGAGAACCAGACTGAATCTCACGAGACATTGCACCCATCCCGGGATTTCACGGGAACTGTCTCTAAAATGAATTCTTAGTTCAACTGCTGTTATCACAATTATTAAAGTACCTACAACTAAAAGAAATATAAGATACTTTCCTAAAAGAGACATGTATGACGAAACCGGAAGTGACGCACTTACAATTGTAAGAAACACCGCAAAGGCTAAATACACTGTCATACAGAAACCAAGTTTTTCACCACTATCTACTGGAATCGCAAATGTAAACACAGATAAAATTGAAAGCAGGAGAATTGGAGCCACGACATTGTATATATAGTACTGTGGTTTACGATCCATGTAGAGCGAAAACTTGACATTAGCATTGTTAGATTTAGATATGTAAGTTGTGGCACTGGTTTCAGTTAAATCCCATTCGCCATTCTCTTGATAGCTGTCTTCAGTCATCGCTGCAACTCCTACTCTGACCATGACGTCATCGACTTCGCTCGTCCAGACTCCGACGTTAATATCACATTTTTGTTTGTCGAAGGGAAAGTATGTGATGTCCATGGAACATTTTGTTTCAAAAATTTCGTACGGAACCCAGTAAACGGTTCCGTCGCTTTTGATATTAAGCAAGAGAAAGCTGTCACCTAGCTCCGTCATCTTCGTGAAGCCATTTTCCAATGCTATGTCGGGCCTCCACACTTTCGACTGTGGCACGAGGATCTGTTAAGACGAGCAGTCAGCAGATGTATTACATGTATATCAGGTTTAGTGAGTCGCAAATAAAAGTGTATTTTGGATTTATAAATGTTTACATTGATAAGGGTTCATTAGAAGCAATATAAATACTAAAATCAAAAATACGCCACTCGCTAGAATTATTGCTCAAACATTGAGTTATTTAATTGATGAAAAAATTAATGTTTATTATGCAATAGTGTGATGAGGTAGTTTATAAGGCATTGGATTTTTAGTTTTTGTTTTAAATCAAATATCTGACAAAAGGTGGGAGACGCATAAGGCGGGTATTTTGTTTCATAGGAGGATTACTTTCCTAAATGGCAAAAGACGTTGGAAATGTTTTCAGGTTGCAATACAAACCTATGGGCTTGTTAGAGTCGTGTGCTACGCCATGTCAATCGGTAAAGGATCGATCAGACATTGATCAGATTAAAAATGTGTGCATATTATGTCATATTTACACCTACTATTTAAGGAATCCCAAAAGACGAAACTCATAATAATAGATAATAATATTTCGAGGTTCTTATATACCGCTTTATCGCAACCTAGTTGGTAGGTTATCTGTGGTTGCAACCACTCGACTTTCTCGACTCCCTGGGGAGCATACAGCCAGAGCTGTCATTTCGGCGCTCATAGAGCTAGCATTCAACAATTCTAGCACTGCCCACACCACGTACTCATTTACAGTTGAGTAGACTGGAACAAGTGGAGTAAGTATCTTGCTCAGGGATACAACACAGTGCCGTGCCGTACCGTGCCGTGCCGTGCTGTGCTGTGACTCGAACCCGCAACCCTTTGGTCACGAGCCCGGCGTCCTACCACTAGACTACCGTGTCCTCTCGAAATTCCTAAACTAAAACAATACATACATATATACATAATTTGAAAGTGACAAATCGTCAGTACAAAAATGTCCATGTATGCCGTTGTATGGAGATTTTGACGTTGAAACTGACTTTCCAAACTTACGTGAGGCCAGTATTTAATACATTTAATACTGGACTAACTAAAGGACGAAAATCCAATGCCTTATAAGCTACCCCTACTTCATCGTAAAACTCAAACCAGCATATTTTCAAAAAACACTAAAATTCAACACTTTAGTTGTATGTATATTGATTGCAATAATAATCCTATGACAACAAACACACATGTATTCGGGAAAAAAAATACATTGATTTCCAAAACTCACATTTTGAAGTTTTGCATTAGGACCTGACGAATCATTAAGTTAACCAGACTTTGATCGACTTGGGTAAGATGACGTGAATATCGACGTCACGAATAAGTGTGCTTAATAAGGTTATACGAACCGAAGAGAGTCCTCCGTATGTCGCCGGGTCCCACATCAAGTGTTCGTCTGTCCAGAACAAAGTAAGGAATACTGTCGTTGTAAGTTTTTCCTCCACTTGGTCAACATCCGTTATACCTGCTAGGTTAAAGACGACAGTCACATACGTTGGATAGAACTGGTTGTAAGTCGGTCGGATTTCTTTGTTGTAAGATCCGGTGACAAATAACGCCGTCGTCAGGTTTTGGACGTCATCGAACGTCGATGCTGACGTCATTGAAGTCACAATGAAGATCACGCTGACTATTAAGATGCTTGTCACGTTATATTTAGACATGCTTGTAGTCAATACTTAAGAGGTATAATGGAAAGTGGTTAACAAATTTGTATATCTATGTTACCTAATTTGCATTGAGTAATGTATTTAATATCCGAAACTTTACGGGCATTACATAATTCTTATAAGAATAAAAAATAAATTGAAAGATTAGCACGTTTCGGTTATAATTTCATAAATAGAGGACTTATTCAACCATGCGTCCTGATTTATAAGTAATCTGGAAGTAAAAAAAAAGAAGATAAAATTAACAATTTATTAATCTACATTAGATACATAATTCGACACAATAGCTACTACCGCACAAAGTACTGGTGGATGTTTCTATACATTCCTCTATCATTAATATGATACCATAAAGAAATGTATACATATAATCAGATATTTATGTTTTGTTTTCTGTACTAAAACAAATGCTGATGCTATACAAAATGGAAACTGTTATTTACAAAAGAAATTGACATTTACTTACCATTGTGTTACAACCCGAGTGTTGGATTTCTCTAGCATAGAGTGCAATGAGCCGACAGTTCGCAAGCAGATAAAATAAAAACAGTATAATCTAAGAGTCATGTCTGAGGATCAATAGAGGGTTTTTTATTGAAGTTATTCTAAAATATGTTCTTAAATAAAAAAAATATATATATCTTGTTGATTTTTTTCTGGTAGAAATCTAGACAACCCTAACCGAGTTTTGATATATAGCATTTCAGACACGTTATAACTATAAGAATTTTATCAGATATATTTAGATTCCCATTTGAACCCCTTAAAGGATAATTAGTAATCCTGTTTTTTTAAATTGACGTATATGTACCTAAAACAGTCGATAATCCTATTTTCAATACAGTTGTACAGCTAGCATGAATTAAACCATTTTAATCCTGTTGATCAACACATACACAAGTTATATTTAAGATTATAGAGTTAGGAATCAACTGATTCAATGTCGATCCAGTTACTAGGTAGAGGTCACTCAAATCGTGTGACGGATCGGGCCTAACAACAGGGTCAATATATAGAATAAGCGGATTAATGGCACGTTTTACTGATTTATTATCTAGACTCGAAACACAGAATCAATAAAGCTTAATTATAGATAACAAATTTGGAGTAGTTCATTCTTCCTATTACATCCGTCTGGTCCCTTCTTCATCTCGTGATCGGTCGACGTCATTGGTTTTTAATGACGAATTTTGCAATCACTTAAATGCCATATATCACATGACAATGTTTGAAAACACTTCCAACATGTCTTTACATCCTTGCGAACCTGTCAGATTTCATTCCAATTGGAAGAGGTCACTAAGAATAAATGCGAGATGAAAGCAGTTTTAGGTCCCCGCACAATACTTATTGAGTGATCAATGACGTCATTAAGTTATGACGTCATAATACATTCTTTTTTTTAGTGTAGTATAACCACCTATATGTGTATAATACGTATACGCGCACCTGCCTATAGATAACTGACAAGTGAAACATGTTTGCTAGGAGGACATAAACAATTTAGATGAATAACTATATTCAATAATTTATATATAACCCAGCTCGACCATAGTCCGTAGTGTATCAAGATACCCAGACCACGAGAAAAGAAGGGGCCAGGGCTACGCCTTGTCCAGGGTCGGGTCCACGTGAGGGCGTAATGGGCGTACCCCCCCCCCCCCCCCCCTTTTCTAAAAAACAAAACAAAACAAAACAAAAATATCGTAATCTGCTTATATTGTTTTGAATATGGCAATTTATCATATTCATTAATTAAACACATAAACACCCTGATATTTTAACTATAACATATACATGCTCCAAGTCAGGAACCGTCACATAAGTGCATTTCACAATCATTTTGTTTTTTAGCCAAAAAAAGGTCCAACATTTTTTCGCATCGCTCCGCTCGGCGAAAGATTTAATTCTGCGCCCCCTCTTTCAAATATCCCAGAAACGCCCCTGTTGTCATATACAACAATATACATTGTGAGATACAATCGTGAAAAATATGTAAATATCAGATGAACACTGTAGATTTTAACATGTGTCGTACTGATAAACAGTGTGTACATATGCAGGTCGTTTCGACAGTAAAGTGTATGTAGATAATGCAGTTTTTATCAATTTGTCGAGCTAGGTACGTATTTATATCGGCGGTAGTAAGCGTAGGTGTATTTGAGCAACACCAGCCGGGGTACGTATGTATATATTTGGGTTTTGGGGTGTCGTCACGATTGCTCACAAAACACGATTTCCCAGCCGCATAAGGATTATAGGGGTTGAGAATTAAGGCGAAATAGGGTGGGAGGGTAGGGACATGAGACATTATGTCAGCTATATCTGGACCTAAACTAAGGTGTTCAGAGTAATACTGCACATTAAAGGGGTTCACTACCTAAAGCTTTTGCCCTGAACTCCTCAGTTCAGGTTTAAATATAGCTGTAACAAATTACCATGCCCCTATGGATGGAGTGATTTAATTTGTACATGTATTTTCCTAAAGGAGTTAATTTGAAAAGCGTTTATATACCGCCATAGTTTTGATATTGTTTAAATGAAAAATTGTGTAAATTTATTTCTGTTCTTCTAATTCGGGTCTGTTGACGGTGAATTGATGCAAAACATTCAGTTGTTCTTATAAATTTTCAGAGAAAAGAAGTTTTAACATCTTTATTTAAATGATGTTTAAGAAATCGAGTTAAAGTATTATAAGTGTAGCTTTACTGATGACTTTTACTTATTATAAACGATACCGGAGGGTCGGTATTGCGGTCGGTATGGCGAGATAATAGTTAGCAATCCAGATAATCTTAAAGTCCACTCGGAACTCCTCGGGTGTCTCGTTCTCAATTGACCGGAGGGGAGGCACCCGAGGTTAGCCGATCGTCTGCAAGGTGGCGGCGAGGTAAGTCATCGCCTGCCTGCAAGTACAGAATTATCCTGATATAAGTTGAGCAAATGCATTGCTTTGTATTCTGGTTCATTAAATAGTGGAGGATAATCGATTTTCTAGCCATGTTGTCTACAACGACGTAATAATAACGTCAGCTTCGGACAATGTATATCCAAACTACAAGAGTTATCTCTCTTTACCCAGTTCGGCGCGCTTTCCATTGTGATGACTTGCGCTGATGTGGGCCATTTTCTGCAATGGGACAAATTTACTAATACATACACATACAAGCATGGAGATAATTATTTAAACGTTTATTTGCTCAGATATATTATCATCATTCGTATTATATCTGGTGACAAGTCTATCTGTTGTTCTAATGATGAGTTCTGTTCATACTTGCCAACCTTTAGAAATTTCCTTGGTGAGATTTTGTATGCTCACAATTAAAAACATCAATAAAATTAATATATATATACACCTTAGAAACAAAATAGCTCTTTAAGATTAGTTTAGCAAATCTATTGGTTAAAGATATTGAATTTAAATGCCCAAACCCGGGAGTCTCCCTACTAAATAAAGAGAGCTAGTAAGTACGCGAGTCTGTATGCCACATACCTTGCACTTCGCCAACGTGTACACCACCGGTTTTCTGTATGATGAAATATAAAAATATAACATTTACTATAAATGTTATATATCTCAGGAGATAGAAGGTCATGCGTCTCCATGGATACATCTCACTGTCATGTTTCGCAATTGTCACTTAGATGCTATTGTTTTCGTTTTTGTGACGTTATAACATGGCATGACGTCACATACATGAATGGCGTCTATTTGGTTAATTATAAACTTTATTGAAGACAAAATACAGGTTAAGCTAAATAATAACTTATATTTCACATGGTCCTATGGCTTAGTTTACTACACGAGCTACGTACAAGATACAAATTTATTATTTAAACAAACATTATTTCTTAGAACATAGCTTCATTAAAAAACAGAATCTATAAAAGTGCATGCAAAAGTGTTTAAACAATTAAATGACATTTGCCTGATTAACATATATACCAATGTAACTAACAATAAAAAGTGACAGTTATATGCTAATATTGCATATTTTAAATCACATTAGGATGAATTAAGAAGTTCCCTAAGAATGCACCAGTCAGGGTTACGAAGTAGAACAATCAATGAGGTGTATAAGACACTTATATGTATTTTGGTGGAGAAAAAGAAAGAGATACAAAACTAATGTAGCATTGGGTGTTTTGGTTAGATTTTGTTGTCGTAGATATTCGAAAAAGTTTGATAGAATCGGATTTTTTTACCCTGTAGGCATGCAAATTATTTCCGCAGTACTTTGATTTGTTTCTAAAAACAATGTTTCGAATTGCAGTTACCATGTCAACTCCCCCTTTGAAGATTGTGGTTTGTGGTGGTGGAAACGGAGCTCACGTGTTTTCAACTTTAGCAGCCACGCGCGCAAACACTGACGTCAGTGTTCTCACAATATTTGAGGACGAAGCAGAGAGATGGACAAAATCCATGAAAGACGGTGTGATGGTATCCTTCACTGCAGCGTCGAACCAAGTGAAATCAAGACCGTCTTTAGTCACAAAAGATCCAGCAGCCGTGATCCCAAGAGCTGACGTCATAGCAGTAGTTGTACCATCTTACGCGCATGCTCCAGTCTTGCAAGCTATTCTCCCTTTCTGTAGACCAAACACATTCATCGTTGGTCTTCCGGCACATGCTGGTTTTGACTTCCAGTTTACACATATTTTTGGAAGCAAAGCAAAAGAATGTACTCTAGCTGTATTTGAGACATTACCTTGGGCATGTCGAATAATTGAATATGGTGCCCATGCGCAGGTTCTTGGGACAAAAGAACGAGTAGGTGCCGCGTTGTTACAGGGGGAAAACAGCAACGTCCCATTTGACTGCATTGCCACACTTCAACAACTGATTGGGGACAAGCCGAAGCTGAAAATGGTACAAAACAGTCTCGTCGTAAATCTGATGGCTAAAACTATGATACATCCACCAATTATGTACGGGAAATGGAGAAATTGGGATGGAAAACCAGTCAAGCAGAAACCTCTCTTTTATCAGGGAATGGATGACGCCCAGGCAGATTTGTTGACTCGAGTTAGCGACGAAGTCTTGCTCATCTCCCAAACAGTCAAAGACAAATGCAACAAAATTGTCCTTGACATTTCACCGATTACTCACATCCAAGATTGGATAAAGGAATATTACGGCGACCAGGTGAAGGACGGAAGTTCGCTGAAACTCTCATTCCAGACGAACCAGGCGTACAACGGCCTTGTTCATCCACTGAAAGACGCAGAGGACGGGGGCTACGTTCCGGACTTCTCATATCGATACGTTCGTGAAGATGTTCCGTTCGGATTGGTCGTACTGAAAGGAATTGCCGAGATCGTCGATGTATCCACTCCGGCTATGGATACTGTGATCAGTTGGGCGCAAGAGAAACTAGGGGCGGAGTATATTGTTGGAGCCGAGCTCAAGGGTCGTGACTTATCACAGACAAGGGCTCCGCAAGTGTTTGGTATCCAAACAGTTGACCAACTGATGCTATCCAATTAGTCATACTTTTTCAAACGTATTATGATTTACTACGCTAAACAGATCTGTAGGCAGAAACACAAAATGAATTTGTTTTTATTCTACACATTGCATCCCCGATACTCCAAGGGTTATGCTGACTTTCGCTCTCTGCACCCCTGGAATATGGCATAGCAAATTCGAAGTCTCAGTGTGCACCACCTTGTGAATGAGACGAGCGAGAAGATTAGTTTGATCCATTGATGTACATCAAACAAATCTCTCGGTCGCGTCACTGTAAATTGACTGGCTTTATAGTCGAGAATAACGCTTTGTATAGCTTCAATCTAGAGTGTTCCTATGATGCAATAATCATTTGGTCTTTGGTTTTGATTATTTCTGATTGATTGAATAATTACGACATAAGAAGTAATGCGTGATATTTTTATTATCATTATTTTTAAGTTACTAATGTATAAATAACAATTTACAAAACATCTTAAAAACGTCTTTGTTGTCAAAAGAAATGAGAGGTTGAGACGACGATTACGTTCTTGTATTACCGTATACACATTAATAAAACTGTTTAAGTTTTTACATAAACGGCCGATTTTTGTCGAGTTGACATCTGTTTTTTAAATAAACGGCATAACAAGCATTTATATATATATAACATATAGCATTGATGGAACATTGTCAACATTGACCATTGATAAAACTGAAGCCTATAAGTTATGGAATTTAGCACGATTACCACTGACAATATTTCTTTCCTTTTTTTTGGAATTTGTCTTGAGGTAAAAAAATACTTATTTGAAATATCTTAACTGTGTCATTAGACCAATGGATCATGACACAGTTGATTCTCGCCAATTGTTGTTAAAGTAAAATGATCAATCTAGACAGAAAGCCACAGACCTTTCCTAATTAAATTTAAGCAAGAGTGAAGGAAAGAAGATACGTTTCCTCTTATCAACTTGTCCGATTGTATTATAACCAAAATGATATCCTTAATCCTTAATAAACTTAAAGTAAGTATGATAAGGTCAATAGCAAAATGGATACAAGAAGGGCAAGAGTAGAGAAATAAAATGGTAATGTTATAACAAATCAGTCTGAAATATTAAAAGAAATTGAACTCTTCTATAAAAACTTTTAAAAAATGATAATATACACGATGAAGACTTAAATATGTTATTAAATGATTAGAATGTGCAAAAACTATCGGATATTGATTCTGAAGCTTTAGAAGAACCATTGGACATTATTGAACTTGCAAAAACTTTAATGAAAATGAAAATCAACAAAAGTCCAGGATCGGATGGTTTCACAGCTTTTTTTTTTTTTTTTTTTTTTTGGAAAAGCATTGGACATTTTATTGAAAGATCTATACATTTTGGTTTTAAGATAACAAACCCATCTGAAACACAAAAACAAGGAATAATAACATGTATACCAAAGGGAGATAAATCTAGAATTTATTTTGAAAAATTGGAGACCGATAACATTACTTAACATTGTATATAAAATTGCTTCAAGTTCAATTGCTAATAGAATGAAAAATCTTTTAAAGAAATTAATCAGTACTGATCAGACAGGCTTTATTCCGGGGAGATATACTGGCGAAAACACTAAGACTGATCTATGATATTATACATTACACAGAGGAAAATAATTTACCAGGACTTTTATTACTAATTGATTTTGAAAAAGCATTTGACTCTATCTCATGGATTTTTATCAGTAAAACACTTGACTTTTTTCAATTTTGGTAAAAATGTAATTAAATGGATCAACTTATTCCAACATGATTCCAAATCAGCAGTAGTTCAAGGTGGCAATTTGTCAAACTTTTTTAATATTGAGCGTGGGTGCAGACAAGGGGATCCAATATCGCCATACATATTCATTCTCTGTGCTGAAATTTTATCGATTATATTGAGAAATAATAAAAATACCAAAGGTATAAAAATAAGAGATAAGGAGTTTTTACAACACGCAGATGCATATGACACCACAGTCATACTAGATGGCACTAGATTATCTCTAAATTCCACTATTTCAGACTTAAATAAATATGCCAGAATTTTAGGACTGAATTTAAATATTTTAAAAACCCAAGTGATTTGGACTGGCAACTGAATATAATTCATTCCGCATACTATTTTAGCAATTGTCCTGTCAAATTAGACATAAAGATCGTACATCTAATTTTTCTCCTTAATATGACATATAACAGCAATTATAATGTCAACGTGTCTGAGAAATTGGGTAGGATTTTCAAATGTCACAGTTTACTTTTAGTCAGGTTTGATATTTTTGTATTTCGTATCCGATGATATGATGTTCCGTATACAAGAAAATGATAACCTTACACGGATGATATTTGAACTGAACGTTACTATATTAAATTGATCAAGACAAGTTCATAATAAATCAACAGTAGGCTGAAACAGTTAGATTATAGCTTGATTGTAGATATAGGGACCGCAGTACCAAATGATTTTCCATTGACGATAGTGTTAACGTTTACCACTGTCCTGGTTAAATGGGGTTATCCACACTGGTTTACGTGCCCTCATTTTGAAGAATATCATCTCACACAACTGTAAATAAAATATTTAAAAATTCTGCCTATTTGAACTTTTTGTATATGGGGGCCGCCATTTTGTATAGATTTTTTTTTTATACATTTTACATCTATATGTATTGCTCAACCCACACATAAAACTTTTGAAACTTCTGCCACCTAAATATCCAACCAACAGGCCCCGAGGCATCTTCTGCCCAAAAGGGAAAACCCCACAATCTATTTTTGATTTGGTTCCGTGGTCCCTATATATGACCTTGTTACAGGAGAGGAATAAATAAGTTGGCATATCTTGTGTCCAATCATTTTGTACATATTTATGCAATATAATTTAAAATCGGCAAACCTACCAAATATACACGTAGAAATTTACATATGCACGACATGAACGTTGAGGTTGTTTTAGTAAAACCCATAAAAGAATGTGTATGTACAGGGACATTGAATACATTTTCATAAAACTAAACCCTGTACTAGCAGGCACAGCAACAGTAAACCCCGCAATTAAAAAACCTAGATATTCGTAACGAAAACGAATCTGAACATAATATTCAAGCAAGTTGTTGTAGCGCTACAAAGACACGGTGGAGTTTTAGACACTTAAGCCACACTCAGACATTTTCACGCAATATGAGGTAATATCATCAACCGTTAACACAGTTTCATTTCATTATAATTACACTATGGTATTAAAAAATCAAAAACATCTTCAACTCTCACATGCAAGATGAATAAGTGTTAACGAGTCCGAGAGCATATTCAGACAAAGGACAAAAAACAACAAAATAGAAAATAATTTACATGTGTTTTTGTCCGCAAGTAAAACAGTATAAGCAAAATATTTAATAAGATTCATCAGTTTGGAAATACTTTACATCGCAGTTTTACATTACGCATGGACTGGACCCTTTGTCATAGCTTGACAAATGGACCAGTCGGGCTTGAAGCGTTGCGACACGTTTAATACGTACATTGTTTGTGTATAAAGTAAAACTTCGATATTCGTATAAGCAAAAGTAAACATATCAAAAGAAATTGTTAATTTAAGTCATATACAATGTTTAAGCTTTCAAGAATCAACATACTGATTCAGCTATATTCATTCAATAAAATAAAAACATAAATAAAAATTGTACACAGTCTGGAACAGTGAAAGGAAAAACAGAAAGCAGGTGTTTAAAGATACATTGAAGAATTATCAGAAAATATTCAAGCAAGTGCAATTAAGTTAAATCACATTGTGCCATGCTCCTTTCACATACATTGCTATTACTGACATTGCTTGGTGGGCTCTGTTGACTTTTGGGGGCAATAGAGGAGCATGTTATAACACCATTAGCTCTTATTTTGGTGCGCCTCAAACACGTACAATGGGGAGAGCGTGTTTCCAACACAATCAATTACGCAGTGATGTGTGTCTCACCTAAAATAGTCTAGTTGTTTGTGTAGCCAACACTTATGATGGCGTAGTTGTCTCTCTGTGTGTGTGTGGGTGGGTGCGTGTGTGTTTCCAAAACTTACGATTGTGTAGTAGTGTGTATGTGTGTATGTGTGTGGGTGTGTATGTGTGTATGTGTATGTGGGTGTGGGTGTGTTTCCAAAACTTACGATTGTGTAGTAGTGTATGTGTGTTTTCAACACCTACTATATGTTAAGTTGTAGTTGTTTGTGTCTGACACTAACGATGGTGTAGTAGTGTGTATGTGTGTGGGTGAGTGGGTGCTTGTGTGTTTCCAAAACTTATGAGTGTGTAGTAGTGTGCATTTGTGTTGGTGTATGCGTGTTTCCAAACTTTACGGTTGTGTAGTAGTGTGTATGTGTGTGGGTGTATGTGTGTGGGTGAGTGGGTGCTTGTGTGTTTCCAAAACTTACGAGTGTGTAGTAGTGTGTATGTTTGTGGGTGTATGTGTGTTTCCAAACCTTACGATTGTGTAGTGTATGTAGTGTATGTGTGTTTCCAAACCTTACGATTGTGTAGTGTATGTAGTGTATGTGTGTTTTCAACACCTACTATGTTGTAGTTGTTTGTGTCCGACACTAACGATGGTGTAGTAGTGTGTATATGTGTGGGTGTATGTGTGTGGGTGTACATCCATCCATGTGGGGTTTTTTGGTATCCACTTCCGGTCCATTTTCGTCCTGGATTACCTTTTCCGGCATTTGGTCAACACTCCTTTGTCGACAAGTACGGCATTGTAAGAAAGGACTGGATCTCACAAGACCTTGGACACAGCCAGGTATTTCACGGGAACTTTCTCTGAAATGTATCCGTAGCTCCAATGTGCTAATTATCACAATAAGTGTTCCTATCACTAGGAGAAATAAAAGGTATTTCCCGAGGAGCGACAGTACAGACGAAACCGGAAGTGACGCACTTACAAACACAGCGAAAGCTAAATACACTGTCATACAGAAACCAAGTTGTTCGCCACTCTCTAACGGGATCGCAAATGTGAACACAGATTGAAGTGAAAGCATAAGGATGGGAGACACAATATTATACATGTAGTATTGTGGTTTACGCTGTATACTGATTGAGAAAATTATCATAGAGCTTTGAGTTAATATAAAGGTTTCGGCACTGTGTCCAACTAAATCCCATTCGCTATTTGCCTGGAAATTTGTCAAACTAATGGCGAATTTGCTTAGCCTTACAATCACTTCTTCTATTTCACTGGTCCATACTCGAACGTTGATAGCACATGTTTGCTTGTCAACGGGGACATACTCCACATCCATCGTACATTTCGTCTGAAACACCTCGTACGGTTCCCAGAGAAGAGATCCATCACTTAGAACACTAATCAAGACAAAACTATCACCTAGAGCCTTCATCTTGGTGAAGCCATTGTCCAATGCCATGTCGGGAGTCCACACTTCAGTCTGAGGTATTAGGAGCGACTAATATGGGGAACCCCCTGCAGAATTGGGGATTTGCTTTGGTGGCCTCTATTTGGGTACACAAAAGCGACCAAAAGAAATCTGCTGCGCCCATTGTAGTATTTTGGATTTTTGTCTTTCTTTCTACTTTTAACTACCTTTTATTTCCTAGCACCTTGCTTGGCAACCCCTCACTTTTGGCTTTAATGTTGAGCGTTCGCCCAGGTGAGGAAGGCAATGGGTTCTGTCCCCAGGCCAGGACATACCAAAGTCCTTAAAAATTGTAGTTGTTATTCCCTGCTTAACGTTCAGCATAAAGGGGAATGGCAACAACTGGTTCACCCGTTGTCAGTATTATGTGACCTGGCGGAATGCTGTGCTTGGTTCCTTCGGCATGGCATTTCAGTGAGATAGCACTATAATATAAAGTCGGCATCAGATCCGCGCTATCACAAGAAGGCGAGCACACCAACATATCCTGTCTCCTGCATACACACACGCAAGCACGCATACACAAAACACATGGAGACACGTCCTCAAATGACCTTAGCTGTTAATAGGACGTTAAACAAAAGTAAACCAAACCAAACCAAATTCCATAAAATGTAAGGCATATATGACGTCACTTTTTTTACGTTTAGTGTTATAGCGTGTCGACACTATGCGACATTTATTTACGTTTAGTGAAACAGTGTGACGTCACACTGTCGTTTATTAACGTTTAGTAAAACAGTGTGACGTCATAATGTCGTTTATTTACGTTTAGTAATAAGGTGTGAAATGGGTAAACATGTTACCCGTCGTCGTGACTGCCTGCAGTATTAGAGAGCGACACTCTGTCAAGTATGCGTTAAGTGCTACAGGGTGTCGTTACAATATCATTGGTTTATATTAAATGTTACAGTCGAGAGGAAAAACATCATGTGTAATACTTTATTTTCACTCTCGTTATTTGCTTATTAAACCTTAAAGAGGAACATTGAATTATTGGCATTGATGTATTTAGGTACACTTTAAAATGTGTATGTGGGTGTTTGACATCTTGAATTGAATATCGCCCCTCCCAAAACCTGAACCTTTGGTTTAGTTTGTTTGTGTCATTTAAGGACGTGCCAGGATTTTGTGGTAGAGGAAAGCCGGAGTTCCCGGAGATAAACCACCGACCTACTGACCTTCCCTGGCGACTGCCACCCGGAAATGTTGTATGCTTCACATTATTGTAATGTTTTATCGTAGGGCACCAATGTAAAAATTGAAACTTTCTTTTTAATATATTCAATTATATTGGAAGGGCTGTGCATATATTTCGAAAAGTGACGTTTCGATGACTAGTACGGTATATGTACTCTGTCACCTTCATCAGACAAATGTGTAAAGCTGCACTGGTCATTTGTCTGATGAAAGTGACAGAGTACATACCGTACTAGTCATCGAAACGCCACATAGAAACACTAATTGGTTGTGTAACAAGAAACTTTTCAGAATCCATATACTTACCAACACGAAATAAATGTTTAGAAAGTGCTGTGCATATAGTTTTATGTTGATCGGCTGGATCACGAAATGTTACCCTGACAACATAAATGTTAGAATTAATACTCACCTTTGCTTCACCGCCATATAAATCTGGATCCCATACAAGATTATCGTCGTTCCAATTTAGGCTTACAGAGGCAGTAGTGGTGAGGTTTTCCTCCACAACGTTAATTTCCATGATTCCTACAAGGTTTAATCTCGTCTCCACAAATACCGGTGTATTATGATCCTTAACGGGGCGTGTGAACTTATTGTAAGAACCTTTGGTGAAAATATCCTGCCATAGTTTCTTAACGTGGTCAATTGTCTCCTCTGACGTCACAAACACGATGTAATGACCAACAATAAACTGCAAAGTTAGACATGTGAAGACTTTCCCAAGAACGGACTGAGGCATATTTGCTTTGATGAAGACTGTTTACAAACAAAATAGTAATCGCAAGATCAAAACGGATATTTATTTACCAATTTTATCTGGCACGGGTTAAATGATTTTTTTTGTAGAAAATCGTCCCAGGGATGGATCGATTGATTTTAATTTCAGTAGCTTATGGTACAAATCTCATTAACCAATGTTTTCGCTGGATTTTGATTTGTTTGAGACACTCGTCGTACCTATCCTGGTTGTGAATGTTGCAGTCTGAAAAATGAAACAGGTCAATATTTCATATCAAAATATTTCATGTAAATCTTCTTATCAAAGCCCTGCGTATACATATCTATACCTGGTTATCTGTGTAAATACTTGTGTCTGCCACTGCACGTGTTGTTAATTAATAATATTAAGGTTCTAAACTATTTAGGAGCAGTGTATTTGCGATCTGGCGGCACCTGAGAACAACATTCTAGAAGGAAATGAATTCAGGAGGCTGTACCAATCGGGAACCGTCGGCCCTTTCCGCCCTTTCCGTAATTCGGAAAGTGCCGACGGTTCCCGATTGGAGGCTGTAATAGACACGTGAAGTGATGATGAACAGTCGAAAATGTGAACATTTGGTTCAGTGAACAGCCGTGACTAGTGCCATCAGTTTAGGGAAATAACACTCCCACGATCTCATACTTAGTTTATAATCCTTTATTTGTCTCCTTCTGTGTCTCTCTCACATTCTTTCACTTCGCGTGCTTTAACTTTTATTCTCAAACTCAGACTCAGGTATTGGTAACTTATTCAGTAAATAAATGTTGTAAATGTACGTTATAAAATGTGATTGAAAAAAAAATCATCTAAGTTTGAAAACTTGCGCCCAAATCCCACTGTAAATGTTTTGCAATAAAATATGCATAAATGAATAATCCGTTATCGGTGGGATTTCCCAGTCGCGTATAATAGCAGTGGGCTAAATGTCAAAGAAATGGCTACGATTTGTCCTTAATTAATTTTATTTTAAGGAATTAAAAACTGTTAATTAATTAAGGGCACCGCAGACTTTAGTAAAAAGTTGTTGATAAAGCTATAGTTGTTTGAAATGTGAAAGTGGAGCTTCTGATCTATGTTTATTTTTTTGTAATTTTCATTTCAAATATTGAATTTTCATTCAAAATAATAGTTAATAAGACTTACATACATTGACCATTTAATTAATTGGCTACCTAAATTCATAATTATAATATAATTATATGTATATTTTTTGCCTCCTGTATAGTATTGATATGGAGATGGCTTATATAGGCTGTGCCTGTTTGCCCAATCCCTTTGACAAGTTGTCATTTTCGTCAATAAAAATTGTTGAAATTAAATGAGAAAATTTCAAACGTTCGCGAAAAAAGCGACGGAAGAAATAGAAAAATATATTATGGAATTTTCGGTATTACCCGTCATTCACTTGCATGTACAATGAATGCTATTTTGTTCTACACATTTTTAGATCTTACTTACCACATACGTATATATCTTCTACTGTATTTCCTGGAACATGTATAATGATGTCTTCTGTTTGCCAGACTCTTCATATATCCATTTTATATATATAGTGCCGCGCCTTCGGTTTCATTAAAGGCATATGAACGACTGTCAAGTCTACGGCAAGTGAATGATCAAAAACAGCTTTTAACTGGATGTTGAGATAATTTAAGTGAGTGATGTTATCAATATATTCAAGTACATATGTTAAGCATTGTATCCGTGTCATATATATATATATATCGATTTACGGTAACAGACATCAAACACTGTATTACAATCATCGATATATTCGTCATGATTTAAGAGATAGTTAAACATTAGAAGCTTTTAGCTTCTTACCGAGTCCTTTTTGTATAATTTATTAATTGTCCTGCTTTTCCTTCGTAATAAAATATATATTTACTAAACAAACATTCGTTAATTCTGTCAATACTCGACAGACAACTCATCAAATATATAGTAGTTTTATTCTTTTGCTAACTAGAAATAGTCACGAAATCGATCGACCGATTGTTTAAAAATACAAAACTGACCAGGACCATATATGTACAGTGGCCATACTGTAATAGAATATATTGTTTGTAGCTTTTTAACCCTTTCACCACTGTAGACTGTAATGGACTCGTCCAGATCAATACATGGTAGAGTCTACTAAAGTTACATAGGGGTGAAAGGGTTCACGTTAACATCGTCTCGCCCAACAGTTCAATCTCGATAGTGATGAACAAACTTAATCATGACTATTCGGAGTAGAAGTTAATGTTTACCTAGCTAATGGCCGTCCCAGATATATATAACTATAATCTAAGTAGTAATTGGTTAGTGTGCTCCTGTCACGTGCAGCTGTCCAAGAACATTTCGTCTGGTCTGACGGCTAACTCTTGTTAATTTTATTAATTACAGTGTAATTGTTTTATTTTTAAACATTTCTTGGTTTTTAATTTACAATACTTATGTCCATCCTGTTCCACCATGTATTGTTGTCACCCATTTGTATATATATATATATATATATATATATTCTCCACACTGTATTGTTTATGAGAATAAAACAATAGTCATTGTCATTATTGTTTTCTTTGTCTTCTTTGTTATCATAACACATCTAATTCATGACTTTTGGCGTAGTTTGTACGTATTTTTATTACAACTTAGTCCATATCAAGCTTTTCAAGATATACCGCGACGCGCATGCACGTGTCCCCCACCTCCGGGTGATATATATAGATTATTAAGCGGCATTTCAGAAAAATGCTAATAGCTCGTTCTCCAAAACATTTTCTTTTAAATGTATATATGGTTCATGGTTCATGGTGGTCGACATCTTCGTAAGCACAGTATTGCTTCTGTTGACGCTTCTTCATAGTTGTTCACATATTTACGGGTTGTGCAGAGGACGCGTATATACTAAAATTACATATTAGTAGCACGATGGTAAAAACTTGATTGGATGGTTGACTTCTGATCATTTAGTTATTACGTCTACGTTATAAATGTATATGATAAAATATTAAACGAAAATTGGTTCGGTGTCATTTTTAAGTTGAAATCCCTCCAAAGTGTAATGGTAAGATATATCCTCCATGCCTTTCACAAACCTTCAAAGGATGGTTTTCTTGAAAGTAAACTAAAGAATGAAAGTTGCAATCTTCTAAAACCTAATATACATACTTAACCATGTGTAATGGTTATTAGAATGCGGTTGTTGGTCTCAGCAGACACGTATGTATTACTACCTTTGGGTTTATATGTATCTGGTGTCAGCTATAGGAAAATTATTAGTTTCTGATATAGGTGATTATGCTGTTATCTTCATAGGTTGTTTTTGATATTTTTTTGTGAAGCAACAAGTGATATACTTTCAAGTAATGCTATTTATTTTAAAGTGCATATTCATATATGTAGCCCATCTTTTTTCATTTACCTTTGATACACGTTTTTTTTTTTTAATTTTCAGATCCGTTTAAAATCCGTTAACACCGGTTTTCAGTCAAATAACTACAGGAATTAAAAATGTAATTCGTATGGTGAGCATAAACTATATATAATCCCGCTTTGCACCCTGATATTTATACATTCCGCCATGGCAATTCAACTTTCCGGATATTTATATCTGCCGTTTCGTGTATTAAGTAAAGTAACACGCTTCCGGGGTCTCATCTGCCTTTTTTGTCAAGATGTCCCTTTGCATTTTATGAAAGATATCGACTATGAAATGCAGAAAGAGGTATATGCATACACACGTTTTGAATTTCGTATATTTGACATGATGGAATTTCGTCATGCATTTAATCATCGAAAAGAGAAATTGTGGCATTGCTTTTTGTATTCCACGCAAACAATTTATGCAAAGATGATTATGCGCATACATGTACTTAACCAACGCATGTATTAGGTCACCAATTTCTTTATCTTATAATATTTGCAACGATTAACAAAGATATAATATCTCAAAAGAAATACTTCTCATACTAAGTCAATCATCTAGAACTTATTTTGTCAATATTTACATCTATATCCGTACGCTACTTCTAGGGAAACTGTCTGTATTTCATGATACAGGCTCTGTCAGTGCACAACGAGCCCCTGTGGTCAATGTACATATGTAGTATGAGATGGGCTCATAACTTTTCCTCAAAATGAAAAATAATATGGAAGTTGGTTGGTAAACCCATGTCAAGAACAATGTCAATAATGACCTTTGCACAAATTATTTGTTGAAAATATTGTTGACTTTGTCTGAAAAGTAACGTTGAATGCAGAATTTTTGTGGCACAAAATTGCAATGAATAATGACACCACAGACTTATAGATCTAATTCTGTGATGAAACTAATGAAAACACTTACATGTAGATGCATTCCTGAAGTATCCATGTATTGACTATTATCGAGAAAAATGTAATGCGCCACTAAAATTCTGCATTCAAAAGTTACTTTTCAGACAAAATCAAGAATATTTTCGACAAATAATTTCTGCAATGGTGATAACTATTGACATTGTTCTTGACATGGGTTTACTTACCAACTTCCATATTTTTTTTCATTTTGAGGATGTATACACTGACATATGGACCTTGAAGTTAATTAGAGCTCTTCTACTGCCATTAGAATATTTTTTTTAAGTTTCCTATTGAACTGTTTCTGATTAATTCCGAACTCCAAAGCTTAAGTCATACCAGTATATTAATATAAAAAAAAGTTTTATCTATTCAGAAATTTTAGATTTATTCTATGAAGACAATGTAAATGGTCCCTCAGGCAAAAATGGGGACATGCAAAGGTTGAAGTTCACAAACATGATCAATTGTAACCAGACATACTTATATGTACATATGAACACAATTTAATTGGCCTATCTTATTTCCAAAATACATTTATTGGCACAGTGTATCTTCAATTGACCGATATGAGGTAATGATTACAAGTCCTTAATCATTAATTTGTGCAAACTTTGCCAAGTTTGATAATACAATGTACGTATTTCAGTGAAACAAGGGAACTAATACATGTACACACTATAACAGGAAATCTGCTGGAGTGGCATGCAGATCAAAGAAATTCATCTTACTTCATCCAGGTTCAAAGCAATGCGCGATCACAGGGACCTGAACATTTGTTACAGCTATATTTGGACCTAGACTAGGGTGTTCAGAGTAATTTTACACGTTTGGGAGGTTTAGATCAAATTTCGGTAAAAATGCCACCCCCCAATGATCGTATGATTTTACACGTATGAGGGGTTTAGATCAAATTTCGGTAAAAATGCCACTCGCAATGATATATATGATCATTGAGATTGGCATTTTTACCGAAAATCAATCTAAACCCCCCAAACGTGTAAAATTACTCTAAACACCCTAGTTAATGTCCAAGCTGTAACAAATTCCCAGGCCCCTGTGTGCAAGATTGGTGCAAGTGCAGTTCGGTAATTTGGGCTAATTAATCTTTTATCCTAACTAATAAATCTAGAGTCTGACTGACTGACTGACCTGATGTAATCTCTTAACATTAGATGATCCAGCTGTGCCATAACATGAAAGTGTTATATTTACATTTTGTTGACTTATTGTTTCCTTATATATCTTTTCAGATTTTGAGGTCAGTGCACCATTCTATCTGTAAGACAAGGCAGCTATTTATGAGGTGATAATGGAAAATAAAGGAATGGTGGGAAGTTCTAGAGGTAATATGAAGGTTGATGAGGGAAACTGTGGAGAAGTTATTCAGCAAGGTTTAGACATGGCACCAGAACTAAATACCCATGTTCAGATTACAAGAACGCGTCCACCTTCCATTAGAATAAAACAGAAAAGGACAGACATTTCAGGTACGGGAAAAACATCGCTAGCTGTTGTTAAGCCTGGTGGTAGTTCAAGACGAGGTTCCACAAAGAACTTTGCCAAAGCTAAAAGTCTCTCAACTGGAAAATCAAGTAATCTTGGAAAGAGATCCGTGAAGAAACGTGTTTCTTCAAAAGGAAAAAAGAAAACCAAACAGACAAAATTGGATATCCAAGCACAAATGCAACGATCGGTATGTAGCAAGTCTGTTGAGGGTGTACAGCAATTAACAATTGACCATGACAAGGATCAAGCAGATTTGAAATGTTTAATTTGTGCCAAAACATTTTCCAATATAGTTGAATTGAACTTTCACACACAAACGCATAACATTATCCATGAATGTGATGTTTGTGAAAAAGTATTCAAACTTGCATCTAGTCTCCGGCATCATAAGCGACTACACACGGGCAAGAATGTTCTCCAGTGTGGTCAGTGTGACCGTGTGTTTATTCACTCGGGTCATTTTAAAGATCATCAGCAGCAGCATACTGGTGAAAAATTATTCAAATGTGAAATTTGCTTGAAAACGTTCACACGAAAGCATACTCTAAAACAACATCAGGTGGCACTTCATGAGGATAAAACTCTACCCGAGTGCGAGTTCTGTGGGATTAAATTCAACTGTGTAAGTCATCTTATAAATCATACTAAAACTCATAACGATCAATCGTCTTATAAATGTTTTATTTGCAAGCAAATATTTGATAGAATTGAACTCTTTGTGAGCCATTTTGAGGCTGATCATAAAGGATCTACGAATACAGACATTTTACCAGTGTCTGGTAATGTGATACAAGGTGATAATGTTACGGAACCTGATAATTCCCTCGAATGTGACCGCTGTGGGAAAGTCTTTAGGCAGGCGTCAAATCTCAAGCATCACTATCGAAAACATACTGGAAAAAATCTGCTGAAATGCGAGTTTTGCGACAGAATGTTCAACCATTCTGGTCACTTGCGGGACCATATGAGAAGACACATGGGAAAGAAAGAGTTTCAATGTACACTCTGTCAAAAATCTTTTACTTGTTCATCAGGTCTGACTCAACATTACAAAGCACATAACATTATTGAGCCAGATAAGCCGTTCAGGTGTGATGACTGTGGTCAAGTCTTTAAGCAGGCATCGAATCTCAAGCATCATTATAGAAAACATACTGGAAAGAATCTGCTGAAGTGCGAGTATTGTGAAAGAATGTTCAACCATTCGGGTCACCTGAGAGACCACATGCGGAGACACACAGGAGAGAAACTGTTTCAATGTAAAATTTGTGAGAAAGCATTTACCTGTTCACCAGGTCTAACTCAACACTACAAAACCCATGAGAGTGGTGCACTCTCCCAGTGTGAAGTTTGTGGTAAAACATTTACGGAGCTAGGTAGTCTGAAAACTCATTTACGTAAACATACGGGGCAGAAAAACTTTGCATGTAAAGTTTGTCAGAAAGCTTATACCTATGCCAGTGGCCTCGCTTATCATATGAAGTTACATGAAACCAGCGTAAAATCATTCAGTTGTGAACTTTGTGGAAAACTGTTCAGACATGCAGCTAACCTCGCTAGTCATTCTCTCACACACACGGAACAACGGCCGCACGCGTGTGATGTCTGTCATAGGACATTTAAGCACAGGTGCAGTTTGAAAAAACATGCTGTGATTCACACTGGAGTGAAACCGTTCAAATGCATGGTTTGTTTGCAGACATTTAGACGATCCGATAGCCTGCAAAGACATAAGAAAATCCACTCCAACCTTGATCAAGTTGAACATTTACATGTAGATAGAAATGGCACGCCTGAATACGCTTGAATGCATATATGTACACTATGTGTTGGTGAAGGCTTCAGGATTTATGAACATGTAGGGGTTAATCAGGGTACTTTTTAAGTCAATTCACAGAGCCATTCTCTTTCAGAAGAGTGTGATTTTCCCCAAATTGCCCCTTTAAAATTCCAAGTTGGGGAAAAATGCATCAATTTAAATAAATTCCTCACAACTGACTGATTTCACAATATGGTAGGCAGGGACAGAATGATCATGTTTTGTCGTAAAGATTAAATAATTAAGGCTTTAATATATAAGTTAACAGCCTAATTCCTTGTAATCAGAGTTCTTTTTTTTTTATTTAATGTCATCTATATTTCAGGACATGGTTCTTTTGTCAGTAATATAATTATGTCCTTATGATTTATTGTCCGTATTTGTATCACCTAACTTTCTGTCAAAACCATTTATTTAATAGAAAACATTTTGAGCAGTTCATAATTATATGAAGCTCTTTTATAGCCCACTATAAGGTGTACATGTAGAACAATGGTTGTAGCTGTTAAGATAATGAAATATTTGTCCAGGGAATAATTCCAGTTTTAGTAAGACAATATTCTTTTACAATTATACAGATCTATGAATACATTTGTATTTCATATACTGTAGCAATAGGAGTTCAAAGGTCATCCAGTGATTGTGACATTATTTTCAATACATGTATATATATATATATATATATAAAGTACATGGTGACATGAATAAAATGTGTTTTCTCAGATCTCCAGTCAGTATTGAATGGTCTCGTGACTGTTCTTTAAATTTACAAATATATAGCTTTGATACAGATGTTGCAGGGCCATACTATACATGTCTAAATATGTATCCCTCAGGCCTAGATACATAAAAGATATTATTATTATAATTTGTTTTAAGAAATGTGATGAGTGATGACATATCTGCAATGATAACTTAGTTAAATCATAAAATGTAAGCAGTGCATTTAAAGATGATAAGGTTTGACCCAAGGGAAATAACTCAGGTATTTTTAAGGCCAATATTTATATATGAATACATGTACATGTAGTCTGCATGTTGAAATTGTTTACAAATAAATCATTTATTACAAAAATGTAATATTGTGGTCATGTATTTCTGAATAAATAAGAAAAAAATGCATCTTGTTAAGTGTAGAAAACATTTATTTAAATATTACGAAAAGTAAATAACTGACAATAAATATTTTCAAATTAAAAACAACCTGTACAAAGGGTTCCTGTTGGTTTACAATAATTCTGATATTATTGACATGGAGTTCTTGTTGGGATGTATTAAAAATGGTACTGTTTGATTAATATTTGTACAGAAAGTACAAATAATTGTACCTGAAAACTTTTCCTCAGTGAATCTTTCACCTTTTACAGTTACAATTCTAACTTTCACTGGTACAGTTCAAACTTTCATGGTACAATTCTAACTTTCACTGGTACAGTTCAAACTTTCATGGTACAATTCTAACTTTCACTGGTACAATTCAAATTTTCACCTTTCACAGGTACACTTCAAACTTTCACTAAGTTTTAATTTTGCCAAGATTTACCATATATATAGTAAGTTGTGTACTGAACTTCATTGTCATTATCATCAAAACCACTATTGGTCCCTCTAACGTTATAGTTCTAGGCATACAAATTCTACATTAGTAATAATCCTAATTCATCAGCCCCATTCTAACAAGAACATCATTATATAATGTACCTGAATTCCGTCAATATTACTAAGTACTGTACATGTACATGTATAGGCATAAGTAAAACAAATATGCATATTTCATGAAAACCCTTCAGTCATCAAAATGTTTGAAAAGATGTGAGGGAAATTTTATAAAGAATTAAATGATATCCTCTATTTGATAAAAAGACTTAGTTTATCATTGTGTGATGTACATGTATAGTCAGGATTTGTCTCAAATTCACAGGAGTTGCATCCTCGATATCCAGGGGGTTCGCTCACTTTCGCTCTCTACACCCCTGGAATATGTCGTAGCAAAATTGAAGGCACGAAGATAGCTGTTTGATTGGTCTCGGATAAAAAAAACCTGACCAATCGCTAGACTGATACCTGTCCTTTGAAGTTTACAAAGGAGAGGCGCCCGACTTCAAAGCCTGACAAATTTTACTGTTATGTGACCGCGAAATTCTTTTGATGTATGTCAAACGATCAAAGTAGTCTTCTTGTCTCATCAACAAGGTGGCACACACCGAGCCTTCAAGTTTGCTATGACATATATTCCAGGGGTGTAGAGAGAGAAATTGAGCGTAACTCCTGGATATCGAGGATGCAGGAGTTGATGTTTCTTTATCAGCATATATATATGCATCATCACTGTTGATAACCTCTGATTCAGTATATTATGTCACCAACAGCTAAACATGAATCAAATGAACCTGCTGCTGTGCATAAACACTTTGTACATGATGAATCGGCATGAGAATCAGATCCTTCATTGTCAGGATGTGTCTGTTGGCTGTATGCCCATCACAGCAATTTGTTGTGGGGTGAGAACTTCAGCAGCGTGCTCAGCCTGCCAGGCAGTTATTCTCTCAGCTCCAAACTCTGCTGACAGCTTATCCAGCTTTACCTGGGATTTGTCCACTTCTTTGTTCATCCTGTAATAATTATAATAAATCCTATAATTATCCTAAATATCATATCATTACGTTACTAATTATAGATTACTTACGTATGCACACACACATACTGTACATGTAATAGCACCTGTCCCTCCTTAGTCTCCTATATGATGTACGTGTAGACAGAGAAATCTCCATCCAAGAGACACGTGTCCGACCATAGCATTATTGATATAGCCCATTGTCTGTTATGTAAAACTTCAAAATATGAAATCTGATGGAGCCTATTTACATGAGTTACAATTCCTTTGTTTGATGTACAAATCTTCAAAGTAACAGAAATCATCAGACTTTTGAGCTACGGTTCCTGCAGCTATACGCTTACCATGATGATGCATTGAAATTTTTTCAGGTAACTCGGAGGCAATTAATATCAGGAATAAAATTCACTTCACATTGCAATGTTTCTATCACAAAAAGTTTGAACAAAAACATACACAAATTGAACCTGGAAAATATCAATTCAATGTTTAAAAGTAATTCCTTTTTTTAAGCATTCATTACTACAGAAATACTATGCAGATGTAATCACCTTCTGCTCTCAGATATGGCTCTGTCAAAGAAATTTGAAGTCCGGTCATCATCAATGTCTTCAGTGGCATCCATCTTCCCATTTTCCTGTAAGAGCAATTAAAACCAATAGTTAAGCTAGAAAAAAAATCATTATTTTAAAGGTTACGCAGTGATGTCATTTAAATATCCAGGTGTTAATTATACACTCTCGTGCTTAAAATAAAAAAGAGTTAAATTTCATAACCTGATATCAAAGTACCTTAAAAATAAAAACTTCAAACTTTTCTATGTAAATGACTGTATAAATCACTAGGCAACCCTCATTTTCGTGTGATATATTATTTGATCTGAAGAACTGCAAAACTGGAGCCAATGGAATAAGCATATCTGTCCACACAGAGGAGATTCAAAATTATATTATTCCATTTAGATATTGTTGCTTACTTGTTCATTCGATCATTATACGGTTCGTACCAGAAACTTACTGAAACAGCTATTAAAAATGATACTTAAATGACTTGATCAGGAATATACTGATTGTTTTCGGGTCTATAAGTTTTAATTACATATTTTTCTTGGTCAAGAATTTTGAAAATGTTATGTGCCTACAAGCTACTATACTGCATTATACAAACATTCCTACAAACTACATTCAAACAGAGAGATCACCAATGCTATACATGTACATACAGTTTTTTGCTGTGTCCTACATATACACGGACCTTGCAATTTTGAACAGATCAGATTTTTTTAATTTGTGAAAAAAATATCTCATGAAAAGAAACAACACATATATATATACTGCAAGCCCTAACTCTGTCAAGCTACCTTTGATGCTACTTTTCCAGTTTGATACCGTTTATTTTCAGGATTTTTTTTCTCTCCATTTTTTGGTGGTGAAGGAAAACCTGAGTGCCTGGAGAAAAACTACCAACATGCTGCCATGCAGAACACGACATGGTGAGCTGGTCCATATGTAGGCCTCGAACGCACTACTCTGCTGACAGTTGTGGAGGGCTATAGTGAATGTAGACGGTCTGAGATGCCTTAACCACTCACGATCGGCCCCCAAGTGAGCATTTTCAATACTATGAAAATATATGTTGGGCTTAATATTAGAATTGTTCAAAATCTGCCTGTATGCTAGCCAGTAGGTACACCTCTACCAATCTAATTAAATTTATGTCTTCACACATCGCTCCCGTTTACTGATATGTGTCGCGCGACATATCAGTAAACGGAAGCCATGTGAAGATATAATTTTAATTAGATTGCACCTATATGTAGTTAATATTAATAACACCCCCCACCCCCGACGCAATATACATGTATAAAAATTGTCCTGTCATCAGAAGCTACGTTATCGTATATAGTATATACCATGCATTGTTGGGGTTACCAAAAGTTGATCTTGTTACTAAGCCTTGTGTGTCAATACACCCATAATTATCCAGAGTTTATTTCCTCTTGCCCTGTCACCAGACTTAGATATGTTGACCAGACATATATCTGTCAAAAGTCTAAGTCTGTGTCAGGGCCAGAGGAAACTCGGACTAAACCAATAATATAATCTTATGGGTGTAGAGACAGACGTGGCTAGTTATCTGTGATCTATGCCCTTAAAATGTCTAGTATTACCCTCACACATCGGTTTAGGTCCAAGCATACCTGAACTTTACTCCAACAATGTTAGAGGTCTTACATGGCGAAAAACTTTTGACAGGCGCCGCGTAACCTCTAACTGCCCATAGGTTCAGTTGCTGTCCGCTGGTTGTGAAAACCCATCAGGAATGTTTTCAAATACTCTGCGGTTACTGCCCGGTCCTCTGCCTCAACCTTCTATGCAAGAGCAGAGATTGTTTGGCGAGTGTGATGCAAGGTCACAAAACATTATGCGCAGGTTCTCGCATGCAATAAAAACCAAGGCAGAACATTTATTTAAGGATTTCCTTGCTGGTGGCAAATTTTACAAAGGCAACACATTCCCACAATTTACATGTCCAGCCAACAACATCACAGTAGAAAGACTAATGGCACAAGTAGACAGCACAATCCACAGAGCACCTAACATAAACACACACAACTTACAAAACACCATCATGTTCAACAACAATGACACAGCACAGTGGCTTAGGGACAAGGGGGAGACTAAGTCACACATTATTATCAAACAAGCACAACATGACAAGAAGGCATACATGATACAAACAGCACAACACAAAACTGACCTTCAACATAAACATTTGGCCATCATACAGGAACGACAACAAACCATCAAGAAACGCAAGGAGAAGGAACACGAATGGAAAACTGCTGTCATAGGAGATTTACATACCATCGGATTGTGGGACAGCGAGACACAAATCACTTCAAGTTTAGATAGCCTGAAAACAAAGAAACAGAAGACCGATGCCATCAGAAAACAATTTGCTATGTGCAGAGAATTATTTGAAATAAACAGTGAAGATAAAGGACTTTTAGCATTCAGCAGCAAAGGCAAAACATTTACTCCAGAAACACTAAAACACAACCTATGTACAATTATCAACATATACCACACACCTCATCACAATACCACACACACTGAACAGTATATTGGAAAACACATCATTCACACATGGACTGATGGTGGGCAGGATAGCCAGTGGAGTGGGAAAGTCCTCAGTTATGAGAAGGGATTATTTAAGGTACTTCACTCTGGATTCACACTGCAATTGCACATCCCCTTCCATCACATGATTTGAAGATGGTGGTATTGGATAGGATTTAACTACGCATGTGATAGGTATCCTCACCACACCCAGGGTCTGGAGGTGTCCTTATTTCTGGCATGCTTCCCACTGCAGAGACATCTAGCGCATTTAAGTCGCACAATAAGAAAATGTGTTTTATTTCCCGATGAAGAGTAAAAATACTGTAAACATACATAAATAAATTTTAAATAACCAGTAAAATTTTAGATGTGATGTAGTAATTTGGATATTTGTATACATGTATATCCTAAAATTGTAATCCCAAATTCACTGGTATTAAATATCTTGAACAATTATTTGTAGTGTGTTTACAGTATAACACAATTCAAACCTTAAAAGGTAACCTGTGTATAAAGGCCAAACAATGGTTTGTTAATAACCAGATATAAGCCAACAGTAACCGTTAACTATATTTTGTGGTGTCGTTTTCTGGAAACTTAACCGAGGTTTGACTGTATTACAATATTCCAGCACTGTTCTGAAATGGACTATCTTGATGATTCACCAACTTTATGTCATTTGGAAGGTTGACATCAATGCATTGTTATGTAATCATTTAACTAACATTGTTTTGGTAAATGTATTGTAAAACACTTTTTTACAGATGAATGTGATTGTTGGTATGATGATGATTGACTTCAATGGAGCTAATTTGAATTAATGTCAAATACATGAAATACAAAATGTATATATGACTTTATTCAAGTTATTCACGGTCATCAAGACTGAGGCACTAATTCAATACCCATTCAACATTTATCACAAGACAAATTGAACATCAATTAAGACTAAGTGTTTTACAGTAGTTGTACAGTTTTATGGGAAAACATAAATACATGTAATTGCAAGTGGCTTGTTTCCATGCCTTTCATTGAAATTTTATTGTATGATGCAGTTAAATCAATGTGTAGTTTAACTTGTTATTTCTCAATATATGTTATCCTAAATCAACAGTATGAAGATCAGTCTGCATGATATATGTTGGCACCAAAAATATGTTATGCAATATCATTTCAGTTCATGTTGTTTGTTATAATGACAGTTTGTCTTCCATGCATATGAGGACCAATGACAACATAACTATAATTAAATAAGAATCACAGGCAGCAGTGACTATCACTTTATGGTATCTGATACTGTTGGCTCGTTGTTTTATACCGTAAATTTAGGTAATATTTGTGAATTTGACTTTTGATGATGTCACTTGGAAATGATAAGAACATCTTTGTAACCTCAATCTTTATACTGAACAGGTTCAGTACTGGCCGATTGGTGAACCGTGTAATGGGGCTGACGGTGATGACAATGTGTTCCTGGTGAGCTTGGAAGAGTTTCTGCGTGACCTCAAGGAAGGCAGTCTTACAGTTTCCTCATAGGTATAATGGATGCAGCATGAGCCATGCAATATTAAATGTGTACAAGTTAATGCCACTATTGAAAAGATAAAAAATGAAACACATTTCATTATTAATACAACGACTATATAAACAAATAAAGGCTCTAGATATAATTGACTACATTCACCCACATAGGCCTAAGTAATACAGTTTTTGTTTTTTGTTTCACCAAATTGTTTTAATATGAAATGGAGAATTATTAATTATTTCAGATACCTCTAACTACATACCATACAAACATTAAAGGAAGCTAAATCAACATACCGAACTGGAAGGTAAGTTATTTATGTTGTTTTGTTGTGATTACAGCACTTGTGAATGTTTTATTATGAAGTTATCATGTCAATAATAACAAGAGGCCCATGGGCCTTAACGGTCACCTGAGTCCTACAATATTTATTTTTGTTGTTGAAATATGTACCAATTTGAGTAAAAAATAGTATAATGTTAACTTAACTTTGTCAGGACCATGAGCTGATCATTCCTAGACCAATTTTAAGTGAGATCGGCCTATTAGAACTTAGTAGCAAAATAGCGGCCATTGCAGCCAAATTGTATTTCTGATTGACCCGAAAAATAACAACACTTTGTCAGGACCATCAGTCAATCATTCCTGCAAAGTTTCAGTTCAATCGGCCTAGCAGAACTTGACTTTAAGTTTGAAATAGTTTTTCAAAATGGCGGCCGTGGCGGCCATATTGGATTTCTGATTGACCCAAAAAATAACAACACTTTGTCCGGACCATGAGGCGATCATTCCTACCAACTTTCAGTTCAATCGGACCAGCAGAACTTGACTTTAAGTTTGAAATAGGTTTTCAAAATGGCGGCCGTGGCGGCCTTATTGGATTTCTGATCGACCCGAAAAATAACAACAATTTGTCAGTACCATGAGGCGATCATTCCTACCAACTTTCAGTTCAATCGGCCCAGCAGAACTTGACTTTAATTTGAAATGTAAAATGTTAACGGACGACGGACGACGACGGACGAAAAAGGATAGCAATAGGTCACTTGAGCTAAAGCTCAGGTGACCTAAAAATCAAATTTACACTATATTCCTTTTAGGCAATATAGTAAAGATATTTACATTATCATTGGTGTTTGATAATGTTTAACATATTAAACAAATTAGAAATATAATTCGTCACTAAGTGGCTAAAAAATCTAATATGTATCATATAAAGGTTGTGAGGAGTTTTCAGAAATGCACTATACTTTACTTTAGGATGGCAATATTGTAAGGGTTGTCTCCCTTGCTCTGATTTTACTTCAGTACTAAATATTCCAGTTGACCACAGAAAGTATAAATTATTCATAGCATATAATTATGCAGGAACCAATGAAAACCTAGCTTACTGTTCACTTAAGTGACCCTTGAAGTATTCAAAACACCAGTTTTCATTGGTGAAAGAATTACTTTATATTTTTATTTGACCCTGCTAATGCCATAGCTGATTTTCCCGATGCTGACGATCACATTTTCAAAGTTTGGATTAAGAAAGAGTATATCGTGTTTACATACATGTAAATGGTCAAAAGGGTCCAATTAATATTCCTTTCCATAAATCCATGATTATATGAGAAAAATTGCGTGTCAAAGACATAAATAATGAGTTTTTCCTCATTCGAAGCGAAGCAGATGATTTTCCCGGTTAATACAAAAATGGATTACATGTAATGTTTCACAAGCGGAATACAAAAAAACTCCGTATCATTTCGTTCCGTTTGAAATCCCCCCTGCTATTTTGTATTAATCCAGAAGCCATGTTTTAAATGTAGGTCAGAGATGTGCTACAACGACATGGACATGTATTTTGAGTGTTCTATTCCGTAATATACTATATATTTGTGTCTGTGACATACATATGAGATTTATATAATATAAACCGTGAGTAGACATCGTTGTCATGAACTGTTAACCACTTAAGTGAGTTTGTAAAGCCGATTTTGTTCCGCCCGAATTTCGGGCGGAAACTGCATCAAAGAATTAGTGCTTCGGAAATGAGAGGTCGCAGTCGGCAAAATCATATCCGATTGAAAAAAGGCCGACCAGCGGCCTCTCATGTTATGGGAGTAACCTGAACTTATCAAACTTCCAGGTCCCTACATTCAGTATGGCAAAGATAAATAATCTTTTTTGTCAATGTTATTGTACAGAAACTGGACATGCATGCACTGGTAGGCTTACAAGTATGAAATAAAAAAAATAATGTACACACTAAAAACAGTGTGCACATTTTCAAAGAGACTAACTCTAAGAAGGATGTTCTAACTCCACTCCAATAAAAAAATATTTGAAAAGGAAATATATACATGTACAATCGAATGCTATCACTTATTTTCGACTAACTGTCTGTAGTCGCAGATGGGATTTTAATAAGCCCGAGTTACCTCTGGCTCCCCGACATATTTCTTCTTCCTTGTATTTGCCTTCTTCAACTGGTTGAAGATACTGCAAAGTTTTGGAGTGTTCATTACATGTGAGAACAGGTTAAAAAGTTAAAATAGATAAAAGTTCCTTGAATTGTTTTATTTATTTATTTGTTTTGACAGATAGATGGCCACACCAGACATCTATCTGTCAAAATGTCTAAGTCTGGTGTCAGAGCCAGAGGAAACTCGGGCTAAGATGTGATTAGGAAGTGTAAAGTTGTGAACAGGTGAGATAAACGATGAATGGGTCGCCACCCTCTCTAAAATAAGTTTACCCCCTCCCCCCTCATCAAATGTTTTGTGTTGTGTGTCTAGCTGCTTTTAGGTTCTACCCAATGTTCATCCATAGATGACCAAAGTAAAGCACATAGTAACTCACTTTTTGACGCTGGTAATGATGAGTGATAAACTCTTCTAAACTTTTTTCGTCAGAATCGTTAGCATCGTTCGGCGTCTGCTTCTTGTCGCTGTCCGCCATTTTCAAACAAATTTCAACTATGCGGAGTTGTTACAATAGTTTCGTACGTATTTTTATAACATGACGTACATTTTTTAATTGATGAAAAATGGACATTTAAATTAATTATCTTGTGTAATTTCTTATTTAATAACATAATTTCAATGAATATGATTGCAATGAAACAAAATTTAACGCAAAATGCACACCGTATTTGGCCTGTTACCAATAACAACAAATATTCGGAACCTTTCTAGCTGTTTTAGAAAATGGGTGGATAAAGTCCGATGCTAATTGGTTTTGCAGGTGCCCGTACAGCGCGCCTCCTATCGGTAGTTGAGCTTAGTTACAAGGTTTTGTAATTACGTCAATGTAAGATTTTGATAATTGGTGTCATATCTATTGTATTATATCCAATTAAAGAAGAACAAAAGACCTAACTACAATGCCAGGGCGTAGAAAAGGCCGAGACGACAGCGACATGGGTTCGGAAAAGGACGAGACGGGGTCTTTTGAGACTTTACGCGATGAAGGAATGTATTTCGTACATGTTCAACTATACCAGAAGGCAGTTGAGAGTTTCACACGGGTACTGATGTATTTTATGTCTTTTCTTTACTTTCTTTTGTGGATTTAAATAATGATTATTAGATTAGGTTTTGGCAAATTGATCGGCTTAGAAGGAACGGCCATTTTGTATTGTGGATATGTATTGCTAAGCCTACTTACTTTGGCTAATAACATAATTAGATTTATGAGTTTGTTCAAAGTCAAAGCTGGATTATCCCAGGTGTTAAAAATGCATAATATGCAATACTTATAAAGCAATGTATTTAAGAAGTCACTTATTAAATGGCAATTCTAATTCATTCTGTAAAATAATTAATAAAAAAATATTAGTCTGAGTTATATCTCTGGCCCTAACACCAGACTAAGGTTAGCCATTTTGACTGGAAGATGTCTGGTGTGGGACATCTACCTGTCAAAATGTATTGGTCTGGTATCAGGGCCAGAGGAAACTCTGTCTTATAGAAATATTGTGTTATATACCATGGGCAGATCTAGATTGACACTACCCAGATAGCACACCGCCGATGGGCCAACGTAGGCATACAAAATTGGCCCAACGGCTTTTTGTCCGTTGCCCCAATGTTGAACCACTGTTGGCAGAACATTCTGTTGGGCCGTTGTCTGAAAATATTGGTGGGCCAACGTTGGGCCACCGTCTGATATTACTAAAATTGTACTCCTGTAACAACGCTCGAACACCCCGCCCGGTATATTTTACATTTCTGTCTGTTTAAAATACGGATTTTAGTGATTTCGTTTTGTATTTCAACCAAACAAGAGTTTCTTTCCCAGTGAATATGCAAATCGGGATCTGGAATTATCCAATCACGATTTTCATCACTCTACATGCCATTATGTCACATGGGCAGATGGTGCGAACAGGACATGTGGCTAAACAACCAGAATTTGAATTGAAGTTATTTAAGGATGTACTCTTCTGAGGTTTCAGTCACGTTCAAGTCTAGTTTTGATCTGGTGTAACGGGTTTTTGTAATATTTAACAAATTAAGATAGGTATAATAGCACACACACATCTGAAAAACATGTAAAAAAACCTAGATGTTTGTTGTGTGTAGAACATTTTTTACAAGAATTTAAAAAAAATGACCAATTTGGCGGCCATTTTGAAAAAGTGTATTTATGTGAATTTCTTGCCTTCACAAAGGGCCAAAATTTCAGCTTTTTTGACACTAGATTGATCACTTAAATTGTCATTGTGTCACCATTGTTAACTGTAGCAGGTTCAATTTTGCTGTACAACTTTATAATGTTCAATATGATTAAAATAATATGCAAAAAGGGGAAAGTTATATATTATTGATATAATTTTTTACATATTAGTGTTACTGAAGCACTTTTGATTTTTGACCTCGAAAAAGGTGAAAAATAACACAAATAATAATGGGACAAAAAAAGAAGCAGACCGACCCCCCCATTTTTGTGGCTGTTTTAGAAAGAGAAACACGTTTTCTTTTGATTCATTGAATACTTAAATAAGTTTAATACAGGATTTTTTTATATCAAGCGTTTAATCTGCAAAAAATGGTAAAAAATGTGCATTTTTTCATTAGAAAATAAGGGGTAGGGGTAACTAAAATCGCATTTCTGAGTAAAATGAATAAGATTATAAATTTTACTTCCATAGTTTCAAAGAAAATAATATTTTTATCAATTCTAAAAACATTCATACATATCTGATAACACACTTGGAAGAAATTGTGTGAATTTGTTCTGCAAATGGGCAAAACCCGAAAATTCACCTAAAATCACATATTGTGTTAAATTGGTATCTTTGACCGATCATAGCACAAAAACAAGCACACGGACATATATTTTTTTTTGCATTTTCTACTATGCCATCATCTCCTTTTTCCAAAAATCAAGATAAGAAAAAAAGTTTAATACAGGAAATTTTTGACTTCTCAGAGGTGTACATCCTTAAAAACGAGTTGTCAATGAAAATAGAATGTACCAGGTAGATCTTATATTATATTCAACTTTATCATTTACACGTTTTCATCCTACTCGTAGATAATTGCAGATACATCAGTAACTTACTTTTGTCAAGACACTGCAACACTTGCCCGCTTCAAATTTCTCCCCCAAAGCTACATTCATAACGAGGCTATACCGGATATCCATTAGACTATGGTTGGATGATCCCGTTATTTCTGACTGTTGGTCAATGGCGAGATGCGATCGTTGGCTATGCAGCTAAACTCCACCGTTGGGCCAACGGCGCGATGCGATCGTTGGCAATGCAGCTTAACTCCGCCATTGGCCCACTGCATAAATTAAATGCGCAGAAATAGCTGATTTCTTTTATTCAGTGACATAAAATTTTGACTAAAAATCTGTTAAGGTTGAATTTATAGTCAATTACAACAATTTTGATATTAATATGAAATATTCAAGGGTTATCCCCGACAATATTTTTGAGCTCAGACATAAACCCAACAAAATTTGCCCATCTTCCTTTACAATTTAATGGAAAAAAATCGATCAAAATCTAAACATAAAATATATAAATTATACATGCTTTATTATATAGACTTTGAAAAGTAATGATAATTCTTATTTCAAAAGAGATTGAAAATGGGATTTAGATGCTTATAAAAGGCCATCGTTTTTTCCAGACTCAAGGTTTACATGTAGGGAGGTAACCTAGTTCAGAAATGAAAATTGGGGCATTTCCGCAAACTTTTTTCTTTTTTAGCCCAATTAAGTTTCTGTGGCCCTGACACCAGACAGACATTTTGACAGATACATTTCTGGTGTGGCCAACATCAGACATCTACCTGTCAAAATGTCAATGTCTAGTGTACTACAGTCAGGGCCAGAGGAAACTTAGTCTAGTATTTTATTTGGTATTCAGGTATCATAAGTTTTGTCAGTTTCCTTCTCTGTATCACACTATTGTAAGATCTTAATTAAAAAGTATTTCATACACCTACCCTTACTATTAATGTTTTCTGCAAAGCTATGTTACAATTTATCACGATACATAATTGTTATTATGGGATATATAATTAGTACATGTACTATATGGGATAGATGTATTCCAGGAATTCAAACATTCCTAATTTAGTTCTTACTGTTGATGATGTTGAATTAAATTATGATTCTAGGCATCTGAGATGAATCCCGAAGACAACGTGGTGCTGGTCACTCGTGCCAAATGTTACCTACAACTGGGTATGGCAGAGAACGCTCTGGCCGACGCTGAACAGGCGCTCAGTCATGACAAAGATTATATTAGGGTGAGTGATGCATGTGTATGAAAATTAGGATTTTGCTTTTTAGGTCACCTGAGCTCTAGCTCAAGTGACCTATTGCTATCCGTTTTGGTCCGTCGTCGTCCGTCGTCCGTCGTCCGTTAACATTTTACATTTCAAACTTAAAGTCAAGTTCTGCTGGGCCGATTGAACTGAAAGTTGGTAGGAATGATCGCCTCATGGTCCTGACAAAGTGTTGTTATTTTTCGGGTCGATCAGAAATCCAATATGGCCGCCACGGCCGCCATTTTGAAAACCTATTTCAAACTTAAAGTCAAGTTCTGCTGGACCGATTGAACTGAAAGTTGGTAGGAATGATCGCCTCATGGTCCTGACAAAGTGTTGTTATTTTTCGGGTCGATCAGAAATCCAATATGGCCGCCACGGCCGCCATTTTGAAAACCTATTTCAAACTTAAAGTCAAGTTCTGCTGGACCGATTGAACTGAAAGTTGGTAGGAATGATCGCCTCATGGTCCTGACAAAGTGTTGTTATTTTTCGGGTCGATCAGAAATCCAATATGGCCGCCACGGCCGCCATTTTGAAAACCTATTTCAAACTTAAAGTCAAGTTCTGCTGGACCGATTGAACTGAAAGTTGGTAGGAATGATCGCCTCATGGTCCTGACAAAGTGTTGTTATTTTTCGGGTCGATCAGAAATCCAATATGGCCGCCACGGCCGCCATTTTGAAAACCTATTTCAAACTTAAAGTCAAGTTCTGCTGGACCGATTGAACTGAAAGTTGGTAGGAATGATCGCCTCATGGTCCTGACAAAGTGTTGTTATTTTTCGGGTCGATCAGAAATCCAATATGGCCGCCACGGCCGCCATTTTGAAAACCTATTTCAAACTTAAAGTCAAGTTCTGCTGGACCGATTGAACTGAAAGTTGGTAGGAATGATCGCCTCATGGTCCTGACAAAGTGTTGTTATTTTTCGGGTCGATCAGAAATCCAATATGGCCGCCACGGCCGCCATTTTGAAAACCTATTTCAAACTTAAAGTCAAGTTCTGCTGGACCGATTGAACTGAAAGTTGGTAGGAATGATCGCCTCATGGTCCTGACAAAGTGTTGTTATTTTTCGGGTCGATCAGAAATCCAATATGGCCGCCACGGCCGCCATTTTGAAAACCTATTTCAAACTTAAAGTCAAGTTCTGCTGGACCGATTGAACTGAAAGTTGGTAGGAATGATCGTCTCATGGTCCTGACAAAGTGTTGTTATTTTTCGGGTCGATCAGAAATCCAATATGGCCGCCACAGCCACCATTTTGAAAACCTATTTCAAACTTAAAGTCAAGTTCTGCTGGACCGATTGAACTGAAAGTTGGTAGGAATGATCGCCTCATGGTCCTGACAAAGTGTTGTTATTTTTTGGGTCGATCAGAAATCCAATATGGCCACCACGGCCGCCATTTTGAAAACCTATTTCAAACTTAAAGTCAAGTTCTGCTGGACCGATTGAACTTAAAGTTTGTAGGAATGATCGACTCATGGTCCTGACAAAGTGTTGTTATTTTTCAGGTCAATCATAAATCCAATATGGCCGCCACGGCCACCATTTTGAAAACATATTTCAAACTTAAAGTCAAGTTCTGCTAGGCCGATTGAACTGAAACTTTGTAGGAATGATTGACTCATGGTCCTGACAAAGTGTTGTTATTTTTCAGGTCGATCAGAAATCCAATATGGCCACCACAGCTGCCATTTTGGTAAACTATTTCAAACTTAAAGTAAAGATCTACTTGGCCGATTGAACTGAAACTTTGTAGGAATGATCGAATCATGGTCCTGACAAAGTGTTGTTATTTTTCGGGTCAATCAGAAATACAATTTGGCTGCCATGGCCGCTATTTTGCTACTAAGTTCTAATAGGCCGATCTCACTTAAAATTGGTCTAGGAATGATCAGCTCATGGTCCTGACAAAGTTAAGTTAACATTATACTATTTTTTACTCAAATTGGTACATATTTCAAAAACAAAAATAAATACTGTAGACTCAGGTGACCGTTTAGGCCCATGGGCCTCTTGTTTAAGTTAAAACATGTTCATAATTAAACCTTCAAAGTTGTTTTTGGAAATTCAAACATTTCAGAAATATTTTAGAATCTTTTTAAAATTAATTTTTTAAAATGTCAACTTTTCTGTGAATCAGCAAAAAAAGGTGCAGATATTTGCATGAATATGGTGGATGCTTAGAAATTAAATTGAATGCAGTAATTTATGATCTATAGTTGAAAATTGTCCTATCAGAGAAATTCTTCTACAAATCTAAGAAAATTGGGGGTTTGCAAATATAATATAGATAGACTTAAGATGAAATGCTTAATTGTATTGTTTAATGTCAATCAAAATGTCTTTTCTACTTTAATTAATTCTGATGCTTTACCAGAAGTAAAAGAAAAAAATGTATAAATCAACTGTTTGTAAGTCTGGCAATAATGAACATTTTGGCAAAAAATGGGCTTTTATTTTCAAATTTGGGAAGGGGTCTATTTAACATCCTTATAAAGGGGAGATAAGAATGTGTTGTAATCATGACGACCTATAGCTAATTGGCAAACTTTCTATTTCAAATTTAGGGTTTGTTGATGAAAGCGGAGGCCTTGTACCAGTTAGGGCACTTCGAGACCGCACTGGTGTTCTTCCATCGAGGTCACAAGCTGCGACAGGAGCTGGGAGAGTTCCGACTGGGCATACAGAAAGCACAAGAAGCCATAAACAACAGCATAGGAGGTGAGTTATTAAACCATAACTGCCTTTTTTACCTTTTTGTTACATCGTGAAATGAATTTTTCATAATTGACTTGTCATTTATATGGTAGAGGCTGATTTGCTTTCAAAAAATTTCTGTGTGAATATATTCATATAATTTTTGATACAGAGTTTCACATTAATCTATTTGATTATCATATATATATGTATGTTCGTTACTTAAATATCAGAATATTAAATTGACACCGTTGATAATGGTAAAAGTTCTTACATATTTCATATTGACGTCTTCTGTGATTATTACAGGTCCTTCTTCGGTGAAACTTGACACAACAGGCGACTTGACCTTCTTTGATAAACAAGAAAATGTAAGCATTGGCTATTTGTTTTATTATTGCTTTATAATTAGGTATACATCATTTTTAATTTAAATCTGTCATAATTTCATCATGGATAATATTTATTCACTATGTGACGTTTATATAGTGGTTTTATTGCAGTTGATATTGAAAATAATTGTGAAAGTATTGAAAATGCATTGTGTTATAAATATTGTTGTTTTCCTATACTTTGTTCCTGACATATATATATTAGAAATATTGTAGATGTTTTTTCGCACAGACATTATCTAATCCCATAGTAGATTGCACTTTCAGTTATGTATATATATTCTTTATACATGTACTTTCCGTGTATATAAAAAAACTCCTACATTCAGCATATTCAAAACATGACACTTTCATTTTATGACAGATGAAAATTTTCACTATGTTCATTAAACACACTGAAAATCAATGAAAAAGAAGAAAAAGTTACATAAATTTGAGACAACAATAACAGCATTTTTTTATAATTTATATACATTAAATATAAAAAAATAATCTGATTTTAATGGAAATGTTAAGAAATGATTAAATTAAAAACTGAATTGGATAAAAAAAACACCTGACAAATAAAACTATTTAACCTTAAATCGTGACTTTATTTTAATTTTAATTTCGGATTACAGGAAATTTTTAATAGTACTTAACTAAACAAACAATACCCATGCATTCTGCTAGAAACTAAATAAAAGAAAAAATAGAAAAGAAAACCTAAGTTTGAATATTTTCTAACAAACTAGGAGAAAGTAATGTAATGATAATGTTAATATAGCGCCCCATTATAATTTGTAAAATTACTCTAAAGCACTTTATCATCTAACAAACTAGGAGAAAGTAATGTAATGATAATGTTAATATAGCGCCCCATTATAATTTGTAAAATTACTCTAAAGCACTTTATCACATATGGATAATAGTATTTGTTATAATTGTTCAACAAAAAAATCTTACAATCACCATTATACATCTATGTATAATAAAGAAAGTGTATATTATTTATGCATTGACTGAAAACATGAACACTGTACAGATCTAAATCATGTACAATATGTAGGGAAACAGTAAGACAATACAGTTTGTCAAAATATTAATAATACATTTGTGTAATTCTCTTATTTTAGTGGCTGAAAGCGGTAATTTTTTTACTTACAAACATTTTAAGAACTCGGATTGCTTTGGTGAAATTTATAACTAATGGTGTGATACATTTTATTTAACATTGTCGGCATATATTTGAGTATTGTATGATTTTATTATTTCATAAATAATATTCCCAGATATGCCTCATTGCAATTGAATGTGTATGGATGGGGAACAATAGAATGTTTACAAAATTCGGCGTTGATTTCAATGAAATTTATTCTTATCTTTCCTTCAAAATAACCATTTATGTTAAAATATATGTCAAGTTATATAACATATTATTAAACATTTGTGAAATTTTCCATGGATGTAAATTAAAGAAATCTAGAAATTGATGAATAAAATCATGTATTTTACATCAAGACATTTATGGATCATACATATCTTTGGAAATCATCTCTATATCAGAGGACTCGGTGATAAAATATCTTTAACCCTTTTACCACTGTAGACCATAACAGACTTGAGCTCACCCATATCAATGCGTGGAAGAGTCTACTTCAGTTACATAGGGGTGAAAGGGTTAAGTAGTGTTTCAAATGTATCATACATATGATCTAAACAGTTGTTAAACTAATGGCGTGATTGTTTTTTGGCATTTCAACAATTAATTTATATATATTTTTCAATATTTCTTGAATTGATATGTGCGCGTGTGATATGGTCGAGATAAAGGTGTAGTCCTAACATTAATATGTGAATGGATATTTTTACCAAAGATTTTTTTTTATGAATTCAAGAAAGCAGCCGAGGAAGTTATAGTGAAACGAAAGGTGATATTTAGAATTTGGAGTGATTTTTTTCATTATACTTGATTACAGGATTTATATATATATATATATATATCTATGTGATTTTTCTATATGTATTTTTTTTCTGAATTTAAAACTTCTATTTCATGAAGTATGCACCTCATGAAGACCTGTTTCCAGTAAAGGAGGTGATATATTGTGTTTTTAAGTCATCAGTTTTACTTAATAATTAATTAATTAAATTATAAAACCCTTACCAACTTAATTAAGATTAACACACCAATCTGTACCTAGAAAAAGCTACTGGAACGAATTGTAGAATAATTGTATTCAATTTTTAGCCAGTTATTGAAGCAGAACCAACGTCGGAAGATGAAAACAATAAGGTATATGTTGTAACGTTGACACAAAATGTTGTTTTGTGTTTTAACTGTCAACAAAGCTTCTTTTCACAAACAACCTGTTATATCTTTAGACTCATATGTATATCTATACACAATGATTATACAGCATGACTAGAAATGGCTATTCTCAGTCTTTGAATGTTTAGATATGTCTATAAATTCATCGTTTAAATTAATTAGTCATTTAGTTTTCTTATTTGATAACTAATAGTACAGTATAGTTTCTTTTTTATCACAATGAAATCTAAAAAAAAAAATGAAATGAAATCCAGATTAATTTTTATTCCTGCATTAAGTTAATCTGGTCAGGGTATATCTCTGTCTGTCAAACTTTTCTTCGTAATTGTTGTCATTTGAAATACTTTTTATATGTATTTGTAACTCTAATAAATAAAAAGTGAGGTGAGTTATTCAAGTCTATTAATTATAACCTCTCGTTAAATTTACAGATTTTTTTATAGACAAGTAATATAGTAAAATATATGTATGTTACAGAATATTGAGATCTTAATACGACGGAAGCTTATTAAGTCAACGTCAAATTTAAGTCTTAATACAATTTGAGATTATTTAATTTTTGTCGAGTGCTTTTAGATCAGGGTGCATGTGATAGTCCTTGATAATAATGCTACAAAGAGTTAATTACTACTGAGTATAGAACAGCGCTTTCTGACAAAAACTTACTAGCATTATTTTAACCTCGGAATGAACAGAGTACTTTTATAATAGATTGCTTTATAAATCTGACAGTCACAAACTTGCATGAAAACGTCTTTTATGAACTTAATTGACACTATAACGATCAGAGGTACCTATGATGTCACACTTGTCTGCCTCTATGATGTCACATTGTCAACAAACTCTCTTTACTATTACTCTCAGTTCAGTTTCTTCATGTTGTCATATAGTTCAAAGTCTAGTTTTTGAACATTTTAAAGTATGAGAGATGTAAAGTTGGACTTTTCCTTATTTTCGTAATTTTCAAAATGCAAAATTTAAGTATTTTGTTTAGAAAGTTCAAAATAATTGATATTATCAAACAATTAAAACTTCTTTTTACAATTAGATTGGTACAGAAATTTTACTAAATTTATCATTATTAAGTTGACTATTCTTAATACAACCAAGTCTTGGACTTAGGTGTTGAAAGCCTTGTTATCTTAACGATTTATTAATACATATTTCAATAATGTAATTTTTGAGACATTTATGAAAAAAATATCAAAATGTCTTTTGATAGTTATTTGGAATCCATTTAAATCAAATCATAGTATTTGATATCAATATATTTTGAAAAAGTAAAGATAAAGTTTTTCAGTTAAGTTCTTGTTAAGCTAATGAGCTTATGCTCAACTGAACCTTCTTTTGAATAGATGATGTTTTTCTCAATATAAATCTATTTTTCTTTTTTGACTTTCTCTGCATTGCAGCTGCCAAAAAAATGCACACAATTTTTAAGCGTCACACCAACTGTTTCTTACAATTGTACATATTGTGGCACTTTTATTCATACATCTTTACTTTTTTAGTATAAGAGTTCGTAAAATACCATCATTAGTCTGTTAACATGATACATTTATGAAGTCTGATGAAGAGGACCTACAGGTCTTGTATCAGAAAAAAAAAATGTAATTAAGTCGTTTTGATGGTTTATTTCATTGGTTTGTTATGAGATATCATATATGTACCTGTATCCATATTTGATTATTTTTTTCAGCTATTATGATAAAATAATAAAAATCTCTTTCAGGACTGGAACAGATGCAGTAAATGTGTTTGAATATGAAAATTATTCAAATGTTTTAAATGTGTTTCATTCCTCGGATTTATGTAATAAGACAATTAATTTATACAATGTCTTGCTTTTCCTGTGGGAAGCTGAATTATTCACATGTTTGAGTAAGATTTTTTTCATTTCCTGGTACAGGGTATTTCATTTCCTGGGATAATGTAATAATAAGACAACTGTAGAATGTCTTGGTATTACTGAGCCAGGTAACACACCATCCCTAATCAAGAAGCAATAAATACATGAATTTAAAAGTAAAAGAGTTAAATATGTTAGTTGATGTAATAGATGTACTAAGAGTTCATTTTCATCACAATTCTTCTGCTATGTCCCATTATAGGATCACAGACGGAAGGTGAGGGAGTTACGATCAATATCTATTTCAATTATTTCTTGTTTCCGAAATCTTCTTGAAATGATTTCTTTTCACTTGTTTGATTTATTTTTATCTTTAGAGTCTGGCGTGGAATTTTACCGCATTGAGTGCATTATGTCATCAATGAAACTTACAGATTTTTAGAAAAAAAAACATTTCCGTATCTTTTAACATTTCAAATTTTTCCATTAATTAAGGGTGTCGGAATACAGTAAAGACTGTTATTTAGTCAATTAATCCTCACACTTCTCCCTGTTAACACAGCTCTGTATAAAACTGTTGTAGTTCACACTTTAAAGAAAAGATAAAAATTCAATTAATTACGAATAAAACAAAAAACAGACATCGGTACATTATTGTCTCTTAGAGAAATAACTATATATATCTCGGTGTACACTTTACTAACCTCATATTTAAGAAGATAATCAACTTTCAATTACAGAATTATATTTATTTCATATTCAGGATTATTAACATTATGTTAATTTTTTATTTTTATGTTTAACGTCAATACATGTTGATTTTTATCTGAACAACATCCATTTAATAGCAGCACCTTAATAGTTGGTTTGGTTGCACAAGTTCATTTTGCACACATCAATTATCATTCTGAATAATTTGTTAAAATATTAACTCTCAAGATTTTTTCTAAATTATACGTTTGCAAATATGACTATCATACTTTTAGATTTATCGAGACTTTGATCTGAAAAAAATGAACGTATTGATAATAATTTTGGATGCTACTGAAATTTCCTGTTAATGTCACTTTGCTTAATATAACTTCTGTTAATATCATGTTTTTTATCAGCAATTTTGTGTTCTACACAGATTCTGTGTAATTGACCATGTCTTGTCATCAAGTGATTTGACCTGAATCTGGACTCTACAGTCCTTATATTACCAGTTACCTATCTAACATCCCATATTTAAATTAGTGAAGTTTTAATTAAACCTTTTATTTCCACAAAAACTTTTCTTATTATGGCTGAGAGGGTCCTAAAGAAAATCGATCAAGCAAATGTGTTATTGTCTTTCATGAATTACGTTTGTTAAATTTACTTAAAGGTGTATGAAATTGTCTTAACCCTTTCACCCCTATGTAACTTTAGTAGACTCTACCATGCATTGATCTGGATGAGTGCATTATGGTCTACAGTGGTGAAAGGGTTTAAGGTCGTATTTCATATGTTCAAAAAACTACTGTACACTTTAAGATGATACAGTTCTAAAAATAGTTTCTTTTCACAGAAAAAAAAATGCATTGTTCTTTTAATTTCATATTTCTCTTTTATTGGTCATTTCTAACAACACATGACATAAAGAGGCCTACACTCTTATGCCTAAATATCAAGGATTTTTTTAATAATTATTAAATATAACTGTATTACGTTTGTATCATGTATCAAAACAAATTTACTTCATTTGTCACTGAATGTATTTTGTGTTTATTTTTGAATTTTGAAATATTACTTTTATAGAAATCTTCTAAAAAGAAAGGGAAAGGGAAAAAAGAGGGTAAAAAAGATGGGAAAAAGGACAGTAAGAAAGATCATAAAAGGGGGGCCAAAGGCTCCAAGGGATCGAAAGTGAGGCTTAAGTGTTGAAACGTCACGTACCTTTGTTGTCGAAGTTTGTTTGAGCATCGATTGAACTGGTGGAAATCACTTCCCAATCAAGCATTGTTATGCATCAGAATCTGCTTTCACGAAGCCTTCAGTGATAACTTGTACAGTTTATGTCATTTCATAAAGGAGTAGACACAGTAAGGAGAAATTTTTGCCTCGAGGTAAAATATTAGAGATTTTATATCAAAACAACTGTCTTTTAACTTATTCTCAACTAAAATTATACAAAATTTTATTTTGATAAGAGTTAGTTAAACTTTTTTATAACGATATTGATTTATTTTCGTACGAAGTTTTTTTGTGATCTGTTACTGGATAAGTTAAATTAAATTTATAGTAATTTAATTTTGGTCAAGAATGAAAAATCTCAAAACATTTTATTTTACCTTCTGGGGCATAAATGGCTGAATTACTTCCCAATGTCTGTCTTTGTATAAAAGTGCCTGGGATATATTAGTAAATTGATGCATGTGTAAGGAGTAATTTTGAGCTTGTGTGGAATTCTGATCCGCAATCGGGGCACATTTGTAAAGGAAAGTCTCATGTAGTAATTTGTCGTTGCATGTATTAGTGTCAAAGAAAGAGAATGATGAATTGAGACTGTTCACTAAAGATTTTAAAAGCACCCAACTGTTAATAGGAAACCATGTGACATTTTCAGCTATCACCTGTTTCAAATAAAATTTAAATTGACTGATTGTCACCCTGAAAATGTTTGGAAATCCTTTATAATTGTCTTATCTTGGATAGCAAGCTTTAAATTAGTTAGCCTAGCTAGCTTATCATTATAATTTATGGTGAAATTTAAATCAGTGATATTTTCATAGTTATCAAAATTGAAAACAAGATATATACATACATTTTCTTCGGTTAAAAATCATAACCCTCATATACACATAAACAATATTATTTCTTTACATACCAAATTGATTTTTAAAATCTGATGGAACATATCATTGCCACCCTCCCCTAATCCCCTAATGTGTATGGTGTAATGATACTGCATAGTTGTTTATGTTTGAGAGCTTTTTCTGAGGGGGGGGGGGGAGTTAAAGCTGAATCATAGATGTTCTGTCTTTTATGAATTTCAGCCATTAGAATAAATAAAAAAGATAAAAAAGTGCGGTTAAGGTTGTAAAGGTTTTTTCAATCTCCATGTGATGAACATAATAATATCTAACAAATAACTTCATTTACTTTTTAATACCATTAAGATAAACAACGCCAGTTATCTTGCTTCTCACGATTGTCTTTTGTCTGCATTTTTGAATTTGTATGGTCGCTGGTAACATTAACTCATTCACCCCTGAAATTTTATAATGCACTACTCCAACCTTTGAATTGGAAGAGTTCAAATGTGTCTTCAGGAGGGTGAATGAGTTAAGACTCTTCGTCGGTACATCAATCTATTGTCAGTACAATTTCAGACTACATTGTATATACTTGTGTCACAGAAAATGAAATGTTGTTTCACAAATATGTTGTGTTTCAGCTCACAGTGGTTGGTTCAGCCGTTCAATGGAACAAATATAGTGTTTAATTATATTTAATAGAGCTGCAGGATGCAGTTTCATTGTAAAACTGTAGACAAATTGCATGCAATTATTTCTGATAATCATCCATATACTTATATAGTTATCTATCTATCTGTAGACAGATGCTTTAACTGATCATGATGATTTATTTCGAATATATTAAAAACATGAAAAAAAAAAAAAAAAAAATCTTGTACGAAATGTTATTCTGATAAGAGCATATGCAATTTAAAGATAAAAAAAATATTTAAAAGTTTAAAAGTTTTTCTTTTTCCATGATCGTTTAAAAAACCATAAAAAGCAGTTTTGCTTCGATGTTTTGCCACTGGCAAGAAATATGTTATAAATATTTGTAATAGATTGAGTATTTCAAATGTTGTGTAATTCATATTATTAAATATTATTTATGACAAATATTGATATTAATACCTGTAGCAAATTCTTTCTTTTTAGTCTAAGAAGCCCCCAGCAAAAACCTACGGTAAGCCAGGGGCACAAAAAGCCACACAGAAAGATAGGGAGCGCCCAAAGAGTGCCGCGGACACCAAAACTATCAAACAACTGCTGGAAGAACTGTATTCCGACAAGACTTACCTAGAAAAACTACTTAACGACGAAAGTAAGTCGAGATGGCAACTTCAAGTAGGCCCCGGGTATACTTATATAGCTAGCTGTTTCATGCAGTTCAATGTCCTCTTTTAAGTAAGTCAAAATGACTGATCAAGTGCTTCAAGTAGGTTAAACTAGTAGCTTGTATAGTAATGGCTAGTACATGTATTTGATATTAAAACTATTAACCCTTGAACGTTTGATAAAATTTGACATTCTTATAGTCAGAGAAAAAAAACCAGATGCATGTTTGTTTGGCTGTGAATCAGGGGAGGTAATCCATTGAGTTTTTAATCTCTTGATTGAAGACGGTACATGAATCCAATTAGTCAAATTGATGAGGAATTCAACATGCCTTTTAAAATAGGATTACAACATTGCTATCATGCATGCAGCTTGTTATGAAAGATATCAAACAATTTGTAAAATAAGTGCAATTAAAAAACCCAGAATGGTGATACAATTAATATGATATTTAATAATGTTACAAAATGCATGTAGGTGGGTTTTCCTTCTCTCTCAGTTCTATACCTGGGTATGTGCCAGTAATGAATTTTACGTTATTATCCCCCGCAGACTTGACAGCAGGCAGATCGTACATGGAGCGTGAGATTAAGGGACATATATGTGACGGACTGGAATACCTCAACAATCGGGCGGACTTTTGGCGACAGCAGAAACCCATGTATGCCCGTAAGCGAGACAGGTTAAAGATGCGTCGGAGCGGAAAGTCCCGCCCAAGGGATGCAGTTCACTTCATCATGCAGAACCTTGAGGATATAGATGAAGGTGATGTCTCTTTTTTTCAAATTTTATTTGAACAGTGATTGAACTTTAGGGTAGACCCATAGACAATCATGATAATAATAATAATAAAAATAATTTGAGATTCTTATATACCGCTTGATCACAAGCTAGTTCGTAGGTCGTCTCAAAGCGGTTCACAAATTATTACGATGAAAATCTCTCTAGGTCTATGGGAGTCATTCACCTCCTAGACCAAATTGTCTGTGAAGTTATTCATTTCTTGTGGTGTTTATGATTCAGTGATAAATCTGGTAGGGAGGGGTAACAATTTTCCATTAAGTTACTTTTTTTCTTTATACATTTTTTTCCTGAATTTCATTATATCAATGAAGCACTAGATATATGGCAAGGTCTGGTCTATACAAATTACAGTAGGTCTTTGAGAAATCCATATTTGATATATACTTATAGTCTATGGTTTGTAATTCAAAGTTCTAAGATTAACTGAAGGGAATACATTTTTATGAAACACTTTGATGTCATAATGCAACTATGACTTTCCCGACCGATACAAAATTTGGTGAAAGACGTCATAATTCAAGTTTAATTTCTCTGATTGAGAATAAAAGTTGATGAAAGACATAATGTCATAATGCAAATACTGTATGACTTCTCTGACTGTGATGAAATTTGGCAATGATTTTTAGGTCAATATGATGCAAATGTGACATCAAAACGTTAGTGTTTGTATATCCGAATAGACTACATTTATAATTCTGAATAGGCATGACAAAGAATTTGAAGTGCCTACTTATCATCAGGTATAACCTACCGTCTGGGGCTTCGGTTATGTAATTCTTGTGAAAATATGCTGTTGTGTATTAATAATAATATACAACATTTGATATAGCGCCCTAGCTATCTAGCTAACATAAGCCACTCTAAAGCGCTTTACAGTACATAGATATACAATTTTATACAGTCAATACAATTAGCATATATATTAATCAATTCAATATTGACGAATCCGCAGGAGCTGCCTTATCAGGTGCTAACTACTAGTCCTATGCCACCTGGCTAATATCTCCCCATGTGTGTATGCCTGTGTGTGTGCTGGAGATGTATTGTATTCTGTTTGTAGTGGAACCGTGCTTCCAACGGTATCATTTATAGTGCCACCTCACTTGAATGCTACAGCACAGATACCGCAACACCCACCACAGACCATTGTATACTCCAACTGGGTTGTTGGAGTTGTGTGGGCAGTATGTAGTTCATCTCAATCAAAATATTTCAAGATGCATGTTAATTTTGCTGATTGTTCTATCTGATTGTCATCCTTGATACTCCAGGTGTTACGCTCAGCTACGTCCTCTGCACCCCTGGAATATGTCATCATAAGCAAAATTGAAGGCACATGGCTAGCTATTTGATTGGTCTTATAGGTAAAAAAAACACCTGACCAATTGCTAATTAGGTTGATACCTGTCCTTTGAATATTACGGAGGAGCGACACCCAAATTTAAAGCCATTCAATTTTACCGTTTGGTGACCATGGGATTATTCACCACTGAAATTTCATTATGAACCATTCCAATCTTTGAATTAGAAGAGTTCAAATGTGTCTTCAGGGGTGAATGTACATCAAATGATCAAACTAGTCTTCATTTATCTCATCTACAAGGTGGCGCAAACTAAGCTTTTGTTTTTGGTATGACATATTCCATTAAGGTGTGCATAGAAAGAAAGTGAGCATAATCCCTGGAGTATTGAGGACAATGCCAGAGACACGGAGAGCTTAATTGTTCGTAAATCCATGCAGTATTGACGATCGACCTGTGTAAACTGACACTTTGTGAGTTTGTATGATATAAATATTTGGTGTTTTTTTATATATTTTTGTAGCACAAGCTGATGGTCGCTATGAAGCTAGTCTGAACATAGCAAAGAAACTGATGAAAACTGTGAAAGATAAGCCCGAGGAGGAATTGGCCAATAAGTGGGAGATTATCGCTAACATTCACAGCCAAATGGGAAACGCCTACCTGGAGATGAGCAAATACACACCTGCAATTGAAAACCATGAACAGGACTTGGATATAGCTGAGAGCAAGTACGCATTGTTGTCACTCCTGCAGTAGTTTTGCTAACAAGAGAATAAAGTGATCTCTGAATTTGATATCGCATTAGTTGACGGAGACAAAACTGGAATCTTGCACCACCACGTCGGTGAAGATCATAATCTTATATTTCTATACAAGGCGATGTATTCATTTGAATTTGCTCAAGCCAAAATGTCCTCTTGCCCTGATAGATGTCTGGTATGAGGCCAGGGCACACTTCTATCTGAAAACTTGGAATTCTCCGACACCGTTTGGTATCAGAGAGTTTTGAGGTGATGACAATATTGATCTATTATCAGTGTTCTCCCCAGGCTGATTTTGCAGCATGGCACCATGCTCCTACAATTTGTTGCCATGCTGCTATCCTAGATCATCTCTGCTATATATTCATAGTAAATCTAAAGTTACCATGCTGCTTTGATTTTACATAGAGTGCTGCTTTAACAGAAATATTGAAATACCATGCTTCTTTCAAAACATTCTGGGGAGAATTAACACTGTACTATGACGCAACACATACTTCACATATATCCATAATTTGGTTATTTATTTATCCAAAACCACCTTTATTATCACCAACAGCTGCTATATTCCGCCAGTAGGGTTTTCAATCTTTCAAAATGTCCAACCAGAGCGATACCATTTTGTAGGTTAAGCAAATTACAAGGGCGTGACTAATCAACAAACCGCACTTATTGGGACAAAAAATAGAATATATTATATACATAAAGATGATTTCCGGACGGCCTCTTTTTGCTTAAGAGTCTTTAACTCTGGCTAAAGTTGCCTTTGTGATTGGTAAATAAAGTTTGACAAACATTTTCGAGTTTAGAGCATTGCGCCACATGTTTTGTGCACAAGCTTCGTTATATATATTACAGTGGACTAGAAGATGCTAAGTCCCGAGCGCTCGACAACATTGGACGAGTTCATGCAAGGAGAGGTGACTTTGAGAAAGCCATAAAAGTGTGAGTATATAGACATTCTAAACCCTTTCACCTCTGTAGACCATATGGACTCATCCATATCCATGCATGGTAGAGTCTACTAAAGTTACATAGGGGTGAAAGGGTTAATTCAAACTAAAAATACGATATTGTTCAACATTTCTCAAAGCTGTATTATATCATCTGTATTGAAATTAATTAACGAAGATTAATTTGAACCGTTCCATAAAATTGGACTAAATTGTTTTAACTTTGTTTTAAATATATATATAACATAATAATCCCCATTTTTAAGGTTAAATCAAGTCTGATTGTAAATTCTAGAGACTGGCCAGTAGAATTTCAATCTATTCAAACAATTAAATATATCTAATAATTACACATATGACTTTGTTTACCATAGAACAGTTAAAACTTGAAAAGTCTATGAAATATTTTATCTAACAAATGATAAGTTATAGATATATAGTCAGTTTGATCGCAGCGTTCAAATATAAGAGAGAGAGAGAGAGAGAGAGAGAGAGAGAGAGAGAGAGAGAGAGAGAGAGAGAAAACCCAGAAAGTATATGTAATTCCCATCATAATTGACTGTATGTCTTTTTGTAGCACAAAAGGTGATTATTTCAGCATTTTCAACCAATGTCTTATCATAACTAATTACAGCAAAATAGATCTAAAATATGAGATCAAGAAAGTACAGTAGTTAAAGGGAGATAACTCCATAACATGCACAACATGAAATGTAGAATATGGCCTTGGTACCAATCTCATTTCTTCATTTAAACAATAAGTACTGACAAAAATGAGAACTGAAAATGGTCATTTATTATAAACCTTATTTTATATTTTTTTGCATTTACAATATTATATAAAGCATTATACATAATTATTGAAATTTGATTTATAAGTAAAATATAGAAGTCCATCTTCAGAATCCAGAATCATTTGATGCTATTCTGTCTAAGAATGTAATAAGTTAAAGGTCAATGTGACTCGGAGGTCATTGTTGTTCAAAAGGTCAATGCTATCAAAAGGTCAATATGACTTTGAAAAATATAACTATTATTCTGTCTGCATTCATCCTCGATATCCAGGGGTTACGCTCACTTTCGCTCTCTACACCCTTGGAATATGTCATAGCAAAATTGATGGCACAAAGATAGCTGTTTGATTGCTCTCGGGTAAAATAACCAGACCAAGCGCTAGGCTGATACATGTCCTTTGAAGATTACAAAGGAGAGACGCCCGACCTCAAAGCCAGTCAATTTGTACCGTTACGTGACCGCGAGATTCGTTTGATGTACATCAAAGGAACGGACAAGTCTTCTTGTCTCATCCACAAGGTGGCGCACACTGAGCCTTCAATTTCGCTATGACATACTCCTGGGGTGTAGAGAGCAAAAGTAAGCAGAACCCCTGGATATCGAGGATGGTCTGCATTAATATGTAAAGATATAAATTATTGAAACCAACGTGGATAAATTTTGAAAACGTCCTGGTCTGTGTTCAGTATGAGACTTGTATCTATCCTTACCTCAAGATCAAGGTCACCTATAAATAGAAATAGCTTTTTGTTGAGCTTCATATCAATACAAAGATAATTTGGACTTTGAATTAATTGCATGGTTTTTATACGCCCGTCAAATTTGACGGAAGTATATTATGGTATGGGGTTGTCCGTCCGTCCGGCATAAACTCTTGTTTGTCCGGCAATCACCTCCTACATTTTTCAACCGATCTCTTTGAAACTTGGTATACATTATAATCATTATGAGGTTGTGTCTCCCTCAAAAGAATTTTGATTCAACCATTTTTTCATTTCAGTATTTGATTTTTTGTCCAGAGATTTTCTCCTACATTTTTTATAGCATGTCAGCTAACCACTCTTAGAATGATGCAGAGAGATCTTATTTCAATGTAAGAAAGTATATAACACTATATGGCATTTGATGGGCGTATATTGTTCCACCCCGTGGTACTCTTGCTCAATCTAATTAATTATTGTGTGTCCAAATATATCAAATGAAGTTGACAACTTATGTAGTATTTTCCAACATTAATGTCAGAGAGATGTTTTTTTACGTTTATTAGCTGGGAGAAGAAATTGCCCCTCAGCAAATCTCCGCTAGAGAAAACGTGGCTGTTCCATGAGATTGGACGATGTCATCTGGAGAATGAACAGTTTGATAAAGCTAAAGAGTACGGAGAGAAGTCTCTAACAGCAGCGAAGGAGGCTGATGACGACGGTTGGCAGCTTCATGCTACCGTCCTGGTGGCACAAGCCGAGGGTATGTGGTGTAGTTTTTAATCTTCAACCCTTCTCTAGGCAAGAATGTAAGATTTATTTTATCTAAGAATGACATTGACAAAAGTGGTAAGATTATGCGCCCTGGTGGCACAGTCTGAGGGTAGGTGGTGTAGTTTTTAATCGTTGACCCTTCTATAGGCAAGAATGTAAGATTTATTTTATCCAAAAATGACATTGACAAAAGTGGTAAGATTATGCGCCCTGGTGGCACAGTCTGAGGGTAGGTGGTGTAGTTTTTAATCGTTAACCCTTCTATAGGCAAGAATGTAAGATTGATTTTATCTAAAAATGACATTGACAAAAATGGTAAGATTATGCGTCCCGGTGGCACAGTCTGAGGGTAGGTGGTGTAGTTTTTAATCGTTACCCCTTCTATAGGCAAGAATGTAAGATTTACTTTATCTAAAAATGACATTGACAAAAGTGGAAAGATTATGCGTCCTGGTGGCACAGTCCAAGGGTATGTGGTGTAGTTTTTAATCTTCACCCCTTCTATAGGCAAGAATGTAGATTGATTTTATCTAAAAATGACATTGACAAAAATGGTAGGATTATGCGTCCTGGTGGCACAGTCTGAGTGTAGGTGGTGTAGTTTTTAATCGTTAACCCTTCTATAGGCAAGAATGTAAGATTATTTTATCTAAAAATGACATTGACAAAAATGGTAAGATTATACGTCCTGGTGGCACAGTTCGAGGGTATGTGGTGTAGTTTTTAATCTTCACCCCTTCTATAGGCAAGAATGTAAGATTTACTTTATCTAAAAATGACATTGACAAAAGTGGTAAGATTATGCGTCCTGGTGGCACAGTCTGAGGGTAGGTGGTGTAGTTTTTAATCGTTAACCCTTCTATAGGCAAGAATGTAAGATTTAATTTATCTAAAAATGACATTGACAAAAATGGTAAGATTATGCGTCCTGGTGGCACAGTCTGAGGGTATGGGGTGTAGTTTTTAATCTTTAATCCTTCTATAGGCAAGAATGTAAGATTTATTTTATCTAAAAATGACATTGACAAAAATGGTAAGATTATACGTCCTGGTGGCACAGTCCGAGGGTATGTGGTGTAGTTTTTAATCTTCAACCCTTCTATAGGCAAGTATGTAAGATTTAATTTATCTAAAAATGACATTGACAAAAATGGTAAGATTATATTTAACACATAACATTTACAATTTGAAGAAAAAAACTGAAAACACATTTATATGTTTTTTCAGCTGCCTCTTAGTATATAGGTAAACACCAAAGTACTCCTCCCTTCATAGTATTGTCAATCCCTGCAGTGAAAAGTAGTTCAAATTTTTGTTTTAATAATGAACAGTTTTAAATGCAATGAAACTAAAAATGACAAACAGTTAAAATTCATTAAATAGCAAAAACATAAAAAAAATTATCAGAAAGAAATGCAGTTTATAAAGTTCACAATTTTGACCAATCACAGCACTTTTAGGTTTTTCTTACACATGGCCGTATGACATCCCGGCAGTAAAATGGGTCAGTTATGTGATAAATATAGTTTCCAACTCTGATGCTGAAGATGTCCCGTGTCCTAGCTAGCTAGCTAGATTTTGAGAGTAACATATATATATATACATACTGTATATTAGGAAATAATCACCTTTTTCACCCTTCATTTTGAGGGTGAATTTATCATTACAACAAACTTTGCTATAGTTATTTAATATAAAGAGTGAATTCAATATTGGGCAAAAATTGATTTTACAGTCATAGGGCAAAAATTTGACTGGGCACAACATTTATAGGGTTAAACACTAACTAATTTTGTATAGTAGTCCACAGGACTAGTTGAATAGATTATTTACTAGTCCTTCGTTAATGTAACTTGTTGCAGATGTCCTTAAGGAAACATCTTGATCTACAGCACAAAACATCAACAGTAATCGACTGTAGGGGACTTGAAATAACTACTGTCATAAAAACATGGCAAAGGTTTTGGGGGAAATGTTGGAAATTATCATGCAATATATCTCATCTTAAGCAGTTTTATCAATTTTAAAAAAGGAATATTCTTATGTTATATTCATATTTTTCACAAGTCCAAAGGACCAGTTAGGTTAGGTGATTATCTAGTCCTTGCTAAGATCTACTAGTCTAGGACTAGAGGACTAGTGTTAGTGTCGACCCCTACACAGTATACAGTAAATAGTTGCCAACTTCCACAGTATGTGGATGACGATGTCCTAAGTTATGGAGGGTGTGCGGTGCAGGTTTCCGTCTGATATCTTGTGTCTTGGTGTTAAAGGGTATGATATATATCATATCCATCTCCGACACAATATTCTATAGTAATCCTGTAGATATACTGTAAGAATTACACAACATATATACATTTTCGTGTACCATGTAGTAGTTTTACACTAGGTCAATAGCCAGTTAAATGCTATGATAAGAACCTCCCAAAAAATATTTTTCGAAATATTTGTAAAAATTCATACTGTATATGACTGAATTTAAATTGAAAATATTAAGATTATATGCTAGCTTCACTATTGAAATTTTATTACTATGGCGTCAGACTCTAAATGTGTATTGTTAATTTATTTATGTCGAAATATTTGTAAAAATTCATACTGTATATGATTGAATTTAAATTGAAAATATTAAGATTATAAGGTTCACTATTGAAATTTTATTACTATGGCGTCAGACTCTAAATGTATATTGCTAATTATATATGTCGGAATACTTGCCACTGCATAATTTAATTATAAGGCAAGCTATTCTCTCGACTTATGTCGATAAAGATATTACACAAAATAAAAAGACATTTACAGTATATATATTTTTATTTTTTTATGTAGTGAAATCGTTAGATTACTCATCAGCCCAGACATCATTTGAGGAAGCCTTAGAACTTGCTAAACGATTAGAAGATGATGCTGCGTTGAATGCTGTAAATAAGGCACTAGAGGAGGTCAAGGAAAAGATAGCCAAGGGTTACAGGGCCGGGGAAGATGATGGTGACGATGAAGTTGATGCCAAGAAGGTTGATTACAGACCTGGAGAGGATGATGATGGAAGAAAATCAGCACAGAGCAAAGACTGTGAGTGAAATGTTTTTCTTAATTCAGTGTTTGTAAATATGTAGTATGATGGTGAACAGAAGTCACCCACACGGTAATAAATACAGTAGGCTAAAGATTAATTACACTGTACCATACATCTGCTTCCTCAGGATTAGTGTAAAGATGGAGGCACGGTAGTCTAGTGGTAGGACGCCGGGCTCGTGACAGAAGGGTTGCGGGTTCGAGTCACGGCAGGGCACTGTTTTGTATCTTTGAGCAAGATACTTTACTCCGCTTGTTTCAGTCTACCCAGCTGTAAATGAGTACGTGGTTGAATTGGGCAGTGCTAGAATTGTAGAATGCTAGCTGTAAGCGCTGAAATGGCAGCACCGGCTGTATGCTCCCCCAGAGAGTTGAGAAAGATGTTGGCTGGTTGCAAAGGCCCTATAACCATGGATAATAATTTGTGAACCGCTTTGAGACGACCTACAAACTAGGTTGGGATAAAGCGGTATTTAAGAACCTCAAATTATTATTATTATTATTAACCCTTTCACCACTGTAGACCATAATGGACTCATCCAGATCAAGGCATGGAAGAGATTAATAAAGTTACATAGGGGTGAAAGGGTTAAAGATCACCATAAGACACAAACATGTGTTTGCATTTTAAAAATGCAGTAAGAAATACAGTATGCTAAAAATACATTACACTGCACCATAATCTGTTTCATTCCATTACTTCTCAACAATTGATCCTATAGGAAGGTGAAACTTTCAAAACGTAGAACTTTTGCAAAATATGGTACTGTTTACCATGAAAAGCTGAGAAATAAAGGTCTGAAGATAAAATAAATGTGAAGCAGCATATATACACAGTTTCAGTTTAAATGAGAACTCAGAGCTATGTTTTAAAGTTAAAGTATGGGAATTTAATGCCCCAGCTGACCTTAATTAATGTAAATGGTCATCAAGTGGAACTAAACCTGGCATCATGATGTATGTGAGGACATCAGCAGGAGTTGGAATCCCAAAGACTCCCATACATGGAGTGCCAGATAGTTATTTCCCCTTGATAAAGGGAGTGATGAGCTTACAGCTTCTCTACAGTCGACATCAGGTACGTTAAGTGCCCATATTCCCTCTACATACGTGGCATGAATATGCCCATACCCTATCCACATAATATTATAGGGCCTGTTAGTTTCTACGTACAGCTCTCCTAATTAAAGGCGGGGCTGGATATTTCCTACACTCCGTCTACAAACAGAGCCTGATTGTGCCCACATTTTTCTGGTAGTGCCCACATAAGCCCACATATTCGGTAGTTATTTCTTTCTCCGTCTAAAAGGTTGCCTGGGGAAAGAATCAGCTAGCCAGTAGTCTCCCACCTAAAAAATATACCAATTAAGGAGGGAAATAAACAGCCATCACAATGTTTCACAGGATATAACATCCTGTTAAGGGGACAGAATCAGCAAGTTGATGTGTTTCCCTTGTAAAACAGGTAGTGTCTGCATCTGTTATAAGGACACGGCTGGGAGGTGCCCTCAACTGTCCTACAGCCAGGCTAATGTAGCAAACACCATCCTCGATATATAATGGATTACGCTCATATTTTCTGTCTGCACCCCTGGAATATATCATGACAAGATCAAAGGCACAGTGTGTGCTTCCTCGCATTTGATTTACATCAAAAGAGTATCTTGGTTGCGTGGGGCCTCGGTGGCCAAGTGGTTAAGGTGTCTGACAGTCTGCTACCACTAGCCCTCCACCACTGGGTCACAGGTTCGAGGCCTACGTGGGCAGTCGTCAGGTAACTTGTCATAGGACGGTGGTTTTTCTGCGGGAACTCAGAAATAGCTAGCTGCTTACCTTCAATTTTGCTTTAACCTAATTCTAGGGACAAAGAGGGATTATGTCAGCATAAGCCTTGGAGTATTGAGGATGAGCGAACACATGTACAATGAATATACAGGCTCGTCGTAGGGTCTATCCACCTGTTAAAGAAAACTGTTAAAACAAACAGAAAAATTGTCATATCCGTAATTTGCATCATTGTGTAATATTGTGTGTTTCCTTTTACAGCAAAGAAAATCAGGGCCGGTGAAGATGAGGATGAGGGAAGGAAATCCAGAGCTTCAAGCAAAGCAGGTTAGTGTTTTATTGATATAGGTCTTTGGACATTCTGTATTAGGTTCATATCTTCATTCCACAGCAATAAGTGATACAAAGCGAATTAAAGTCCTCTTAACAGCTTCTCAGAATGAGAGGTTCATATTACCTTCAAACCACTGAGGGACTTGCAGTGTTGTGTGATTTTCTCTCAAAGTTGTTTTAAATACTGTTTGTATCCACCACATTTATCACACAGTTTGTTTGAACTTACTGTGATGTACATTTCTTCTTATATTTTATTTTAGTGTAGTATTTAAGACTTTACATGAAATGTGATTTAAATTTCATTGTAACTTAAGTTGATTTTTGATGCACTGGGGGGTAGTACTTTTCAGTCCATCACCTTAAAAACTTGTTTTTATTCTGTGAAGTAATATACAAAGTTATGCCCCTTTGTTAGATTTTTTTATGCAGAAGTTATACTGAAAGTGTGGATTTCTTGCAAATAATCTAAAATTTGTGTTCCTTTATTTTAAAATTTGTGTCTTGATATGGGGCAGATTGCATCAGAAAATTGTAATTTGACAAATTTCAGTATTTGTGCATTCACTATTTCTTTTCTTTTGTTGCTTATATAGAAAAAAAATTAAGTTATGTGCATCCCACAAATTCTTTTTAGATGCAATTTCTATATTTGATGAAACGTTCAACTTTACTGATAAGACATTTATTTAAAATGTTTTAACCTATGCTGAATTCTACCCAATTCAGGGTGATAAACAGAAAATGATGAGGAGGGACAAATACTGTTTTATGTTCGAATTATAATATATAATTCTGGTGAATGTTGCCAATGTTTAATATTACAAATTGATGTTTTTCTGACATTTTTTCTATTTGTGTGCTGTATGTAAATTTTAGGTTATGAAGATGATTTTGAGGAAGATAAAGGTATATGTAATTTAATATTCACAAATAACTCGGGAGTTAATAGTTTTGAATGACACAAACTGTTAGCTTACTTTGTTGTTAAATCTTGATCATAGAAAATGCAACAATAAGAAGGATAAATGAAAAAATGCTTGCATATTATATGATTTAAACACAGAGCAATATAATGATCATCCTTGATATCCAGGTTACACTCACTTTCGCTCTCTGCACCACTGGAATATGTAATAGCAAAATTGAAGGCACAGGGATAGCTGTTAGATTGGTCTCAGGTTTAAAAAAATGACCAATCGATATATAGGCTGATACCAGTCCTTTAAGTTACAAAGGAGCGACCCCCGACTTCAAAGACTGTCAATTTTTACTGTTACGTGACCGCGAGATTCTGTTGATGTATATGATGTATTTCAAAGAATCGAATTAGTCTTCTTGTCTCATCAACAAGGTGGCGCACACTGATCCTTCACTTTTACTATGACATATCCCTGGGGTGTAGAGAGCGAAAGTGAACGTAACCCCTGGATATCGAGGATGTATATTTATTGACTGCACATTAAGTATATGGCATATACTATTTGCCCACGCAAGTAAATATGTAATGCATATAGACAATACATAGATACACATTGCTACCAGCAATATATCTGTTTTACAATTTTCTAAACTGTTAAAATGTTCTTCATGTTTGCGTTTTCCTTGATCGTAGATTAACGAAAATACCATGGATAAGCAATCAATGTTGTCGACCTTAAGATAACCCTTTCTCATGACCAATTCTTATTCTTCCGCTTATAAACAAAAGTCAAGTACTATAACATGACTTATTCTTAATAAATAAAGCCCTAAACTATCATAACATGAGTTTTTCTAACGATACTGAGGCATAAAGCATCATAACATGACTTGTTCTAAAGTAAATGAGGCATAAAGCATCATAACATGACTTGTTCTAAAGTAAATGAGGCATAAGGTATCATAACATGACTTGTTTTAAAATAATTGAGGCGAAGAGTATCATAACATGACTTGTTTTAAAGTAATTGAGGCGTAGGGTATCATAACATGACTTATTCTAAAGATACCAAACACTAAAATATCTTGTTTCCAGATAATCATCTTCACAAAAAACATCTGAATTTTGTTTTGTTTAGTTTCTTACCTTACAGTTACCCACTTTCGGCTTCAAACAGTCACCTGTGGTGTCATTATAACAAGTATTGTACCATACAGGAAAATTAAGTCGACGTTACTAGCACTACTTCTGAAATAATTAATTTAAGAAATTTATGATTTAAACACCATATAAACGAATATTAAAACAAACTAGAAAACAGAATACCAACCGAAAGTGAATTAAGTTTTCGTAAAGTATTTATTGGCACGAGTGATGTAAATGACTGATTCAAGATTTGAATATGCGAAGTGAATAAATTGCAAAAAAACCCACAACATTAGCATAAAATATAAACTTGTTATAGAAAAAAGGTAAACATTTTATACATTGTTTTTTTATCAATTTGCTCTTCCCAGCAAAGACAACAAATCCAATGAAACAAAACTGATTTACAATATAACATATTTGTCTAGTCTTGAATTGGAACACATGTTACCTGATTCACATATCATTTTTTTTTTATTATCTTTATCAGTTCAATTGACGAAAGGGTTTTATTGTGATCAACCTGAATATTTCAGATTCTAAATTTTGTCATTCCATGACATGTCAAATATGTACGTTTAATAAGCTGGTGTATTCTTTTCGGTTTCGTTTTACTAATGTCAATGTTCCTAATCACAAACGTATTTATACATTTCACATTAAGGTCAGAGCTGTAACATCACATTTTCATCTGTGTCTTTCTTTAATTTGCGTTTGATGGTAAAATGGAACAGAGTGGTTTATAGTTGTGATATTAAATTGTAATGGGAGATTTAACGAGGTTTGTGAAACAGGATCTGTGATTATATTTAACTCTTAAGACTTAAATGGACAAAAAAAATAGCGAAACAAATTTATGGACCACCTGCTTTCAGCAGATGGGATTTTTACCTTGTTAATCTATAAAATCAATAAAACAATAAAAGAAAAGATGATAAAAACAACAACAGCTTATTAGATGTCGGTCGATATCATTATATAATTGATGTTGTATTTAATGCATTCTGTCACAGTCTCCCGTACAAAAAATTGTTATTGATAGGCATAGATATACAAGAAAATTGTGTCACAAACAGAACCACAGCATACAAAATGGAGATTTTTTCTCACATTTGAACTCATGCACACTGTTTAAATGTTCATTTTCTACATAGTACATTCACATTATACGGCAGATATTTTGCATGCAACACTGTTCATATCTATTTGTTAAATTGATATTTCTTAATACTTCTGTTCTGCTGAAAGCACATTCGAATTGGTCAGTTCCGAATGTAGTTGCAATATGTATTGTAATGTGACTTAAAAAAAAAGAAACAACAACAAAATCAAGCATAGAACACCATTCAGATGTCATTCAAAGTAAATATGAATGCCAACTGAAAGCTTTTCAAGAGTTAGTGTTTGGTATAAAATGTTTAGTAAATGTAACAGCCATCTTGAGTACGGGTTAGTGGTTGTACCTCAAATTATGACGTCATAAAAATGCTGACGTCAACATGTGGTCCATCACATTCACACCGAATATGAATGCATTTTGAACCTGGTGGGGTTATAAAGTGCAAGTGTAGTAAATATATTGAAGAAAAAAAAGCTAGCTAGTCTATAATTCTATACCATTTTATCAAATATTGTAACATATTAATATATTTTAACAACACTGATTTCAAATTATCTTGCTTAAAAATAACTTTGAAAGTATAGATGAGATGACTGTCTTTTGATACATTTCTTTAATTAAGTTAATAATTCATATTTTCAATTCTCAATGAATACCTGTTCTTAGATGTCTTTTTGAGTTCTATTTCATTAATAAATTTAAATATCTTCTAAAATATTAATATGATAACACTAGCGATACCTTGCTGTAGTTAGTATACTATAGATGTAATTGTTTATTGACTTTGTTTATCTTTTTTTGCATAAATTTTGGACACGTTTTATTCATTTTCATATCCGTCCCATATGCTGATTGAAAATCATACCTGTATGGTAATTCGTTATATTTCTGTAGATTGTCAACAAGTGTTTGTATTTTTTCGACGGAATTATTAATGCATCTGTACAGTTAGTTGTTATGTGATTTATTTCTCGATTTTCAGGACACGTGATTAGCTAATATTGAGATAGCAACTTGAGTATTATGTTAACCCTTTCACCATGCCACTGTAGACCATAATTGACTCGTCGAGATCAATGCATGGTAGAGTCTGCTAAAGTAACAAAGGGGTGGAAGGGTTAAATATTATGTAAGGACCATCATGATATGATAGATGTTTTGATATTTAGCATCTTGCGGAACAGCTGATAAGGATTGTGGAAGGCCATCTCGCTGTATTTATTTAAAACAAAGTTCAAAATGCTTGTGTTTCGGGCGCTTTCATCTTTTAGTCATAATTTCAGAAATATGTACATGGAAATATATACTTGCCCTCGAATGAACTATTTACAAGTGGTTAACGATGGTATCGAAGTTTAGAAAATCGTAGAAAGCGTTTACACTCCGCACATGTTATATATAGTTTTCTTTTTCACATTAATTCATCCTGCAATTCTGCTTAAACAGCAGCTGTCGATCACGCAAATATATACACAAACGAAAAACAACTTAATTGTGGCATTAATGATATAGGACCAGAACTTCCGCCTGTAAGTCGAAATGGGCACTCGGAAACAGAACAGCAAATCGACAGCAATAAGATTGGCAATGGGTACTCAAAAAGTAACGAAATAGAAGCTGACACGTGTAATAGTAATTCTTTGGACAACTCGGCTAAAAAGAAAATCAGTACCGGCGAGACGGCATTTGACGAGTCCCGAATTTCATCGACTGCTCAAACTGATGTAAATGGTGGAAATGACGATCAGGAAAAACAACATGAAATTCCTTCTGTACCAAAAGAGACAATAGACAAAAAGGAAAGTGCAGCTGAGAAGTGTTACGAAAATGAAGAAGACTTAATTGAAAACGAAGAAGGCAAACGAGTCGGGAAAGCGAAAATAGTCAACGAGGAAAACATCTTTTACAAAACTAAAGATCAGGCTACATGTTCTGAGAATAATGGCACAACTGCTATCCTGACAAGTGATGTGACACAGGAAAGCGGAAAGGCTGATCAAGAAACAAACGTCGATGACAGTGATAATGACAGAAAAGCAACGTCATCAAAAGAATATGAGGGCATTACCGACAATGCCACTACAGATCGTTGCGGCAACAATGAGACTGACAACCAGAATCAGTTAAAAGACGAATCTGAATATCGTCATAACAGACGATCCGATGAATTGTTATTCAAATACATCAATGATACCACTGGAAGTCGACCCGGTTCTAAGGATTCCCATGCGTCTGCTCCCAAGTCTGGGAATATTCGACACCGACAGATTGTTGACGATCCAAAGTTTAGCGATGTATCAAATGGATCTAAAGCAGACGACAAAGTTTCAAAAGCGAATATAAGTAAAAAAACAACAGGAAATCTGCAAACACGACCGAAAAGCTCAGGATTTGCAGGTGGTGCGAGACCACGAGAAAAAGTGGTAAAACAAAAATCTTTGGAAGATACACAGAGAACAAGAGGAAATGGTAGACCAAAGAGTGCGGTAACAGTTAAGAAAGGTACAACGGCAGAGAAAACAAGAACTGATCAGGCATTACCTACAACGAAAACACAAGTCGGAACATCGACTAAAAGCGAAAGGAAATATCCGCGAGACGATGTTGATGAAGATCAAAGAAATGCAGAAAGTAAATCTAAAATTAAAACATACGTGAGATCCGACATTCCAAAGGGTGGAATACGAAAGAGAGAGATATCTTCTAAAGGAAGAGTGCCACAAAAACAAAGAAGTGCCGAGAGTGTCAAAAGGCAGCAGAGCATTTCTAAAGATCCGAGAAGAAAATCAGATATATCTCCTTACAGTATTCCTGCAACAGCCAACCTGCATAGTAAGAAGACAACTGCAAATGTTTCAGGACCGCAGATACAGAAAACAAAAACAAATGTGTCGCGATTAAAACAGAAAAGCAACGAATCAATAGGGTCTGATATCTCTTCACCAGAGAAAAACTACGCCAAGGAATCAGTACCAAAAAACTCCCGAGATAAAAAATCGAGTACTGGATCCAAACGTTCGACAACATCCCCAGTGATTAAACCAACCCAGAGGAAGAAAATATCAAAAGAGGAATCAAGAGGATCACAGACTACAGAAAATGCCACTCCGCCAGTTAAAATAAAAGAGAAGTCAGTATCACCAGATCAAACTGTGCCTGCCTCAAACACAACAGCGCCTGGTAAATCACAGCTGGCTCGGGATGGTGAGTGCTGACAGCTGTATAACTGTCATACCGCATGCAGTATTCATGTATACAGTCCATATACCGTGCATCGTGACATTACTTAATCCCCAAAGTAATTATAACCCAGGTGTCGTTTGGTAAAATTGTTTTGTTGACGTTTGTTCGTTTATGTTTCAGTGGTCGATAATAATAGTATCGTAGAATGTTGATATGTATATAACGATGTTAAAACACGTATATCCTTCCGCTTTGTTGATATGTTGCGATTATACTATAAATAAAGTTATTTTTATCAGTTTTTGTCTACAGTTTTGTTGTACATTTGTTCGTACCTGGTATATTCGTGTAAATGTGCATTTATGACATGATACGTCTGTAGTAGGAGTTATACATATTATGCACGTTTCCATATGCTGTGCTCCGACTGTGTAGCGTATGCTTGTTCATATGCATGTTTATGTTCAGATACTAATAATCAAAGGAGGTAAGCGTAGTATCTGAGCTGCCAGACAAAGGCTATTGTCATTGGCACATTACTATACTAACACTGTTCCTGTAGGATAAGACTGTTAGTTACTTATTTAGTACATCTTATGATTATTGAATGCAAACACAAAACTAGTTTATTGCATATTAAACTTTTTCTCAACCTCACAACAAAAATCATATAAATTGTGAGCTTTGATAATAATATTACACCTCTGTCATAGAAAACCACGTTGTTATTACTTTACATAAAAAGAGCTAATGTTGACAGTAAATCTGAAATAGCTTTTCTTAACTGATGCTGTGCGCATCTACTAATGTACAGTTGATAGGTTAAGACTATAGAGGCTTTATTTCAGCATTTTGCTGTTCAATATGTATCATAATGCAAATGTTGTTATGCGATACATAAATCATACAGTAAATATTCGTTAAACTGTTGAACTTTCCATTACCTTGTATGTACATGTTACAATACTTTTAAAAGTAATATGGCATCAGGAACTGAGATATTGCTTCCCTCAGGTAGCGTTGGTTTTCGTTGTAAATCAGATTTTAAACAAACAATTTACAGGTGTCAAAGAGGAGATTATCGACAAAGCCCCGTCCTCGCCGACCCGACGTTCAGAGGGTTCGGGCAGACGCTCAGTTGAGGCATCATCTCCGTATAAGCGATCACCTCTTCATTCGCCGACAAAGCGATCTCTCGCCGGCTCGCCGACAAAGCGATCCGCCCAGCCATCCCCTTCTAAAATGTCGCAATCATCACGCCGACATACGTACTCTCCTACAAAACAATCACGAGAGGTCTCTTTCAAAGAGGGCTCTGCTAAAGGGTCAATGAAAGGATCTGCTAAGGGGTCGGCAGGTGGAAGGTCGGCGCCAGGTAGTGCTCAGCAACGAGCCTCGCCTGCCGCTGGAGGCTCTGCCCCCGGGTCGGCGAGAGGGTCGGCAAAAGGATCCGTAGGAGCATTCGCGGCGACCACAGAAGGTTCTTAGTCGTTTGCTCTGTGGTTGATAAATAACTCTCTTTCTGAATGATTGCATAATAGTTTGGTTTGTTATAATTAATACTTCAACGATGCATTAATACTTCAATGATACATGCTCTTTCATACCTACGTGTACTTCAACCAATGCTGCTTTGAAGTGATACACATAGATATGATGGCTTACTATGTATGAGAACGAGACATGTACTTCTTTATATTCAGAAGACTATTAATGTACACTGTACAAGCTTTATTCTGAAAACCATATCAAAGTATTATTGCTATACTCCTCCCCATCCAAAGCTGTGTTTCAATGTTATATACTTTGATGTATGACCTCTCAAATGATGTATGACCTCTGAAAAAGGCTCTGGTTAGCTGAAGTTACACGACAGCTGATCATCCGTTGGATATCTATAGTATCCATCTAGCCACGATAATATACATCACGTGATTTCGCCATTCAGAAACTAGGATTACAAAAAAGGTTAATCGATTGAACAATAGTTTTTTTGTTTAATCATTATGAAGACCTTCCAGCGTTGAAACTTTGAGCAATGCGAGTTGCTTACAGATTGAGCTTGTTCCTAACAGATCCATTACAGTCCAGTCACATGCTACTGGGTCTGTAAAGCTAACTGTCCAACGTTTATCGTTTGTTGTGTTGTCATGGTGATTCCATTATTAACAGATTGTCAATGAGATGCATGTTAATTGTTTGCTGATGAATGATTATAACGCGTTATGATATTAAACGTTTAGATTGTTTATTTTGCAGTGTGTTGTATGATCCATGATTATTGTCTCAGTGTTGTATGTGTAATAATTAACGGAGTTGGCATTGTGATTATATGTAGTTATTGTGATATGTTAAAATATGTGACTCCTGTAATTAGATACCAATAGTTTAATCCGCTAAAATTGGTGTCTCACTTTTTGCGATAAACAAAATATTCATTCAGTTTTCTGATAACGTCTTTCATTTTACTTGCGTTGTTCTAGTACATCACTTCAAGAAACTATCTAAATTGTTTATCGAAATATTTCTCTGTTTATGACTACATAGAAAAATAGTCACTCTCTTTCAGAAATTATTGCAGACGTTGTTACTTGTTACTTTTCTTAGAGATTTTGGTTTCGGATGTAATTTTTATTATTTGTGTTTTCATCAAACTATTTAAATATTACATAGAGGTAGGATTTGCGAAAACCTGTTGATTATTGTGGAAATCGCAAAAAAGTGAACGTACCGAACATTGCATTTGCTGTAATATTTCGTTTTCAACGAATTGTTTATATACAATTTCGACATTCAGTATTTGTGCCATGATGTATAGCGCTATACAATATACTCTTAATTGTGACATGATTTCAAAAGCAGTTGATAAAATATATCACAGTCTTTATTGTTTATTATTTACTTGTATATAGTCACTTGATTTCTTTTTTCAATGTGAACGTGTTAATTTATATTTAAATACTCATTATTTCCATAATGTTTTTTTTTGTCAATTTCTATTGAATGTATTAAGTTAAAGTAGTAATCCGTAGATTCCGAGTTTCATTTGGACATATGGCATGACAGGGTAACATTAAACATACCAGGTGGTTATAACGTATAGGAAATCACAATTAAATTACAGTTATCGTATTCTATCAAACAATTTTTAATGTGATACCGTATCAGATGTCATTTCTCCTTGTAAACAAATCACGATCCACAGTATTTCCTCAGTTTTATCTTTAATATATAATGCGGACGTGCAAAGCGTTTACGTACAGCATAGGTCATTGTTGAGTCTTTAGTTTTATTTTAGATAGTGTTTGCTTCACGCTTTTTACTGCTACTTTTAGATAAAGATGAAACAGCGGAAATTCCGGACGAAACGACACATGCTGAAGAGGAAAAAAGTGAACAAAAAGGTGGAACCTTGATATCATTAATTGCATGTCTTTATATTAACTCTCAACCATTTCATATCTTGCAATAGTCACAATATCAACGCATTTATGTACTTTTGAAGAGTAAATTTCAAATCATCAATTATTTCATAACACGAGTTCATACTACTAAACACTAGTCTGATGTATCTGGACGTTAACTTTAGCGACTATATATTACCATGTAAAGTGTTTCTATCTGTACCGATTTTCAATCATTTTGGGACGTGTTTTTGATGATCATATAATAAATTGCACGACTGAGAGGTTGACTGCTGTTAAACATACGAACAATGTATCGTTTAGTAAAGATACCTGTTTTCAACCGTTCTTTCGAAAATACGTTGTTCAAATAAAAAGGATCCACCATGCAACCAATATTATATTGGTATGATATTATGACTATTGCAAGTCTACCAGTCGGTGGCTATTGACGGGGACAAGGAATCGGATGATCCTGTGTGCAAAGTTCTATTAAAATAACCTGTATTGGGTTTTTTTCTGTTTTCTAATTCACACTGTTGACATTCTTTTGTCGTTATCACATTTTCGATTTCAGCGTTTGTTTTCACGAATTAATTTCTCTTTTGTTTTCTTTTCAATATTATTTTAACATTTATGTAATGTTTTTCCTTTTGTGGGTTGTTGTAAGCAGTGTTTTGTTTTCCACAATATACATTTTTAAAAGAAATAGAGCAATACAGGCCTTCTCTGCCTTTTGGTATATGTTAAGATTTTCAATAGCTCAAAATACGTTTTTGTCTATTTGTTCATATATTTTCCTATAAATATTTTACATTATTACCTTAACCTTTTGGCATGTTCTATGTATACTACCTCTACTTCCACAAAGTATTTATAGTATATTATTTACAAGCAATAAGAAAAATTCTTCTTTGCAGCTAGCATTATTTGTGTAGATTACATATGTGAAGTTTTGTTAAAAAGTTTGGATTTAGGCTTAATAACGAATGACAACTATAAACGTGTGGTGTTAAAATATAAATGCTGTGTATCTCACGTGTAAATTATCTCCCACACATTAGCCGCGTCACCAGCGCCCGCGGACACAGCCACTAAAGAGGAGGTAGTAGAAGACGAGCCTCAACAAATTAAAGGTTTTACACAATTATGAACTTGTTGCACGCCAACTTTAACTAAAGTTTCTCGTGTGTATCAGTGCATGCCTCTTGCCAGTTTCTCCTGCGTGTGTTACTACAAAAAGACATATATAATACCATTTACTCTGCTTGGATCTATAGGTTGGTCCCTATATAAGTGCCACCAAAGAATTGAACTATACAGTCATACCCTCGTATTGCTTTAACTGGGATGGTACATGCGGTTTATCACATTGATATAAAGTGCTGATTTGTATTTCATGATTTTCGGAGCTACGTGCCTAATATCACTTAAATTCAATTATATATACGGCCACAGAGTTTATTTTATATATACAATTGTTTTTATAAATGTATTCAATATATATATTTATATTTCTTCAAACTGCACTTTTTTTCAAACTGCACTAGTATCTAGTATTCGTCGGTACATAAAACAACTAGAAAAATCAAATAAAACATTCTGACTTGACACCTGTATTTATAGACCACATGTATATATATATATATCATGACGGTGTTTCGTTGTTTTTATCACAGTTTAAAGGCATACATAAAATTCAGCTCGGCATTGCTAGATTTTATTACCGGAAACTTTTGAAAACTTACTGCTAAACAGAAAATAGTATCTGATAAGTGTAATTGGATAGGTAAATGGTAAGACATACATAGGTGATTGTATAAAAAAGTATTTCCACTCGACGAATGTTTTCCCCTCTTGTGTTGTTTTCTATAATCTTCCTTTCTCGATGAATGAATCTCACCTTAACTCGATCTTTGTATTCAAGTTTCTATCCATATACTTGTTGCATGTTACGTTGTGACTGCGGATAAGGAATCTTTTTCAGTTAAGGACAATCTCTGTGATATTGTTCATTTTTGATACCCACTTGTTTTGAAAGGATTGTTCATTTACAAGGTTTTTTTTCTTATATGAAACGATCATCGGGGTACCCTTGCTTGGCATTGTACTAACGTTACATTTGATTATCATTATATTTCTTCCTAGTAGGGATTTATAGAAATCACTTTGTCATTGTACCGTCCGGGAAGGGGATTGGGCTTATATATATGTGAGCCTCCACTCAGTTTGTTTCTATTATCAGTTGAATATATTGAAAACGTCATTTCGCCCATTGTACTTTTTGACGTTGTATAATATTTGTCACAATACTTTTTCTCATTTTTTTTTTTTTTTTTTTTTTTTTTTTTTTTTTACAATTAAACTTAATATTTCTGATTATCCATTGAACAATTGCTGAGTATACAAAACTACAGAGAAAAACGGTAGTTTGAAAATTGATGAGTTAATGAACAACTGAAAACCTTTTTTTGTGTAAAATATTTCAACTGTTTAGGTGCGTACTCCTGTCTGCTAACATTTACTATTTTGTGAACCATTCTAACAAATGTGTTTGGTATTTTGTATTATGTTGTAATTATGCTTGTGTGGTGGTCTTGCCTCAATCTTGCTATGGCGTCACCACACATGACACTTTCTTTTGGATGTACAATGAAAAAAGTCATATAACTACAAACAGGGTTTCGTTTATACATACCTGTTGTGAGTATTTATGTACTAACAGTGTTTCGTGCATGAAGTGGTGTGAAATAACTAATGCACATACATGTTTCATATGTCTTTTTTTTGTGAGAAACGTTATCCTTGATAAGATCAATACCACCTGCTTAAACATACTGTGAATCACTTACATTTCGTGAGATACTTTCTCATGCGTGAATTTACGAGTTGAGCCGATTGTGAATTTTGATAATTACAATTTTTTTTTTAATTTACCCTCATATGGGGTTGTGTTTTGACTCCCAAAAGAAAGCTTCACTCGATAGTGTTTGGCAGCACATCTCTTAGGCATGCATTAGGCCACTCCAAATGTATCTAAATATTATTTGACTTCTAGAATTGCTTAATGTGGAGGGTACAAAAGTTCTATATATCTAAACGAAAACTGATATTCAAAATAAAAAAAATCCATATTGGCAAATTTATATTCTCACGACAAAGTCATTCGAAGCATAAAAATATTCACGAAAATCAAGTTACGTACAGTGTGTTTACGATGCCGTAGGTTGTTACTCTATTGCATACAGTGTTGTATATATTTATTACAGTATTATCAACATATCTGCCAGTTACAGTCTGTATATTTATATAAAATATTAGTTTCAACAATAGCTCTTGTGTTAATTGGCTGAATTTTAATATGTCGTTCAATGTGATTACTTGAAGGATGCAAAAGGTTGATAAATATCCTTTTTTCTGTATTAAATTGTACCTCTTTATCTGTTTTATTTTCTCAAATTCAACTGAATATTTTTAATTTTAATTAAATTCCATGGCATTTATTTCATTTGCAGATTGAATTGCATACCAGAACATTTTGACATAATACGATTTGTGTTGAAAATCATTCTTCATGCAAAAGTAGCTAGAACTAAGATCATGATAAGCTCAAAACACGCGGTTCATGAAAATTGTCGAAATATTGTTAATGTTTTTATTTTGCCTGTGTGTTTTATGTTTGTTTATTAATCTCATTATTTCTATTTGGACAATCTATTTTATCGCAATGCATATGATTTCAGCTTTTAGTTTAAATACTCGTTAACTTCAACGAGGTGAACATTTGTCTAATACATGTAAACCATTTTGTTGATAAAGATACTTATGAATTGTTCAGATTGTTATTATTCTGAATCTAATTGCTTGCTTTTCTGTGATTCCAGGACAAGATTAAAGCGATAACAGCAAGAGAGGTGTGACCTACTTACATATGATTACCGTGATGAGAGTGAAGACTGTGATGATCTCTTTTATTGGACATGACTGACCATGAGGAACATGAGCAAGGAAAGAAAACAACAAAAAACCCATTAATGCTTTTTAATGATTGATATTTCTTCAAACATAAGAAGTTATCATCAAGAGGATGAAACCATACATGCGCCAACGACAACTCCAAAAAAGGACATTTGATTTTATTGAAATGGTGAATATTTGGCAAGAACTTTTGTGACTTCGTTTGAGAAAAACAATAGTATCTGTGGGATTTTGGATGCCTGAAAGTTGTGTTCTGTGTATTGGATGCTGAACAACTGTGATATTAAATGGAAGAGACATATTATACTAATATATAATTATCTTATTGTACGCAAACTGCCGATAGGTCTATATTTATTTACATAACTACGCATATTAGTATTGCGCAGATTTTGTCAGTAACATATTTTGATAATGAGACTCGAAAGAGGGAAACAGAGAGGGAGAGACAGCATTGAGAGAGCGAAAGAAAACGTAGTGGGTGATAATAACGGAGAACAGAAGGAGTGAGCGAGAGACATAGAGGACGTGACACAGGGAAAACAGCCAACAAAGAGAATAGTTTGAAACATTTAAACTTAATCAATTTTCAATTTAATGTTTCCAAAGAAACTTAAACGGAGGAAGTACTGTTTGTCGCAGTAAATTTCCATCATTTTTTCGAAATATCTACGCAGACTGTTTTGGTCAATTTTATATGATAAAGGGAATTCCTATTCCATTGCAATGTTTATTTTAACAAACTCCGTAGACCTAACCTTTAATAGAAAGATCTACTGTATTGCAAAATCGTCGACGTCACGCAGTTGGTGTGGAACAGTAACATGCATACAATGTTCTTTTGTTTGATTTGGCATGTCTACGCATTTATAGGAAAAAGTGACATCATATCTTTACTTGTTTCTGAATATCTACGCAGAAAGATATACTCTATGCAAACGAAGATCAAAATATAATACAATGTATGCGACAGAATGTAAGAATGCATGTGCGATTGTTTCTTTAGAAAAATATATATACTAATGTTCGTTTAAGGTCTCCATGGGCTGTAAAATTCATTTAGGAAAAACTGTATTTCTAAAAATATGAAGAAAATAAGCAGTCAAATATGAAAAGTTAACCAGCTACAGTAATGCTAACCAAACATGGATTACATGTATGGAACTATTTACATTCAACTGATCAACAGTTATTTTAGAACTGTTTTGTTTAAAATAAAACTACGGACCATCATTCTATTTGAGCGTTTTTGTTGTTTTTCTGAAAGTCAAGAAAGATTCAACCACAGCGAAAACACAGAAGGTGTTAGTTATATCATCAGTTTCTCCTTTGGTGATACATTGTAAAAGTGCTTATTTCAGCGATCTTAGACTTAAGTGTATTATTTATTTGTAATAGATCAATGTATTCATAAATTCGCGCGCACTCAGAAATATTCAATGAACTCAAAGTGAAAAAATCAGAATATGGCTAAACTATGTACGTTTATTGTGTATCATATACAGATGACGAATTCATGTGTTAATCGCATAACAAATTTGCAAAAAGAAATTAGTTTTAAAAATGTTGATTACTCAATGAAACAAACTATTTTAGATAAACATTTACTGCATTGTATGTGTAAATGTTACTCCAAAAGTAGAAATAATACAAATCTAGTGGTGTTAAAGGATAGAAAACCAGTAAAGCGGGATTGTGCACATAGTACCCGTTTATTTTGTAACGATTTTTCATCTTTTTCTTTTGGCATCAACAGATCACACATTGTGTGCATTAATGCAAATAATATTCCGCGAAATCAAAGCAGTGTACTGTATTTACTTGTTATGTGTCTCATGTTGATAAGAGATAGTTACGTGTGGATGTCGTTATCTGAACTACACGTGGTGCAACTGAAGTGAAGTGTGTGGTGTCGTATTTTATATTCTGAACAATATATTGATGCGACATCTTGTCTTGTCCGATAGGAGGTAGTCACCTAATCGATGGCCCGACACATCTGTTACTAACAAATCCACGTTGTACCGGACAACAACGAGACTTAAACATCACAATTCAGTTTGCTTCAAGATGATGTTCCTTTTAAATGTTATTTCTATATTAGTGCTAATACATAATGTCCAAGGATCAGATTTATTTTCCTACATTAACTTAGAGAAATACTATTTCATAGAGGAGGAATTGATTGGTCTTGCCGGTGCGATCGTTGAGATTGAGAGAAAAGGTCATAGTGAGACGGATGTACACACAATATTCCATCACTCCAGGTAAAGTTCTGTGAAATTCAAATGTATATAGATCTGAAAAAGGTTTCTCTACATATGATTTGTATGATGTTTACTGCGGCGAGACTCATAAGATTCTGAAGGAGACGGAACGAAACTATTTTTCTTTTAATCATGTTAACTTACCCAGGTAAATAATATAATATTTGTTTTTCAAATAATGAGGAGACTACAAAATCACAATATTTTCATTGGCCGCTATTTTGTTTTCTTCGGATTTTGCGTTAATGACGTTATGACACGATAAACATGACACATTAACCTCGTGATGATGAAGTTATATATGATGTATTGACGACGTGATGGTGCTATAACATGTTACATATTGACCCTGTGGCGATGCGGTTAGGTTGTATATCAACCACATGATGATGCAGTTACACGTTACATACTGGCCATGTGATGACGAAGTAACACGTTACATATTAACCACGTGATGACGTAGTTATATTTTACATACTGGCCATGTGATGACGTAGTAACAGATTACATATTAACTACGTGATGATGTAGTTACACGTTACATACTGGCCATGTGATGACGTAGTAACACGTTACGTATTAACTACGTGATGACGTAGTAACACGTTACATATTAACTACGTGATGATGTAGTTACACGTTACATATTAAACACGTGATGACGTAGTTACACGTTACATACTGGCCATGTGATGACGTAGTAACACGTTACATATTAACTACGTGATGACGTAGTTACACGTTACATATTAACTACGTGATGATGTAGTTACACGTTACATACTGGCCATGTGATGACGTAGTAACACGTTACATATTAACTACGTGATGACGTAGTTACACGTTACATACTGGCCATGTGATGACGTAGTAACACGTTACATATTAACTACGTGATGACGTAGTTACACGTTACATACTGGCCATGTGATGACGTAGTAACACGTTACATATTAACTACGTGATGACGTAGTTACACGTTACATACTGGCCATGTGATGACGTAGTAACACGTTACATATTAACTACGTGATGACGTAGTTACACGTTACATACTGGCCATGTGATGACGTAGTAACACGTTACATATTAACTACGTGATGACGTAGTTACACGTTACATACTGGCCATGTGATGACGTAGTAACACGTTACATATTAACTACGTGATGACGTAGTTACACGTTACATACTGGCCATGTGATGACGTAGTAACACGTTACATATTAACTACGTGATGACGTAGTTACACGTTACATACTGGCCATGTGATGACGTAGTAACACGTTACATATTAACTACGTGATTACGTAGTTACACGTTACATACTTGCCATGCGATGACATAGTAACACGTTACATATTAACTACGTGATGACGTAGTTACACGTTAAATACTGGCCATGTGATGATGTAGTTACACGTAACATATTAACTACGTGATGACGTAGTTACACGTTACATACTGGCCATGCGATGACATAGTAACACGTAACATATTAACTACGTGATGACGTAGTTACACGTTACATACTGGCCATGTGATGACGTAGTAACACGTTACATATTAACTACGTGATTACGTAGTTACGCGTTACATTCTGGCCATGTGATGACGTAGTAACACGTTACATATTAACTACGTGATGACGTAGTTACACGTTACATACTTGCCATGCGATGACATAGTAACACGTAACATATTAACTACGTGATGACGTAGTTACACGTTACATACTGGCCATGTGATGACGTAGTAACACGTTACATATTAACTACGTGATTACGTAGTTACGCGTTACATTCTGGCCATGTGATGACGTAGTAACACGTTACATATTAACTACGTGATGACGTAGTTACACGTTACATACTGGCCATGTGATGACGTAGTAACACGTTACATATTAACTACGTGATGACGTAGTTACACGTTACATACTGGCCATGTGATGACGTAGTAACACGTTACATATTAACTACGTGATGACGTAGTTACACGTTACATACTGGCCATGTGATGACGTAGTAACACGTTACATATTAACTACGTGATGACGTAGTTACACGTTACATACTGGCCATGTGATGACGTAGTAACACGTTACATATTAACTACGTGATGACGTAGTTACACGTTACATACTGGCCATGTGATGACGTAGTAACACGTTACATATTAACTACGTGATTACGTAGTTACGCGTTACATTCTGGCCATGTGATGACGTAGTAACACGTTACATATTAACTACGTGATGACGTAGTTACACGTTACATACTGGCCATGTGATGACGTAGTAACACGTTACATATTAACTACGTGATTACGTAGTTACGCGTTACATTCTGGCCATGTGATGACGTAGTAACACGTTACATATTAACTACGTGATGACGTAGTTACACGTTACATACTGGCCATGTGATGACGTAGTAACACGTTACATATTAACTACGTGATTACGTAGTTACGCGTTACATTCTGGCCATGTGATGACGTAGTAACACGTTACATATTAACTACGTGATGACGTAGTTACACGTTACATACTGGCCATGTGATGACGTAGTAACACGTTACATATTAACTACGTGATTACGTAGTTACGCGTTACATTCTGGCCATGTGATGACGTAGTAACACGTTACATATTAACTACGTGATTACGTAGTTACACGTTACATACTTGCCATGCGATGACATAGTAACACGTTACATATTAACTACGTGATGACGTAGTTACACGTTAAATACTGGCCATGTGATGATGTAGTTACACGTAACATATTAACTACGTGATGACGTAGTTACACGTTACATACTGGCCATGCGATGACATAGTAACACGTAACATATTAACTACGTGATGACGTAGTTACACGTTACATACTGGCCATGTGATGACGTAGTAACACGTTACATATTAACTACGTGATTACGTAGTTACGCGTTACATTCTGGCCATGTGATGACGTAGTAACACGTTACATATTAACTACGTGATGACGTAGTTACACGTTACATACTGGCCATGTGATGACGTAGTAACACGTTACATATTAACTACGTGATTACGTAGTTACGCGTTACATTCTGGCCATGTGATGACGTAGTAACACGTTACATATTAACTACGTGATGACGTAGTTACACGTTACATACTAACTACGTGATGACGTAGTTATACGTTACATATTAACCACGTGATGACGCACAGTAGTTACATTTTACATATAGAGCACGTGATGATGAAGTTTCCTGGGACATATTGAACAAGTGATACCGTAGTTACATTTTACATATAGAGCACGTGATGCTGAAGTTACACGTTACATATTGAACAAGATATGACGTAGTTATATATGACATATTAACCATAGTTACATGTTAAATATAGAGCACGTGATAAAGTTACATGTAACATATTGACCACATGATTGTGTGATTACACGTAACATATTGACAAGGCAATTAAATACTAACAATGAAATGTTATTGCACATAAAATACTGACCCTGTTATGTTATTGCACGTTAAATACTGACCTTGTTATGTTATTACACGTTAAATACTGACCTTGTTATGTTATGACACGTTAAAAACTGACATTGTTATGTTATTACACGTTAAATACTGACCTTGTTATGTTATTGCACGTTAAATACTGACATTGTTATGTTATTACACGTTAAATACTGACCTTGTTATGTTATAACACGTTAAAAACTGGCATCGTTATGTTATTACACGTTAAATACTGACATTGTTATGTTATTGCACGTTAAATACTGACCTAGTCATGTTATTGCACGTTAAATACTGGCATCGTTATGTTATTGCACGTTAAATACTGACCTTGTTAAGTTATTAAATGTTGCATATTGAATGTTTATTCGATTGTGTCATACGTTACATTACTTATTCCATCCGATATTGCTACTATTACGTTATATTTTTACAATTCATTATTTATAACGAAGTTATATATTTATATTGAGGTGTTATAACTAAATGTTACATATTTACATTCAGGTGTTATAGCTACATGTTACATATTTACATTGAGGTGTTTTAACAACATGTTATATATTTACATTGAGGTGTTATGACTACATGTTATATATTTACATTGAGGTGTTATGACTACATGTTATATATTTACATTGAGGTGTTTTAACAACATGTTACATATTTACATTGAGGTGTTTTAACAACATGTTACATATTTACATTCAGGTGTTATAACTATAAGTTATATATTTACATTCAGGTGTTATAACTCTATGTTATATATCTACATTGAGGTGTTATGACTACATGATACATATTTACATTGTGGTGTTTTAACATGTTATATATTTACATTGAGGCGTTATGATTACATGTTACATATTTACATTGTGGTGTTTTAACAACATGTTACATATCAACATTGAGGTGTTCTGACTACATGTTACATATTTACATTGTGGTGTTTTAGCATGTTATATATTTACATTGAGGTGTTATGACTACATGATACATATTTACATTGTGGTGTTTTAACATGTTATATATTTACATTGAGGTGTTATGATTACATGTTGCATATTTACATTGTGGTGTTTTAACATGTTATATATTTACATTGAGGTGTTATGACTACATGTTACATATTTACATTGTGGTGTTTTAACAACATGTTACATATCAACATTGTGGTGTTTTAACAACATGTTACATATCAACATTGTGGTGTTTTAACAACATGTTACATATCAACATTGAGGTGTTATGACTACATGTTACATATTTACATTGTGGTGTTTTAACAACATGTTACATATCAACATTGTGGTGTTTTAACAACATGTTACATATCAACATTGAGGTGTTTTAACAACATGTTACATATCAACATTGAGGTGTTATGACTACATGTTTCATATTTACATTGAGGTGTTATGATTACATGTTGCATATTTACATTGTGGTGTTTTAACATGTTACATATTTACATTGTGGTGTTTTAACAACATGTTACATATTTACATTGTGGTGTTTTAACAACATGTTACATATCAACATGTTACATATCAACATTGAGGTGTTATGACTACATGTTACATATTAAAGATTCAGGTGTTAATGTAACAATCCGTATCATATTGACAAATGATGATGTCATTATACACGGTGTAATTCATAGACATAAGCTAACATTGTACCACGCTTACTAATACCACACTGCCATATGTGTGTATATAAATCAATATGCACATACCCAGTGACATCTCATTAATACGGACAGATGTGTTTTACAGAAATCTCTCTTTGTTATAGTGTCCTTGCATAATACATCTTTTAATAAAATGTGAACTACATTCAGACGTCCCCAACCTAAAGTTCAAGAAACCTTAAAACTTGGCTCAAACGTCTGCATGTTTAGCTTATTTTGCTATATACATAACTGTATAATAACAATAAAAGGCAGAAAACCAGTAGGCTTGAATGGAAATATTCAAAAGGAAATTTATAAACAGTTTATTGACTCTTAGCTTGATACATGTAGCTTAATATTTATGTGACGTTAACATTCACGATTAACATTCTTGATGAAAATGTAAATGGGCGAGTGTTCTATTCTCGTGAAATGTGTGTGTATTACGTGATATATTTCGTTTAAAAATAATAATAGTTAGTCCTCAAGGATCTGGCTACGTCCGTTTCCAGTTAAAGTTGCTAGAGTGAGAGATTGCTATATTAACGAGACAAGTTTGCTTAGGAGAAAAAAAGCCAATCTGTTTACTAAAGCATTACCTGGGAAATGACAACCAAGGAATGGGTACTAGATGTACTAGACTAAGGTTTATTGTATTGCATAAACTTATCATAAGTAATCACGTGAATCAATTTTGAATCATTTTTATTTTAAATATCAACGCCTTGTTCCAGTTATGTCAATCCTCATCTTCTTTCTGATAAGTAACGTTTCCAAATTCACCGTCAAAGTTTATGAAATATACATGCATTTCGCACATAAAGTTTTTCACTTAGCAGTCAATAGAGGTTTTTAGGTTATTTACGTTTATCCCATTCCCCTAAATTATGATAACCTTCCGATATAAAACCCAGGTATTTCTTGATGGTATTATATACGGTAGCTGATGCACCAACCAAAGACTGAAACGTGTAACTAGAAGTTTATTAAAGATTGCTTTGATATAAATACAAAAACTGCCATGATTACATTGACACCATTTTGAATCCATTGAAATGTTTTTTTGATTTTAACAGTTAGCAGTTTTATAAGTAATTATTTCATAAAATACCATGCATTAACATTTTACATTATAGGTAGTTTATTTACATAGCCTGATATAGCTACAACCTAAAGTTGGCGTTAATATTGATCCTCCTTCATCAGTGTTACTCAAATCGATGCATGACTCCGTTTTTATGTATAACCGTCAATACTGTGTATCTTTTGATTTTAGAATCATTCAACACGCCAAGCGTATACATATGGATGCGGGCAATTACGAAGAATACCTGGCCCATCCGATCAATGTATTTCATCTCACAAAGAGGCTAGCAACGGAATGGAGAAACACCACCACATCACTTCTAGAGAGTTCCCTCTGTGTGAATGGTATTAATTTTATACGCTATTAAAGGATTCTTTCTTCAAAAACATTTCTATGTTATGAACCTGTGATGTAAGCTTTTAATGATGTGTGCAAACTACATCTATATTACCACTGGTGAGCATAGGAGTTAGTTGCTAAATATATGCAGTTCCTAAGGTATTAAATAAAATAATTGTATACAAATATCCCGGATAATCACTGCTTCATTTGTAAACACATATAATAAAAGCAATCCTTACAGTTGAATGTAAGCTTACAATTTGTGCAGATCAAGTTTGTATTTTGCAATGACAAAGGTGCTTTTATACATGTAGTTATGTGTGGTCCATAAGAAACTTACCGATGGGTATTGAATGGGAATAAAATCCAAAGCGTTGCCGATGGTTCAAATGCAACTTCAGGCATAAAATGAAGTTTAAAATTATATAAATTCTCCTTATAGAGATTCGTGTAGATAGGATTTATTTTTAATATTTAAGTAATTCCTCGATTTGGATTTTCAGGCCGAGGCTCTATGGTGAAGCATTTTTCATTCTTATACTGTACCTATTACCAAGTTTTAAAGGTGAAATCACGTGTGTCTTACATTCATTTTTCTAGATAAAATATAGTAGATTACTGATGGATTTCTAAGTCATGAAGGTTTAAGTAACCTTGATAGTAACAGCTATATCTATCATGATGTGGCATGACTCGTTATATACACACTATACATATTATCAACTTGTAATCCACAAGTACTTCTATTTTTTATTTTATTTATGTAATAGTGGTAAGGAGTTGTACACAACCCACCAGCTGTTTCTCCACTTCCAATTGTGTTAAATATCTTAAGGAGATCGATTTTAATGAAAAAGAATGTCCGTCATTTGCCCAAAACAGATTTAAAGGTGAAATTGATGGATATCGAGGACAACCTTCCAACAGAGATGGATTTTAACAACATTACATACGCAGTACTCGGGCTCCAGGACTTCCACCGTTACTCCAATGCGGATGTTATGGAGGGATCTGTAAACGGGGTCCAGTCATACGAGCCTGTTACAACAGAAGACGCTGTGGACTTCGGGATGTCAGCTTTCAAACACAACTATCCTGATCGTGCGATATCCTGGCTCGAATATGTTATCGACAAAATCGGCAGCAGCACGACAGCTGTCGGCAAGCACTCAGTGGGCATGCTATACAGTACATTAGCCACTGTGTACTTACGGGTAACTGGTCACCACTATACAGTGGGGTTTTATTGCAATAATTACTATGAAATCAGTTATTTTCGTGGAGCCTAGTTTTTGTGGGTTTTTTTTGACAAAACATCATTCCCACTCAAACAGAGAATTGCTTGATATCAAACTTGTAACTACGTAGTGGATTTATGATTTCGTGGATGACGATAACCCACGAAATCATCGAATTTTTAAAAGCAGACGAAAATCACTGATTTCATAGTAATAGATTTACTGATGTGTGTACATCATTTCCTCCAACAAAGGCTACCGTGGTTGAAATTGATACATAATTACAGTCTTTAATACGGTTAAACATTTTCTGCATCAATAATACTTTAAAGGAAGTAACTAGGAATGTGTTTTATTATGTTTTTTATGGGGTTTTTAGACTAGCTCTTTATGCAGTGTATTAGTAATTTTTGGTTTAATTTTATAAAGCACAATAACACTTCGTGACGTGTAGATACATGTATCACTCATTTATATTCCCGGCAAGCTTATAAAACATTTACAAGTCAATATATCTATATGTAGTATGTACATCAATATCTAAATATATAACATACATACAGAGTTATAGATAGATCTTTATATCGTAACTGACAATTATGAATAAACATATGTTAATATCTGTAGATAATGTATACATATTATTATTTGGTGGAACTATATCAAAAATATTCACCGATACTTTTATATATAATATTCATTGTCATATCTACATGTATATATAGAATATACATAGCAGTACAAATATACTAAGTATTGCATGTTTATATATATATTAAGAATATACTAGTACTTATCAATATATGTATTTCTACATGGGGTGTTATATATTTAATATACATGTCAATTTGTACCGAGTGCCGGATACACGCTTACGTTTAAATGAGAAAATAAAAATAGCGAACATTTTCTGTTTTATAGTGCTGTCAAAATCTAAAATATTAATCATCTAATGTCAATCACTCCAGCTTAATTCTACTATGGTATTCATCCTGCATCATAATATGAAATATTTCCAGTTATTCCCTGTTGGTGTTGGGTGGATGTGTAATTTTATAATTAATACTAAGTTTGTATTCAATTACCTTTTACAGAATAACAAAATTGATATGGCTTTAGAAACTACAGATCGGCTTCTTAAATTAGGTATGTATCTGACGTAAACCTTACCATGGTTAAACTGTGGCCGAAAACTGTATTAGATTTTCATTTTTCTTAACTTAGAAATATTAATCCTCCTAATGTGCAAAACTTTACGTTTGATATACTTTATCTTATTAGATGTTGAATTTATTTGGACACGAATTATCTTACTTTGATTTCAATTATTCTCCAGTTCCTGATAGCACAGTCGCAAGGCAGAATAAAGAATACTTCCAAATGAAGAAATCGAGAGCAGATAAAACAAAGGAACAACGAATAAAAGTATCAAAATTCACTCGATTGAGAGATGGTCTATGTTCGGGAACCATTTCAATGGCAAAAAAGGTATTTGATTTACAAAGAAATTGCTGTGGTATAAAAATTGACTTAAAATGACTGTACTATTTGTAGTTGTACATAAAAGTAATTCACGTGATGTACATAGCTAGAAACTCCATGGTTAATGAAGTTTGTATTGTTTATACATTAATACTACTTAATATCAGTTAGGTCAAATCATTCTGATTTTATTCTTTCTTTTTTTAACATTGAATTGAAGCATGAGCGAGTTCCATTCTCAAATTTTAAAAAATGTGAGTGACATATGCTAATATACAAATGTACCAAGCTTTGACCAAGAGGACGGTTATATAGGTATCTAGTGTTTACTTGATCATGACCTCAGATGGAAATATACAATTGAAGGGCTTAATTTGAAAATATATTAAAAAATTGATGGATTACCATATTTGCAAATTTTCCTCTCAATGCTCTCAGGTATTTAGAAAGGGCGTATGAACAAACTTTGGTCGTATTGGTAAAACGCAGAACAAAATACCGTATGAGAAACATGTACGCGTATTCCAAAAGGATATTCAACACGGGAATAGATTGATATAAGTTTAATAACTTGTTTCTGGATCCTATTTCATGTATGTAATAATTAAATGTCAAGTATTTTGTAATTGCAAATTTACGAAATATTTTTTTTTGTTTTATACTAACACAGGACAGGTGTATCCAGCATGATCAGAGGTGATAGAAAACGTCTTAAAAAGTAATTTATATTTATGAGTATATGTGTCATAAAATGTGAGTTTCACAATAATTTAACATTTCTTTTTTTCTTTCACCTGTGAAATAGAAATCAAAACGACGAACGGTTAGGTTAGATACGTGGGATGAATCGTTCCTGACAAGAAAAATAGATATTGATGCAATGGTGATTAGACAACGGCCTTTGATAGTAGTAATCCCTGGACTCATCAGCAACGAAGCTACTGCTAACATTACGACTCTTGGCTATGACAAGGTAAGCTTCCCATTTGAAAAGGACAATTGTTATATTGATATGAAATTTAGGTCATTATTTGAGCATATTACAACTCTAATTCAAAATATGTTTGTACAATCAAAATTATAGTGTTTGAGTTAATGCCACGACAAAAACAAATGATAATTAAAACTCACTCCGTAAAATTTAACTGTTTAAAATGAATTTTGAGAAGGCTCCTTAAATCTCTATCAAAATCCCTTAAAAATACGCTTGAAATTATGCATTGATAAAGAAATGGGATTAAGATTATAGAAACATTGAATATTCAAGTATTTTTCTTCAGTTTATTTATAGTTTTTCAACCTCTAATAATTTGGTCAATATATAAAGTAAAACCTCTTAATTTTGCATACAATATACTCTTCTGTTACATTTATCGCAACGGTCTATCTGAAAAATGTCAACTCGGTGAATGACTGTGTTTAAAAAATACACCAAAAATAAAACTTGCGCTTATCACTGATTAAGTTAATCACCGTTCGTACAACTGGACCCAGATGAGTATTTTGCTTACAATCCTAACAAAATTGCAACGACATTAAATATGAAAAATACAAATACAAAGTTTACATAAATACATATACGCTTTTCTGTTTTTTGATCATTTTTTACAATCCCATTTCTCTGTTGCAGATGTTCCAGAAAGCTATACCTACAAACAAATACGGTGATCCAAAATTTAAGTAAGACACCTTTACGGATCAGACAACTATATTTTATTTCAAGAACAAAACCATTTTTTTTAAATCTCTTGATTGTGATTTTCGTTCACACAGAAATATGGACACTAGGGCAGTTGCCGTAAGCATATGATCATAGTGCAATTTCTGAGCGAGATTATTCTTTGATGCAAACCAGAGAGTGACAACAGAAAGATTTTCCTAAGAGGAATGTAAAGTATATACTTTATTTGGAAGTGTTTAAAGACACTGACAGATTTTTATATTTACAAATATATCATTGGTAAGTCATACTTGGAATATAGAATGTGCCGATGGTTTGCTTGTTTGTTGCTTGTTTTTTGCTCTTTTTTTTCTTTTTTTTTTATTTATTTATGTATTTTTTATTGTTGTTTTCTTCTACAACTATAAATGTATATCTATGGTGTATGTAATGGAACCGTGTAAATTCATAATAATTGGTCACAAGTATATACATGTACATAGAAATACATGCAGCAGGCAGGTGAGGTTGAAACAGATACCACCTGTTCTCAAAGTCTAGAAAGTCAATTAAGCTTTAGTTAAATCTTAACGTTCAAGAGTTAAACATGTCGGCGCTTCTTTACAAACTTATTTCTTAAAGCCAGTATTATGATGACCGACTGTTGGCCAGTAACGTTGCAATGTAATGCATCACAATATAACTATATTTTATGATTAATTACAATTACAAAACCCATACAGTTTATTTAGTCACATAAAAGTCGACATAAAATTACTTCACAAATGTCAATTCGTGCATGAAATATCCCATTTAAATAAAGTATTATGCATTTACAAATCGTTTTGGACATGAACACATAAACTGATGAAAACTGTATGCATTTTAATTTAGAATGATTTAGCGGTTCAAATGGGCAGACATCATTGGACTTTATTTCAATAATTTGCAGTAATTAGTCTCAAATTTACAGGCAAAAAACTCTTTCAATGGGTCAGGATTGTGCCTCACTTGGAAAATGCTTCTTCGTGAATTAAATATATAATAGTTAAAGGGGTCTATTCTATGATTTAAAGTCGCCTAAAGCTGTTCAAAATGGAATGGCAACCCTGCATTTTCGATTATTAATATTTGTTCATTTGTAGTAATATTACAAAATGCAATGGAAGTCATGAATTAGAGCGTTGTCACGCTTTCTCGATATACAGTAGTTCGAACTCGTATACATGAATGAAACACGAAAACATTGTACGTTTAAAAAGAATTATGAGCTACTTGTATTTGTAACATATATAGAATGGGAGGAGATCAATTTGTGTACATATCTTGTAGAGTCAGAGTGAACGACACATCGGGACCCTACACAGTAGCAGTGCAAGATGATATTTCGCAGATAAAACTAACCAGGTACCCTCCACAAGATACCATGTTTGAGGTGAGTACACCTCAGTGTCTTGAGTCGCTACACCTGACTGTAACACTTCTTTGACCCTACATCTGATTATTAAACTGCTGTCTAGCTTACACCAACTCTTCTGTCTGAATAATATGGTGTCTCTACATGTAAATTTTACTTTGACACATTCGTCTGGAATGCCTTGGCCTTGCATCATACTCCTACACTTCTGTCTAGATAATGCTTTGCCATACTATTTTTAGCTCACCTGGTCCGAAGGACCAAGGTGAGCCTATGCCATACCGTGTGGCGTCCGTCGTCCGTACGTCAACAATTTCTTCAAACGACATCTTCTAAACCACTGATTGGAATTTAACAAAATTGACTGGAAGCATTCCTAGGTGCTGGGGATTCACAATTGTGCAAATGGTTTGGCTGACCATCCAGGGGGCTGAGGGGCGGGGCCAAAAAGGGTTATATGGCTATATTGCTGTAAGCGACTTCTTCACTGGAACCAAGAAATGGATATCAACCATATTTGATTTGAAGCATCCCTAGGTGGTGGGGATTCAAAATTGTACAAATGGTGGGGCTGACCCCCAGGGGGCTGATGGTCGGGGCCTAAAGGGGGCAATTTTGCAATATTGCTATACACGACTTCTTCTGTAGACCTATGCCCTGGATAGCAATAATATATGGTCGTAAGCGTTCATGGGAGGCGGGGATTCAAAATTGTACAACTGGTGGAGCTTACCCCCTGGCTAAGGGGGTGGGCCAAAAAATGTTTTATTACTTGGAAATGGTTGAGATCTCCACCGTATAACCATATATACAATTGCTAAGTATAAAGAGAAGAATGCACATTTGCTTCCAAGATGCCCATGGAGTCTGGCCCCACCCTTGGAGACTAAACCCCTTGGTCATAACGGTTGAGATCCAAACCCCAAAACTATATATACAAATGCTGGGCATAAAGTGACGAATGTAGTCATGATATTATAATTGATTTTGGAGTATGGTCACAACCCTAGGGACCTAGTTTCTAAGTCACAGCTTGGAAACAGTTAAAATCTTCACCCCATAACCTAACATAAAATTGCTAGGCATAAAAAATATAATACAGATATGCTACAAAAATTGGCCTTGGGATCTGGCCTATTCCCTTGGATCTCATTTGGAGAATATTTTGCCATGATTGCTTAGATATCCAGGTGAGTGATAAGGCCTTCTGGGCCTCTTGTTTTATTATGCATTTGTTTTGATGAAATCGTGTCCTTACTATAATACTTTAATGAGGATTTTACCGTGTACTTACATCTTCCTACTACAAGTTTTTCTGGGTAAAAAAATGCCCTTACACCAAATAGTGTATCTGACTGTTACACTTCTGTCCTTACATTTTATACTATTACACCTCTTTCCTGTATGCTAATTTGCCCTTACACAAAGTGTGTATCTGACTGTTACACTTCTAACCTTACATTTTATACTATTACAAATTGTTCCTGGGTGTTAATTTGCCCTTTCACAGAGTGTGTATCTGACTGTTACACTTTTATCCTTACATTTTATACTATAATAACTTTTTCCTGGATGATAATTATAATTTGCCCTTTCACAAAGTGTGCATCTGACCGTTACGCTTCTTACCTGACATTTTATACTATTACACCTTTTTCCTGGGTGATAATTTGCGCTTACACAAAGAGTGCATCTGACTGTTACACTTCTAACCTTACATTTTATACTATTACGACGTTTTCCTTGGTGATAATTTGCCCTTACACAAAGTGTACATCTGACTGTTCCACTTCTATCCTTACATTTTATACTATTACACATTTTCCTGGGAGATAATTTGCCCTTACACAAAGTGTGCATCTGACTGTTCCACTTCTATCCTTACATTTTATACTATTACAACTTTTTCCTGTGTGATAATTTGCCCTTACACAAAGTGTGTATCTGACTGTTATACTTTTGTCTGAAGGCTACCTTGCCCCTCTATTATTAGACTACTACACTGTTGTATGGCTTTAACATCTGACTTTTACGCCTTTCTCGTGTAGGTGATACTTTGTTTCTTCCCTTGAAACTAACACACTGCTGTCTGGATAATGACTTCTCCTCTAACATGTATAATACAATGCTGCCAGGGTTAACATTGTCAGTTAGACGACAGGTGCATCACTACATACTTGTTTCCAGTAGGTGCAAGCTGATGTAATATTTTTAACGCAGCAAAGTGTGTATTTCTTTCTTTAGTTATACGCTTGTTCATCGTTCTATTATTTTAAACAGTAAAGTTTGACATATCTTGATTTCGCTGCATATTATATCTGTTCCAGGTTCTAAATATTGGAATGGACGGGATCCATCGTACAGCTAAGAAGAAGGTTTGTCGGTGCTATACATACATATATAACAGTTAATTATTGTTTTTAGTCAGTAAGATATAGGTTGCGTTGAGATACGAGATAGATAACTTGATTGAATAATGTTATTAATCAATAATTTATGAAAACTTAACAATAAAATAAAGAAGAACGCAACGGTTAGGTCGCTGATTCGTTAAATTTGTCATTAATTCAGACATACTCTCAAGCTTAATATACAGGTTAGTTCAATTGTAATTCCAGTGGAGAATAGTTCTGTTGTTTTGGGTATTGTTCATGTATCTGTGCATAAAGCTGAATAATACAGTTATCCAAAAGCTATTTTGTCTTCAAGTTTGGCGTACCGTTATTTATTTAATGATAATCAATTTCAAATTGTGAAATAGTATCAATAATCATGACGTCACAACACTGTGATCATTTAACCTAGGTTATTTGCTACAACGAAACCCTTTTTAGTTTTACTTTAATGTATAATGTGATGTCATGTGATAAACTTCCCCTATAATTCTGCGAGTTGTTTACCGTATATTTCCGTTCCACTGATTCTTGAATTTTATCTTGATTAAGAGGGTAGATTTCGCTCAATAAAGAAATGATGAAGTTGGGTATATAAGGGATATTGACTGGTTACCCATCGATCGCGATATATTGTGAGTGTATATTGAAGAGGATATTCGAACGGTTTTTTAACCACTTATTTCACTTTTTAATATGTTTTCATTAACAGATAATTCAGGGTATTCGTCATATTGGTAAAAGCAATGTAAATTTATAATAAATATTTCAAAATATCACAAAATTCGGTGCCCTGATCACGAAATATACCATGCTTTGATTTGCTGATAGCAGCGTTGGATGGCATTTTTTGTCTCCTGGACGAAACTTAATGCCCTTTTTGCTGCTGTGATTACAATTTTGTCGTTAAGCTGATATTCATCTGTATCAAATTGACGTAAAAAATCGTGATTACACTAGTAACATTTGCTGCTCTTAATGCATATCTGTGATTATGTTGGTTCGACTAAGACAGGTAAAACTGTACCAAATAGGATTGTATTTCTCTGTTTTCTTACTTTGTTTCAGTGGTTTGGTCAGTCATTTTCAGGGACGATGTTAACTTCGGTAAGTTGAGACATCTCAATTGTTAAATTATCTAGCATTACAAAAAAAAATGTTAAAATCTTGTTTTGATATATTTAAAATAAATCTGTTTTGTTGTATTTAACAATCATTCTGTTTTGTTATATATAACAACATTTCTGTTTTGTTATATTTCTCAAACAAATCTGTTTTGTTATATTTTACAAAATTCTGTTTTGTTATATTTAACAAAAATTCTGTTTTGTTATATTTCACAAAAAATCTGTTTTGTTATATTTCACAAAAAATATATTTTGTTATATTTCACAAATAATGTGTTTTGTTATATTTCACAAAAATTTTGTTTTGATGTATTTCACAAAAAAAATAATGTTTTTGTTATATTTAAACAACAAACTGTTTCTTTATATTTAGCAAAAGTTCTGTTTTTGTTTTATATTTAACAGCCTTGACGTAAAAACACTTTGTTTGTTTGTTTGAGATGTTTGACGTTCGTTTTATTATCGAGAAGTTTCCTTGAGTTCGGTTATCAAGTAGAGGAGGAAAGACCGGCATATTACATAAAAGTTATTGAAATCATGGCAAACGGTAGTTTCCTGTTCAGATGGAAATTTATCATCTTTATTGCTGTCTTTTGCTTTGAATGATGCAGTTTACATACATACAAACCACACATACATATACACACATTTATAGATTAATAAGGTTAATTACCTGAGCAGACATATATCGCTGTTGTGACCAGCTATTTACATTGACCTCTTATCGCCACAACGTTACGTTAGAGAATGCCTTTGGCAATCATAGAACTATGAATGTCATAGCTCAGTGCTACGAGAATTAGATTTTATGACGTTTATTCCCATCCGCGTCGGACAAAGTAGACTATTGAATGTCTTTAGTGATAGTAAACCTTCTATAAACTTTATAGTACTTATACATAGGCATAAATGAATAATGATAAAATAAAATTTGTGTAATAATATATAGACTTTCAACTTGTTATTACCGCGTTTTTTTTAATATTCATACCGGCATGAACTTTTAAAAAATGAACGCCGTTCAATCCATATATTTGCATTTTTACTATAGAACAATTGTTTTATTTTATTAATTTGTTCTTTAATAATAAATTAATTTACTGCGTTTTGTATATGCGTCGTCCTTTAATCGACATTGGCGGAACAGTCCTATCGAAATAAAATTGGCGCCAATAATTAACTGTAGTCATTTGGGCGTTTGACGCAGGGGCATTCTGCATTTTATTTTCGAAGTGAAACGACACAACTCTCATCGAACAAGGTTTCCATATGACGTCATAAGTAAACCACGTGTTACGTCACTAGAGTTTTTGCTCTCATACTCAGATGAAATGCATTTCTGCTGGTAGGGTTGCAGCGCAAATGTAAACATAAGCAAGTGTTGCGCGTTGCTCCGTCTATGAAATGTTAACAAAGGGAAATGTGAATCATTCCAAATACATTAAACATGGTATTTGCCAAAACAATTGTAACAAAATGTTTAAATAAAATTATTCAACCTGCAATTCCGTCTTTGCGTATTGCAGAGTCATCTTCTCTTAGGAGCAGGCATTGATTGTTACGTCACTTGTTTGTGAGAGTAACGTCATCAATTTTTGAGAAAACGACGTAATTTTCTAACACAAACCCATGACGTAACAATCAATACCTGCTCCGAAGAGAAGATAACTCTGCAATACGCAAAGACCGAATAGTAGAAACTCGGTTTTGTTTAATTTTGTAATGCCCGAGCTTATGCATGTATCCATATTCGTAATAAACCGATCAGTGTTGTTATGTAATATCTCTTTATGATAAGAGTTAATAACACATTTAGATCCTTTTTTTAAATAGCTATGTATATTTGAAACATCCTGATCAGATACACTTTATTAACCGTATTCCATTTACTGTTAGTTTTTGTCTTTTTCGTTAAGAAATTCATTTTTGAAACAATTCTTTGATATTCTATTTTTGTAGCTTTCAGATGCCACTTTGGGTGGTGAAGTGGTGTTTCCTTTAACCAGGACCATTCTGAGACTCCAAAAAGTACGTTCTTTATTAGTTACATGCACATTTTATATTTACATACATATATCCAATTTAGTGTAGTTTAACGCGTTCGTATTTACGCAGCCAATACTAAATGTTTTCTGATACAGCACGCTCAATGGTATTTGTATTTCAGGGAGACGTTTTGTTTTATGAGGCTGGAGCATCCATGTCGATTTGTCCAGTTATGTATGGCTCTCAGTGGTGTAAGTAGTTATAGTCTCAAAGTCCATCAGGCTTTATACACTTGAGATTTTCAGATATTCCAGGATTGTTTGCGGATGTACGTGTGGTATATAGGTATTATAATGTATGTGTGCACCGTATATACGTTTAATGTTCATAATAAATGTATGTGTGCGCCGTATGTACGCGTGGTATACATAATAATGTATGTGTATGCTGTATGTACGTGTAGTATACATTATAATGTATGTGTGCGCCTTTTGTACGTGTATTATACATAATAATGTATGTGTGCGCTGTATGTACGTGTAGTATACATAATAATGTATGTATGCGCCGTATAAACGTGTGGTATACATTATAATGAATGTATGCGCCGTATGTACGTGTGGTTTACATTATAATGTATGTATGCGCCGTATGTACGCGTGGTATTAAAAATAATGTATGTGTATGCTGTATGTGTGTGTAGTATACATTATAATGTATGTGTGCGCCGTATGTACGTGTAGTATACATAATAATGTATGTATGCGCCGTATATACGTGTGGTATACATTATAATGAATGTATGCGCCGTATGTACGTGTGGTTTACATTATAATGTTTGTATGCGCCATATGTACGTGTAGTATACATAATAATGTATGTATGCGCCGTATATACGTGTAGTATACATTATAATGTATGTATGCGCCGTATGTACGTGTGGTTTACATAATAATGTATGTATGCGCCGTATATACGAGTGGTATACATAATAATGTATGTATGCGCCGTATGTACGTGTAGTATATATAATAATGTATGTATGCGCCGTATGTACGTGTAGCATACATTATAATGTATGTATGCGCCGTATGTACGTGTAGTATACATTATAATGTATGTATGCGCCGTATGTACGTGTGGTAAACAATAGTGTACATTATAATGTATGTTGATGAATGTATGCATGGCAGGGTGTTTGTAATTGTTATGGTTGCATTTGGTATATAGATAATATTTTGTTTATAGATTATTTGATGTCCATAGATACTATACTGTATAGTTGATGATACGAGCTTATATGATGTAATGCCCTGCGCTCTGACTTTCATGCCTCTACGTATACTACTGTAGGTTTAATACATTTATAAACAAGTCAATCAATCTGTTTCTTGTATGTATTGAAACGATGGCTAAAACATAATTGTATCTTTAAAGTGACGTTTAATTTCTTCTCTATACAATTTAGACAATATAATTTATGTTTTCTATCTTTTCCTTACAGACGGTACAATGGGTGTCTGGGAATCTCTGCCAAACGGCGTGTGTGGACTAAAACACAGAGTGATCACTGTTTGATTACTGAAGAAAATGTCTACCGTTCAATGTGTCATTATCCCGATAGTGCTAATGCAACGTCATCCAATCGCTCATTTACTCATAAGTATAAAACATTAGTTATCAGCCTTAGTTTTGATACTCTCCGCCAGGGCTGCGCTCCGATGCTAGTATATCGAAAAGCGGAGCTGTCCAGAGCTTTCGTCCTTACACTCAGTAGCAACGAGCCTCTGATCATGTGACAATTTGTCATATGCTGTCAAACCGTAAGATATGGCGGATTTTTACAAGATCGACTACTTTATCATTAGGTCAGTTCACGAGATTGTCACTTTTTCTGTCGTATTTATTTTAATGCTCCGATCCGTTTGCCCTTTACAGCCAAAATTTGTTTCATGCTTTGGTGTAAATAAAGTGCCATTCAAATTGTTTATGGGCTCGCAGTGAGTACTAATTGTTGTTAATCAACATTGATGAAGTTTGTTTCTTTATTTGAACAAAGTGTTTTTACAATCAATCACATTTTAATGCCATAAGTTAAATAGAAGTAATTATGACCGAACGTAAGCTCCTCATTTAGAACGATGTTTACCGTAGCACTGCGTCTAATATGTATCAAATAATTAAAGAATATATGATAGACTTGTGAATCTTAAGAAACTTCGAGGTAGGAGATATTTTTATGTAGGATTTACGTTGTTGGGACCTATGTTTCACTTCGGGATATCCGAGTTTTTCGAGTTTTCAGAGTTTGAATTATCAGAGTTTTTATTACTAAGATTAAGAAGAGTTTTGGCCGGGACCGATGAAATACTTCGAGTTAAACGGGGTCTTCGAGCTATACGAGTTCGAGATAACGAGGTTCGACTGTATTTGTTTTTTGATCGGTTTTGCGTTGAAATTTCTCTTACGGTGACATATTTGGGAGAAATAAAGTTTCGGTCTATTTATTCAGTTATGTAACACCGAAATAGATTGTCAATAGTCTTCCTATAGTCTTGACATTTAGCCGTTGACAGGGGGTTTAATTGGTGTAAGTTGGTGTAAAGAACGACAATTTCTGAGTGTAAGGACAGACAACTCTGAGTAGAGATTGGCTTTTAAGGATTAACGAACGTTAACGGAGATGCATGAATATCATACCTACTAATATGTTCATCTCGTTGATTGGCATAGTAAGGCATAATGAGTGGTTCAGTTACAGATGGATTTCCGTGAAATTATTGGAATTTAAATAAAAACAAATCCAAAATAATTGATCTTAAAGTATAACATTACGTCTGGAATTTGATGTACCTTGCAATTCCAAGTCTGATAAAGTAAACGGCGCCATAATTAATGTTTCATCATATGTATTTGTTTAAAAAAAATGAAATTCTAAAGTAAAACAACCCCTATTAATGTGAAAAACAATGTCAGCTTGGATTATGAAAGAACAACCTTTTCATATAAATAATAACCTCCTTGGCAGAGCATTGCATAAATAGTTTTGCTCGTTCTTGGTGTCATTAATGATATAATCATAATAATGTTACATTTGTTTGTTTGTTTGTTTGCTTTTGTTTTGCAATTTTCTAGATATCCTTAGAAATGAGAGTTCAGCGGGGGAACATTTCATGCTTTTGCAAATTAAAAAAATCATACAGTTATATTCTATAAAACACCAAATATTTCAATTTGTGATGAAATCTAAAATCTTAAGCAAATAAACGATAAGAAAATTGAGGTTTTTTTCTTGATTTGTTGCACTCCTCTATATGAATGGCCTTATAATCAATCTGTGTTAGACGTCTTGTTTGTATTTACAAGGACATATATTCACATATTATCCTTGTTTACCAGTTGTAACAAATATCTGTGTTTAAAAATAATAATGAAGGTATAAGGTACTCCAGGTCCGTTGTAGTAGGGAGAAGAAAGCCACGCTGAAATGTATAACTATGACATCATTTTTTACGGTAATCAAAAACACATTCTTGTCATTTTACTTACAACAAATTATTTTATTCGTGTAATGTTTTAATGTGCATAAAACACCAAAATGATTCTGTAAAATGGTTATCTGCCTTTGGTTCAACAACAGTCAGACTAACTTTACATTCATTAATTTTTGTGAGATATCTTATTTTCGTGAATGTCGCGAAAGCATAACAATTTAAGTATTCAGTGCGTTGAAGGGTTATGTCAAATCATCGATATTTATTTTTTTGCATGAAATACGTAAATAACCCGTTAAACTATAAAGCGATAAATAAAAACAACGAAAACGTGTTAATCAACTTTGTTTTGTTTTGTTAATTTATTTTACTGAGAAGCTACTAAACTACTCGTTAACCTAAAAGATTAAAACATAGAGAAAATTAAGCATAATTCAATTCTGAATTTCTTTACTCGCGAAAATGAACTATTATACAGTAAGATATCACCTATCGGTTCGAACGTCATATGCCAAGTAAAAGTATCCTTTCAGTACAGTTATGTCATACATTAGTATCGCTTATTATACAATATCTATAAACATCTCGTAACGGTGTACAACATGTACGCATACACATCGCATATCTTATTTTCTGATCGTAAAAAAATCCCATCAAAAGTATTGCTTAGCTATATAATACAATAAGTATGTATTCAGAATAGAGCCATTACATGATAATCTTATTCAAATACGATGTATGGGCCGAGTCTTGAGATATATATATCAGCGGGGTGCTATCGAACCAAAATGCAGTCAAGGCAAGGTACATAAAGTCCATATGAAATTGAAAAACAAAATCCTTTAGATCGCAAAATAAGGCAATTGTTTTATCGTCAGATCGGCGATGTCGCCATCTTGAAGTCATGTCAATTTGCCATCAATTCGTCTTTACGACATCATGACGTCATGTCTGCTCTGTTCATTCTGTCGTCGCAATAAATATTATTACCTGAGGTGATACATAAAACAATATGTCAGATATGTATCCCATGTATATGTAGTCATATAATAAATAATTCTTTGTAATACTATTTTATTTGTAATTCGATATACAATATACCTAGTATTTCAGCGGTCACCTGTTTATTCTGCAATTTAATTCCGCGTTATACGATGAGAGGTACGCTATAGGATAAACTGTTGCGATAATTTTAACAGAAACATACACAGCAGCATATATAATATTAGATTATATTTTCATTATTTTTATCGAAAGCCTATTTTGTTTTGTAAATGAGGTATCATTATATTTCAAATTAGGTATACATGTCTGTACCAAGAGTTAGAGGTAACACAAACCGCTTTTGTATAGCACTAATTTCTCATCACATTAATTCGATAGCAGATCAATAAATGTTCGTATGTGTTTTGATATTATGAAACACGTTTTTCGTCATGCATTTTGCTAGAAAGATTTTGTTATTCTCCTTTTGATTTCCTGGTTTTATGACCGTAGATGGAAAGACGGTTTTTCTGGAGCGGATCACATCACAACACATGCATGGGGAAGTAGATACGTTGAAGTACCGATATGTTTGTTAATGTCCTATGTTTAAGTCCTATTTCGCCTTTAGAGACAGGTTTTCCATTGTTTTTTTCATCATGGTAAGTTGGAGTTCCCCGTAAAACGTCTTGGGTTTGCTCTTCTGTGATTTTGTTGCCGTCTTGGATTGCGCATTCCGCCTTGATTACTGGCCATTGGGTTGTTTTGTGGCATTCCGCCCATTGGACCATTAGTTGGCATTTGTCCGAATCGTTGGTTTCCTCCACCCATTCCACCAGAAGTCGGCGGTAACGGAGTTGGTGGTACTGGGATGTTAGGATTTCCGCCACCCATGCCTTGGTTTGTTCCTATCCTGCTATTTACTCCATGGAAGGTACCCATGCCGCTCATTCCCGAACCTCCTCCCATACCCGGGCCAACATCAATTCCTTGACCACCCATTCCAGAGTTAGGTCCGAAACCCTGGCCACCACCCATATCCGGACTCATTCCCATACTCATTCCTCCATTTATTCCACGAGAACCTCCCATACTACCCATTCCTTGGTTACCTCTCTGACTTGGTGTATCACGATTTACGCCACCAAATCCTCCCTGGCCTTCCCTCCCTTGACCACCCATGACTTGTCCTATCGGGTTACCTCCCATTCCCTGGTTACCACTCATTCCCTGGCTACCTCCCATGCCACTCATTCCCTGGCTAGCTCCCATGCCACTCATTCCTGGGAAACCACCAATCCCCTGGCTACCTCCCATGCCACTCATTCCTTGGTTTCCTCCAGGTCCCTGGCTACCTCCCATGCCACTCAGGCCCTGGCTACCTCCTACATTCGGTACTCTCGTTGGGGGTTGCATATCCCGATTAATACCACTGAATCCTTGGTTGTTACCACCCATTCCTTGACCTTGACCCCCCATTCCCTGACTACCAAATTCTTGACCTTGACCCCCCATTCCTTGACCACCATTTCCTTGACCACCCATTCTTTGTTGTCCCATTCCCTGACCACCCATTCCCTGACCCTCCATTCCTTGTTGCCCCATTCCCTGACCCCCCATTCCCTGACCCCCCATTCCCTGACCACCCATTCCCTGACCACCCATTCCCTGACCCCCCATTCCTTGTTGCCCCATTCCCTGACCACCCATTTCTGGACCCCCCATTCCTTGTTGCCCCATTCCCTGACTCCCCATTCCTTGTTGCCCCATTCCCTGACCCCCCATTCCTTGACCCCCCATTCCTTGTTGCCCCATATCCTGACCACCCATTCCTTGACCACCCATTCCTGGTTGTCCCATTCCCTGACTCCCCATTCCTTGACCACCCATTCCTTGTTGACCCATTCCCTGACCACCCATTCCTTGACCACCCATTCCTTGACTGCCCGGTCCTTGGCCATTAAAGCCCGGACCATGAATACCTGGTTCACCAACCATTCCCTGACCACCAATTCCTTGACTGCCCGGTCCCTGGTCAGTAAATCCCGTACCATGAATACTTGGTTCACCACCCATTCCTTGACCACCCATTCCTTGTTGCCCCATTCCCTGACTCCCCATTCCTTGACCACCCATACCTTGTTGCCCCATTCCCTGACCACCCATTCCTTGACTACCCATTCCTTGACTGCCCGATCCTTCACCAACCATTCCCTGGCCACCAACTGTTCCTTGGCCTCCTCCCATTCCTGGTCCACCACCCGTACTGCCTTGATTATCTATTCCTGCATTCCCTGCACTAATGACGCTTGTTGCTCCGGCATTTTTATCTTTGTGGAAAAATATTTTGCATTTCATGACATCCTTATTCTTTTTCTTTCTTCTATTGTTCCTGTTTCTGTCTCTTCTATTCATTAGCTTTGCCCTTACTACTACAATGTAGGACAGGGTAGGATCAGTAATCGGGATTGTTGTGGATCTTGCATTTGGATTCGGAACTTCGGTGATTGTCCATCTTCCCTGGTAAATCCACTGGAACACCCTGTGTAATACACGGAATCCCATCACCGGGACAGGCATTGGATCCCAGGACACTGCCAACAATGTAGTGTTTACTTCCTTCATACGACCAACCTTTATGTTCTTTGGTGTATCAAATTCTGAAATGTATAATCAGAAATACGCGTTTTAAACAGATTGTCATTTTCTCAAATATGCTCCACATTGAAGGTAATGACCACATAAGCATCATTGTTGATGCATGGTGAACACAAAAATCTCAACACTTAATGACGTTCTCCATGCAAAGGGAATCTGAACAATTCTAACGTAAAAACACACATTGCTTCCTCACAACTGACTATTATGCCAAACGCTGATCATTCGAGAAACATTTTCAAATATATGTCTTTCGAATAGCTTAGCACAAGCATACCTCGTTTAGGAGTTTTCAGTTGTACTTCGACCTCGTTTCCAATTCCCTTGTCGTTCTTAGCAGCAATGACGAATCTGTGAAGTAAGTTGTCGTCTGCAAACAGGAGAACAGATATTGTGATATACTTGAAAGTGTAATCGAAATACAACTAAATATTGTGGAGAATTGAACACAATTTACAGAAAACACTAACAAACAATGTGCGTGTCCTATTCTATGACTACTTAACGCCGTGATTGCCAATGAGAACATTTTGAAGGTAACGTACATATCATCAAATATCTTCATCGGACTAAACCAAACAAAAACGGAGAAAGACAGGTTCACGATAGCAAGATCAAAAGGTAATTTTGTTACCGAAATATTTATTTCAACTTCGTGTGTGTGTGTTTGTTTGTGAAGGGGGAGTGGGTTTTACTTACCGAGGTAATCCGAATTCCACGATACAGACATATTAGTGATGGATTCGTTTCTGAAAACACCGTTTTTGACTCCCCACATTATATGGTACTCTGGTTTCTTGAGGGCATACATGTGAAGGGGAGGTTCCCATCGGAGCTGGATCATTGGCGGATCTGTTCGTAGTACCCGACAGCGGACGTTTCTAACTTGGCTGGGCACTATAATAATGTAAATAAAATTGTAAAAATATACACACAATATAATATTGTAATTCGGTAAATGGGTTATTTGAAGATTTTTTTTACCAAAGGGAGGGAAGACAAAGCAAACTTTCCGTTTCCTATTATAAACAAAGTATATCCATGAGAACTAATGCATTAAAGAAATTAAACTAGTACAAAAGAAAGGTTTTGGTAAATTATCTGACTGTTCTGCTAGATGGAAAACAAAGATTAACACAATGTCATGCAAATCAAAATGCTTTACACTTGGCTTAAAAGGGGTAACCTTTATCATATCTTATGGGGACGAATTATTAATAATGGCAATAGGCATTATATCGAAGTTAATTGTATATTTTCTATTGGAAATTGTCATATGGATGGTAAGTCAAAAACATTCCTAAACAGTGTTCAGCGATCAACTGCAATTTAATTTATTGGAATGTAACTGCTTGTCTAAATGTATAACAACTGTTTAAAGGAACGCTCATTGTTTTAACAATCAATGCGATTTATTCACACAACATTAAAGACACAGTTTACTTCGTGTGTGGATGTATTTCAATATTTCTCTCTGTCTGGTAAACTATAATTGCTAATATGTGTTACTATACTGTCATTTTCATGGTACTAGTTGTACCAGGTTGTCTTTGAAGGTTGTTTTAAATACGACAACGAATATCTCCAGTGAGTTGAATATATTATTATGGCATACGATTTATTTTTGATTAAATGTTCACTTACCAGCGGCCTTGGATTTAGTGGCAACGTAGCTTGTTGGGAAACTTGCTGAACGTCGTGTGAACGCCGTTATTGAAAAGTAATAATCTTTGTTTGGCTGAAGATTGTGTATCCACATTTCTCTGGCAAATGGATCATTTGTCTCGACGTCACCCTCTTCTGGCTCAGCAAGAAAATCTGTGTAATGAACTCGGTATCCTCGGATTTTACCCTCTTGCTTTTTGGGCGGTTTAAAGGTTACCCGAATCGTGGTAGTATTATAAGCCTTTGCAAATGGTCTGATCACCTCCGCTGGCACTACAAGAGACAAACGTCCTCGTTTATACTTCATATAATTGTAAACATCGCTCACACGACAATTTAGGTTTCCGATACATGCTATGTACAAATAAACTAACAATTACTTTCATGTTCATTCGCTTTACTATAATTTATTGTTTTAAAGTTGATAAAAAGAATCACTCATTGAGGATTGCCATGATACATTAAATGTCTTAAACATCGCACATTTGATATAGTGTATACCTTACTAAAGTTCAAGTAAACTCAAAGACACTGGATCACATGCGTGAATCGTCTCATATTGCAATAGTGCATTACGCGTATGGATATATTTCACAATGGCTGTAGTTGAATAAAAGAGTACAACATGAAACGTCAGTTGAACAACTATATGTGGATGTGCTTTTATTTCATACATACAATTTGGTTTTTATATGCTCAGCACTACCCTATTTTAAGCTTATTTTTCTTCCCCAAAAACTTGAACCATACAATAATGACCGACACAACGACACAGAGAACAGAATAAAGACGTCACGTTACCAAAGTGTAAATCGAAGGATAATGTTTGGAAGCCATGATTGTTTTCAATTTGTCAATTTGTCAAAAATGGAAAACAAGACAAAAAACAAAGAGAAAAAAGCTGAATCAGGCTGTAAGAGTTAACATGTTTGTAATAAGATTTTATCACATGATGTACCGTGTTATCCAATGAATCTACTCGTGTAATTTTACGTATCAGCCCTGTGATTGGTTGTAAGTTTCAATTGTTTCAATTGTGACGTCACGCCTAGGACAAGTACATGACGTCACAGACTTACGCACTGGAGTCAAAATGGCGTCTTTTTACTTTACAATATTTCATAAAAAAACAACTTTACACGAATAAATGCCACAAATCTTGATTATGTGATAAAAAGGATCTAACACTCGTTTTCATTTTATATGAAATTTATGAAACTCGTCACGAATTTTCATAAATCTCATATGAAATGGAAACTCCTGTAAGATCCTATATGTATTGCTCCACTTTAGTTAGCATTTGTCACAATGAACTACCAAAACTATCGGTTGATACAACACATTTAATATGACAGGTAATCGTTAATACCATTTATGACTTACCAAAGCCTGGGGTCGATACCATCAATTGGTCTGATTGATCCGATTCCCCATTGTCGGAAAAAGCAGAGATTGAGAAAACGTGTGTAGTTCCTTCTGTCAAGTCCTTTATCTTGAGGAAGTTGACAGCAGGGCGGATGTCTACCGTCTGGTTGTTTAATGTGTATGAGTCATGAATGAACACTCTGTACTGCACAATTTCTCCTCTGATAATTGGCGGATCCCAGTCTAACCTGATAGAGTTTGGACCTTTTGCTGTACCCCTCAAGTTAACCGGTGGTGATGGAACTGTGGAAATCAACGTTAGTAATAGCTATTTATACATTGGCTTATGCATAATAAAAAGCAACTCCATATCTTGATTAACCGTTATTCATGAATATTATAGCAAAAGTTACCGTTGACTATGTACGAAAACCTTTTATGTTTTAATACAGTTGATTATTCTTGAAACAAAGGATACATCATATCTTATAATAGTGTTATCTATGCATACTATAAAACAACTCATAGCATACTGTTGATTATATGTAAGTATATTATAAAGTTATTCAATATATAATGACTCATTTGATTAAGTATAATACAGCCTATGAAGAAATGTCATATAATATACGTAATATAATAGAGTTGTTATTATATATTAAGAAGAAAGCTCTTATCTCCTATAACAGTTAACAATGCATATTTTTAATCATCAAGGGGTAGGTGAATGAGGAAATGTTTAATAAATAAATATGCAGAATATGATGGTTGTGCAGATTATGAAGATATCTTGTGCTAGCACGTATGGTAAATTTGAGTGTGTGTGTGTGTTTCTTTTCATGATTATTATATTATGAAAAAATCGTCGAAAAAGAAAAAATTAGAAAGAAAAAATGATTTTTAAGAAATGTTCTATCTGATGACGTATTCGATTCATGCTATTTTTAGTAACAGGGAATATCCACTGTTGGCGGTGTGTGGCGAATTTAAAACTGGGCGAATAAGCGAACGTTTAACGGGCGAACGTTTTCAGTATACAGTATGTATGCAAGGGGAAAATTTCCTTGAGTTATGATTATAAATAAAACGTACATTCATTTTATTAAGCTACCTTTGGTTGGTTGCAGCATGTACGTGGCGCAATCCATTAACAGAAAGGGTATAGTCACGGCTATGGATGTACAATGTACTTTACAAAAGACACTAGGTAAAAGCTCACTACCCTGGAATGTCTGAATAGAACCGTCCTGCTTGTTTGCCTGACCACGTGGTGGGCTTACAACTGGCATACACCTAACAAAGCATCTCATCACAGGGTTCGCGCGCTATATATCTGTTCTCATATTTGCGTATGAATACCCAACCTCGGCAGTAACAATATTGAAACTAACCTCGTGCAAGTAAGTATTTTATATAGCAAGGCAAACTCTAATCTTCCTTAAAATGGTAAAACAAATAAACTTAGCTTTTAAACGTGACAATTATTGAATGTACTGAACGTTAAAATCGTGATCTACGAAGCGATTAGAAAGAAAAACCTATATTTTCAAAACCAAAAATTCCTATCAGCCTTTTCACGCATCTTATATTTCAAGAAGCTATTTCCAATGAACGCATGTAAGTGTGTCCTTATGAGCTTTGTAAACACTCTGTCTTTTTGTTTTTTATCATCAACTTTAACTAATTTTAGTTGTCGCACCTAGTTCGATTTCAGAAAGCACTTTTTGTATTTTTTATGATTTCAAATGTTCTGTAATGTTCTATTAAAATTGCAAAATGCTGTTCTTAAACGGAAGAATTTCAAATGATCAACGCTACACTGTCATCAGATTTAACATTTAAAAATAACTTATATGGTAATTTTAACATCGTAAGACTATGAGGATAACACATGCTCCAGTTCTTATAACCGTAATGTGAAGGTTTCATTTAATTTGTTTACATCTACTTACTGACGTCAGGGGTGTGGATAATTTCCGGAATGCTGTTTGATTCTACAACCATACCATCCACGGCTGCAACACGGATCCTATACCGTGATCTAGGCGCCAAATCTGTTATAGAAGCGGAAGTCTGCGAGGCATCACAAATTCGAAAAACAACTTCCGTAGGAGCAATTGTTCCGTCTAACTCGAGAGGTTGGAAGTATACTTTGTATTGGAGATTATCCGGAATGATCCGTAGCGGATCCCAGCTGATTGTAATAGTAGAAACCCCATCAACGGTTGTTGTTTCTGTCAAAACGTTCTGAGGTTTCGGAGGAGCTGAAACGAAACAAGATATACATAATTGATAAACCAGCCGATTTTGATGAAATCCCGGCTTTCCCTTGACCCAGTTCAGAGCCTGGTCAACTTTCATACAACGAATATTTGATACAGTATAATACAAAAAGGTATTCGTGCCTAAACTACATGTACATGTATATCTATAGCGATTCAAAATAACAATTATAAGGCAAGAAATATAACAAATACAAAATATATATGCAAATTTCCTGGTAAGTTTAATGTTTTCATTTTTGCTTGTAAGGCTGATCAGATTTAAAAGTCTGGTCATTTCTCTAGGAATACATAAAACTGTGACAAGTAGCATGTATATGATTAACCAATTTAAAAGCAATAATGTATATGTAAGATACGTTTACTATTTAATTATATATTACAAAATGGAGTTAATAGCGTCAACAGGTATCGTCGTAAACGATAGCGAGTCGATGATCAGACATACAATATCAAACGCCATCACCTAAAGGATTCGCGTACCGATGCCAAAACCTCTTAATATGTACTGAACATTTTTACCTGCATAATACTAGCTTGAATACAGCATTTCTGTAGAGAAACACATACTTTGCGGATCTGTTATGAAGATTAGATAAAAAAAAATAAAAAAAATATCAAAGTGTTTTGAGAGTAAAAATGTGGCCAGAATGAGATTCGAACACCTGACCTCCAATATGACTGTTCTAAACGACTGCACTACTGATCGACGGTATTTCCTGGCCCAGCCAGGTTACAGTAACATATATACGAAACTAAGAAATGTTACTGTGTGTGTGAAAAACTACAGCGGAACTCTCTAGTGTTGGAACTCTCTAGTGTTTCCCCTGCAATGAGGGACAGGGAAGTTGAAATATATGGTCCAACATGTCGGTAAAACGTAAACTGAATTGGATGGAATTGCTTCGCGAATACTAGGTGGTGTATCCTTTTATGTGATATCTATATCACTGATATACATCAATCTATCAATCAATAAAGAATAACAATCTTGAATAGCGAATTACACAACTGATATGATTTCTGGTTTTGAATGTAGTATGACAAATTAGCGTTAGTCAACTGTATCTCAAAATTATAATTGTATCCTTCATTTATATCTACATTTATTGATTTAATTTGTATTACAATTTACTTTTTATTTATTTATTTTAATTGAAATTTTGTTAATGCGTTTATATTTTGTGAACGTTTTGATTGTGTTATCAAGCATCAATATATATATATATAACAATACATTAAACTATTTATTATTGATGTTAACAAAGTCTTTAAGACATTGTTGCGTATTTCATACTTAGAAATATCACAACGTATGTCAGAAATAAACACGCCGATCCAGATACCGTGAGTGTACTACTTCATAGTGTCATTTCAGAGTAATGAAACGCATGTTAGCTGACAACACGTCATTTCCTGTGAAAAACGTCATCAGTCATTGCTGTGACAGGTCTCATTAGAAACGGCATGATTTAAGGGGCGCCTAGGGGGCAATTATAATATCAGGATCTATCATTGCCTTAGACCATTGTTTATTTATTTGTAAAATTAATTATTTGATTGCAGTTGGTGAATACAACTTACTCTTGACAAGAGTGACGACAACGGATAGATAGCCCTTGAACATAAACACAGTTTTTGTATCAGTAATTAAATCCGGCCAGTGTTTCCTTTTTAACTCTGACGTCATGCTGACATTTTCTAAATGGGGATATGTAAATTTGGTCACAGAAGCGACAATTAGCATTAACAGTGTGAAATCTGTTATTACACAGCGCCTTATGAATAAAGCTTCGCAGCTTAGTATTAAGTCACGATCGACTTTTAAAAACACATTGAACAATTTCAAAAATTATATTTAACGTGTGGAGAAATATTATTAGTATTGTGTATGCTATATGATGGTGATAATCTTCACTCCCATGATTAACATGTTATCCTAGTCGTGATACGAACTTATAATTGTTTTAAATTTTATGTCATTATAACATTATCATTTTTGATGCCATAATACATGTAAAGTATACGGTTATAAATTGTCTATCATCGTCTATTCCGTCTTTGCGTATTTCAGAGTTATCTTCTCTTGGGAGCAGGCATTGATTGTTACGTCATTGGTTTGTGTGAGAAAATTACGTCTTTTTCTCAAAAATTGATGACGTTACTCTCACAACCAAGTGACGTAACAATCAATACCTGCTCCCAAGAGAAGATAACTCTGCAATACGCAAAGACGGAATATGTGATACAAGTGTACTTGTGCTGTAGTGCACACATGTTCAAAATCAAAGGGTCTCGCTCTCAATTGATGTATATCTGTTCTGCCCCCTCCTTCTCCAGCATATGTCGTGACAGAATCAAAGGGTCGGGGTTAAATATTTCAATGATTTCAAGCATAAAATCCTGACCAACCGTCCGCTAGACTGATACTTTGAAGATTAAAGAGGAGCTACAAACGATTAAAAAGCCTGATAATTTTACCGTTAAGCTGCAGCTCGATTCCTTTATCTTTTTCAAATACATTAAACAAGTCTTATTGTATCATCCACAAGGTGTCGCGAAAAGAGGCTTCGTATGTATAATGGCATAGCCAAGGGGTGCAGAGATAATATGTGCCTCGAGAAAGGAACTGAATTATTAGATTTTGTGATAGTAACGCAAGCAATATACACCCCAATGTGTCTGGGCATGGGTAAGACACCCGGCCATGGACACAACAATATAAATTATACAGGTCACGTTTATTTATTTTATTTTTTTATTGGAAATCTTTTATATTAAAAAACAGTTAGAGAGATATTTTCAGAAGGTCACCTCAATTTTGCCTAGAAGCAGAAACAAAAGTCATACTAGAACTGATCCAGAGTGCGCAGTGTTTAACCGATGCCATGTGATCAGACGTTAATCTAACACCGTTACGAAATTTTGACATACAAGTAACTATTTAAACATCAGGAATTTGACCCAATTTTTCTGAACAGTTTGTACACGCACAGTACCGGTGAGTCCGTATTGGTCAGTGTAGGAGGTGTGTGTAAAATAGTACTTAATACATGTATCGATATCAATATATATTGACCTTTATGTAGACATGACGTGTAAATCAGTATGTATATCTGACACATCTAGGACAGTTTGATTTCCGTCCCGTACGAGTAATATCGCCAGAAGAAGACTTCGTGCTGTATTTCCCATTTTGGAATATTAATAGATAATGAGAAATATGATTTATTTAACAAATATTAGTATTTACATGTATACATATATATTTTAATGCATTTCATATATGCATATATGATGTATATGTATTATGAAATTATACAAGATTTTCGTGTTACACGAAGAAATCGTTATAAGGCACTTAACATTAGAGATGACCGACTTTTATACATTATAATCAAAAGAATATTTGAGAACGCTTACTCAAATGTAAGCACGTGGTCAACTTAAACTGTCCATATGTGTGCCCTTGTGTTGTGTGTGTGCATAAGGTTATACATGCGGAGTTCTTGTTATGTAGACCCATATCCCTTTTCCCTTGAAATTGACTGTAAGTGACAGCTGAAAGCATTGCAATACTGCGCCCTTAATTTGGCGGGTTTTTTTCTGGGGTTTTGCTACAGTGAACAAAATATCAATACCTCAAACACTTTATAACCGAAAACGTTCTCAATATTATAGATTATCTGGTGTCCGGTAACTCAAACAGTTTTCAACTGATTTCCAAATATAGATATATATATAAATATAAGAAAGCACCTTAAAATTATACCACTTAATAGGATAACTTGATGTGAAGATAGATTACCAGATGAATGCCAAGGAATAGTGACGTCATAGTACATCGTTTTATTGTAGGTTTTGTTTTTGGTAACCTTGTTAGGATGTATTCTAATAATAGATGTACATACTTCGTCCGTCGTCAGTTTGTCCCTGTCTCTTTGGTATTCTAACCACAGGTGCGCCGACCATTTTATGGAGACATATTTGATGACTTTTATGTACGGAACTCATCAAAATGTCACTTCAACCTGACTTCCTTCTGGATCTACTAACACTTTAGCTCAGATAAATGTATACCACTGTTTTGTATAGATTACTCAAACATAAGTTTACAAGAATAATGTTCTTCAGGGCCCCCGTATTTACGAAACCTTTCTCATGCTCAAACCAAGATTTAGTGTTCAAGACCAAATCGTGTACCCATGATAAATTCAGAAAAACAATGAAAATAACAAATTCAATGATTCGGAAGAACTTTGGAGAAACCTAAAGCCGAATACTGTTTTCAATGTTTAAACTACATGTAGAATGTTTGACAGTGTTACACGATTTAAACGAATACCAAGAAAGTCGACTTGAGCACAGAATCCATGCCTGAACATGGTAACGGTTTCGTGAATACGGGCCCTGATGTCATAATTGTATAAATAGTACGTCGAAATCTTTTAACTTGTTAATAAAAACGACTCCGTGTGAATTGTTGAATTGTAACGAAAACAATTCACTGCATGCATCGGTCAGTGCTTAAACAGCTGTGCTTGTTTTTTTATTGGTGAAATATGCCTGTTTATTAGAAAAGGATGTAAGTAAATCCCTGTTGTTAACTAGAATCCCTTACTCTCCGATTGACCCAGTTTCTAGCCACAACTGATCTGGTTTCTCTACCACAAATTGTTAGAAAAACAGTTTTTATACAAAACAAAATCGTTTATCCAGTCAGCTCAAACCCTTGCTAGAAACGAAGGTTGCTAGATTATCGAAACTCTTTTGCATACCTTAGCATTGACATGTCCTTACGACATACAAAAGTCAATACAAAACTACAAACACGACCCCATATGTATAATTAGCAAGTGTTAATGGGGTTTTTTCGATGACAATACTAACTAATTAGTATATTGAGGCCATAATAGTTTTAACGATATAATTACCTTCCTCTTAGTATACCTTGATTATTGATATTTTAACTTAAAAAGACC